ACTTGTACGTCAGGAGGGTGACTATTAGAAGACGGCAGGCCCTTTGCAGGAGGGGTGTCTTGACAGAGCTTCGGCACTCTTCTGGGTGTGGGGGCCGGCAACGGGGCGGTAACGGGGAGCCCGGGGAGCCAGGTCGCAAGCTCAGATCCTCGCTTCTTTAGGGGTTATAATAGAATACATCCGAGTTATATCTGGCGTGGCCTAGTTCACTATCTTGACAGATTGAGATTCAAAGCCGCTGCGGTTCCACGGTTCCAGGGTTTAATTGCCGACACGCGGAGTGGAAGAACGTCGAGGCATGGAGGGAGAGAAATTATCCCAGAAGAGAAATGTGGTTTTCCATCGCAAGTCGCAGGACTTTGTATGTATGAGATAGAGGGTTTCGTGGCTCGGTCCCGGGCCAGTTAGGACGTTTTGAGCAACTGCGCATACCTCAAGACCTCGCTCTCCATCATTATGAAAGGGGTCGAGACGAAACCTGGGATCACTGAACCGAACCCCATCCAGGTCTCTTTTCTTCCCTTATCCTGGCCCCGCCCTCTTCTGCCGAAGCAACTGTGGGAGTTTCCTTGCACAAACTCCCCTGAGTGGAACACAGTTGGCGGGAAAGCTCCAAGTCCTGAGGGACTAAAGTTAAGGGGGGAGGTACTTCGTAACGAAGTACGAATAATGGTCTGCCTCCTCGGCAACATGGGAGGGACGGAGACCAGGACCCTACAAGGATCTTACGACCAAAGCAACTGGGGGTGTGGAACGGGGGGTGAACGGCGGAGGGTGGGTTGGCAAGCAGACAGGCTGGGAGCCGGTCAGGACCCATTCACCCCTGATGCAGCCAATGTGAGGGCGGGATATGACAGAGAATCCTCCGACGGCTGCTGGCCCACAGAATTTCTTGGATTGGATGTTGCTGTGAGGGGGTGAAGAGCGTGGTCGAGAATCGAAGAGAAGAACAACGGTGCATGAAATTGCTCGAGACAAGGGTGGTCAAAGTGGGAAAAACGAACTGACCACAGGGCCGAGGACTTGGCGATACAAGGACAAGTTGTCAGTATAGGTACGCCATGCCCTGAACAGAAAGAATCTGGATTGGTCGGAGTCTTCAACGTCGAGCTTCCTCTTACGAGAATACCACAATATAAAGGCCGGGGAGCAATGCAAGACTGCGACTCGATGTAATTACTTGTAGGTAAACAACGTGCGGCGTACCTGGTCAATAATAGCCTGTGCTGTTCAGATGTCGTCGAAACGAGGGGCAAGGGGAGCTAGGTCAATTATCGATCAAAGCTTCTCGAGAAGTCGTCGACGAGCTAACTGAATGTCTCGAGAAGAAAACGGCATAGACGTGTCTCCGCGATGGAAGGCAGAGACACATTCCTCGGTATCTCCATACCTATCCATGCTCCTGCCGGGGGTTCTCATTCCCCTGGACGAAAGAACCGAAGGCTTGTTGAAATGGAGTGGAATAGCCGCGGAGGTGATGATGGAAGAGTTCCCGAATAGGGAAGCTAGCTACGTGTGCCCGTAAATGACCAGGGTCCCCCCTGTCGGACCGGATCTGATGGAGGGGAGTCCGAATATGTTAATGGACAACTGAGATTGGAGAGCGGTTGAGCTATGCGAATATGCATCTCTGCACCATTCGTACCCGGACTTCGTAGACACTTGAACTCTCTATCGTACGAAGCAGGTCGTCCAAACCGAGGTTCCTCCAAGCGGCGATGATTTGACCCAAGGAGGCGAAAAATAGTAAGGGACGGATGAAGTCCGTCTTCTTCCACATCCACACGCGTTTACAGGAACCGGGAAGGCTCTCACATGGGGGCAGTCGGCCAGTGCATAATGTGCCAGTATTCGCATGGAATCATTACTTCGTAGTCCGTATGAGTGTGTACTTTCGTGCTTTCGTACGTTCGCACTTCGGAGAGACATGAGACGCCGGGGCTTGAGGCCAAAAGAGGTATAGAGAGCTACCTGTTATCCTCTCAGACTCGCAGAGACTGGAGAAGATCCACCAGACTGGGGACTGGGGCTGCCTTAGCACGGTACATCTTCGAAGTACGTACGTTGTTGTATGCACGTTGTATCCGTAATGCTCCCCAGCATCCGATCCCACCAGTCATAGCGCGGCGAGCCGGCAGGCTACCATGAACTATGCACGTACGAACAGTTGACCAAACCGCCCGCAGGACGCAGAAGGGCTTGCAGCCGAAGCTAGAATCGGCCTAGCTCGTTTTGCTGCCCAGATATTTGGCCGAAATTCCCAGAGAAGGGTGGGAGGCATCAGTGGCGGACGGGCCGCTTCGAGATCGAGCAGGCACTGGAAGATTGACAAGATCTTAGCATCTTAGCCCCAGCCAACAGTCAACTTTTGGTAGCGAGGGTATCTTGTCTGGTGTTGTTACTCCCGTAGATGCGATCATACGAAGTACGAACACTCACAGAAGAACCTGCCTGCCCCATGGCTTACAGAGTACGAAGAAAGTGCGCACAACTCGCTCAGGAAAATGTCGATTCGCACTCTCACCCCGCTCCATGTCCACGTTCTCTGGCCTGGTCTGTTTGCTGGACTTCTTTATGTAGCGAGCGGGACTTTCGTCATGCATCCAGTCCATATATCAATCAATCTGCGATAAGGCATTTCGCTGGGAAATCGTATCATTGGGCGCACTGAGCTAGCCTCCACGGAGCAGAGGTAAAAGACCTGGACGTGAGGCGAGGAGGGGCGGGAATCCTAGCGGGCGTTTGCGAAATGTGAAATGAGGTAGGTCAGTGAAAGAAAGACTTGGGAGTGAATGGATCAAAGAAGGTATGTACTGCAGAGGCGGAGGAGGCCGGGAATGGATACAGTGCACCCGTACAGTGTGTATCTCGGACACTTAGGTACAACGTCCTTGTCCCCTTATCCCCTCGTACCTTCCTCTTGAAGATCACTAAGGTAAAGAGGCACTTTGTATGTGTTACACCTTCTATCTGCGATATGAAATGTACACTATAAACCTGAGAAGTCGGGATATAATGAGATAGGCAGGTGGTTAATACGAGGTAGCAAGAGGAGGATAAAAAATGAAAGCGTGTATAAGGCAGGACTAATATGAAGGTGGGGTTTAAGGTCGGTATCGCCTTCTGCCTGAGTAATTAAGTGCGAATCATGGACAAGCATGAGGTAAATACAAACCACTCGTACTGTGTTAGGCATATCGGGTTTGTGGGCGCTATGTTCAGTCGTTGTTGCCTTTATATTAAGGTACCTTACATATCTCCTAAGGTACCTTATTATTAGGTACCTTAGTCGGTAAAAACCCAAAGGGTTGTTATGGTTGGTGACGAAACGGTAGCAGACTGACGAAACAAACATTACCAGCTTGTACTAAGTCTTTCGCACGTACTATTGGTAGGATATCAGAGGAACGTCCTACCTTATGTATGTACGGATATCTTGAGTAAGGTACCTACTTCGTACATAGCACCTTTGTTGTGTGGGTGAGGGGTATCGATCCCGTCTTCCATCACGTCGTTTTCGACGAACATGCTTCTCATGTCTACCTTAGAATAACATAACTACCTTACCTTTAAGGTACCTTATTCTAGGAATCCACCATCCATGTCGACCACATCCCCCCAATCATACAAAACAAAGTCGCTGCCCCATCTCGGTGCATACGCTAGATCGTTATCCGACAACTTGCCTGTAGGTGAACCGTAATCCCACTGCTCCCTGTTCCACTTTCATTTCTTTGGCTCGCGGCCGCCTCGCGATTCTTCTAAACCGCACCGAGCTCGTCGTACCCTTTTGATTTCCGGCCGACTCTCATCGCGGAGATATACCCATCCCCTCTGAGCGTTCCCTCTCCTCCGAGAGCCTCCGCATCCTGCCTTACTGTCTCCGGACTCCTTTAGCTCGGTACGCCGACCCCGAGGCACGCCCTCAGGATTTGAATTACGCAAGTTCCTCCACCAGATGCACAGATTGTCCCCTGATCACCGTCACCCACCGTCGGCCCCTCTCGCTCATGAAGTGTGCATATGTTATGCATCGCACCCGCCCTCCATCTCCTTGCCCGGTCCACCATGGCGGCGAGCCCATAGGTTGTTCGATGGACGCGATGGCTCTGGAGGAGCATTACGAGGAAACCCCGCTGCATAGGGTCCAAGGAACTGGCCAAAAATACCTGTCATTCCAGCCATGGTCGCATCTTTGAGAGCCTCGTCCCAATCTAGTATGGTTCCCCAGCCTGACGTTTTTTCTTTTCTTGTTCTGTTCTGTTTTGCCCCTGGTTTGATCTCCAGATTCTCAACAGCGCCTTATTGACGCGTTGCAGATCTTCGAAATCCCGAAGTGGATGTAACCATCCATACGGCCCAGGCGGACATTTTGCATGGACCCAGCGATCCACGATACTCCTACACTACTACTCCATCCTCCCGCCATGCACCAACATACAATGTACTTCGTACAACGTACAGTTACAATAACCCTCTTCTTCTCAACACTCCGTCCAATAATACAACTCGTACAACTCGTCCTCTGCAACCATGACACTTAAGCCGGGTACCTCCCCGCCACCGAATAACACCCTTGAGTTCAGTGCTCAAAGTGTTCAAAAAGCTCCACGGTTTTAATGCCCCAGTCAATACCAGTGTGGGGAACGGCATATGTGCTTCTAGCCTGTCTCACTCAAATGGCGATCAAAGACCGATTTCCATCATATCGAGCTCCGGACGAACGCTAATTGCGAGGGTAGTCCCGCAACGCTCCACGTCAGGGACCTTCAAAGACAATGGCTTTCATGTCTTCGATCGGTAGTCTTTCCGACCAGGCCCCTGGTCATCTTTATCTGCGAATTTTATTCGTAGTACCGTGCTATCAAAGCTTGGACCACATGTCGAAATTATGCATGCTTTGTCGGTCACAATGTCAGGACGCGAGCCACCCCATGGAAACAAAAACGTCCGGTCCAGGTATGTATCCGTACAGGGCTATATTTGAGGCAACTATAGAGATGGGCAGATGATTTATCCCTGTCTCGACTTGGCGCGACAACCCAACCAATACGAGGGCTTCGTATATTAAACCTGGCGTTGAAGATGCCAATACTCCGTACGCATAATCCTCACAAATTATACTACCACTCGGTGTATGTAAGAAGATTTGTGCAATCCTTTGGTGCGACTGCTTCGTAGGAAATATCCCGGCGCCTATCAAGACGCGTTTGTCTTTTCTTTCCTTATCGTCTGTTCATATAGAACGCGTTTGCGAGTCTAACGAAGTAAACAGTTCCGAAAGCCGCTCATTTACTCCGTCATACACATAAACCCGGGCAACCATTCATCATCCCCTTCACAGTGTAGGCTGTGAGCACGTTGGAGCCCGCTAACGCCAGTGGGCGTTGTCACGAAACAATCGGCGTCAGAGCGCAGAAGAACGGACGTTTGTTTCTTCGGTTCCTGACTAATAACGGTTGCAAGCCGCTTTTGCCAAGGAATTCCACCCAACCAACCCCTTGCCAGACTTGGCTTCCGGGGCGGCGGTCAGGCTGGCTTGGTCAAATTTGGGTAGTCCGTCCGGCCCAGAGAGCCGGGTTTGGCAAGCGAGCTCCGACGACCTATATCAAGCCTCATATCAAGCAAATGGGTGATTAAATCTACGAAGTATCAAGCAACGGAGCCCCAGTAACGACTTGGTAATTATCTGCCGAGTCCCTGGCACATGAATCAGTCGATATATGAGTTCCTTTCGCCTCGCTAATACTTAGTATCTTCGCCCGATGAAGGCCAGCTATCCTTGGCGCACCAAATTCTACCGTTGACAGGCACCTCCTGTCAGGTTGGACTCAGCCACTACGTTGTAAACAGGGGAAGGGTGCCCAATCGAATTGCCGGCTCGGACAAGACTGATGGTATCGGTTCTGACCTTGGGCGAAGTGACAGAACGTCAGCAAACCTGCCCAGAACTTTATGATACCCCTATAGCGCTACCCGGTGTACGTTGTACATACACCCCCCCTGGCTCTCTGCATCCGTTATGTAACTAACACAAAGTACTTCGTAGTATGAGAAGCACGACACGGCCTCCGTATGTACCGGGCCCGCGGAGGACGACCCCAGATTAGTTATCGTCAGTGCGACTAGAATACATACCTACCTCCTCAAACACGCCACCGCTCTTCTTCCCGAAATCGGGGACGGAAAGAGTTGAATGAGGCCCGGGGGCCAACCCTGCCTTCAGCCGTCCTTTGCCAGGGCGTTAGCGTTGGATCTCAGAGGAGCTAGGGAACACTCTCGCTCGAGCAGGCTGGAGGTTTGCCTAGGTAGTGTGGCGGACGATTAATCTCGGCATTTTATTAGATGCACGCAGTACTACCTCCGACTCAACAGAACGGCCAGGACGCCAGAGTTGGGGGTCAATGCCAGCACAGTCTTTGGCGCCAGAAACAAAAGGCTGATAATACCTAGCCCACAAAGTCCCCGTGGGAACGCTATCGATCAATCAATCCTCTGGCGGTAGCCGATAGGAAGAGCGGAAAAGGTCTACAGCGATACACAAACGACGAAGCAGTTTCTTCTAATTAGGTACTCTAGGGGTGTACTTCTGGCCTAGTCCGTAATCTTTTCTTGGTCAAACGAATATGGCTTACAAGCATGATCAACACCATGTTCAAGGCCCTGCTCTCCTGACAGGCTGACTGAGGAGCGCATCAGTTCGAGACATCCCTTTTTTCCGGTGCCAGATGAGCGATCTATCCCAAGACCCGGTCTTATTAGCGTATCCGTACCTCGACCGGTCCCTTCAGCTTTAGCCTGAAAAGCCCCTTATTATTACTTCCGGGTCAGTTGGGCTTCCTATCCATTCCAGAAGACATTTTGGCGAAATAGCTTCGACTTCCTATGTCTCTGGCTGGTGAAAAAAATCAGCCCACATCCCCCCCCCTAGCTATCTATCTTTGCCAATCTAATGGTTCGATGCAAAGAACGCCGCTTGACATGCATGGATGGGACTTGGGGTACTTCGTACGATTCCCTGCTAACTCTTGTCACCCGTGAGCGCGGGCTTCTTGCCCTCTTTACCTGGAACCCTAACAAGGAGAAGCAAGGAGGAGAAGCCCTTGACCTAATATTTCTGCCCAGATATGCACTGCCACGGAGACATTGGAAGCAGTGCGGCGCTTCTAAGACCGATCCAGGACACTGGAATCAGCCAAGGGGTAACGGGAGGAATCGGACCCAGAGGATCTTACGGGAACCATCAAACGGAAGGGTCTAGGCCTTGGAGAGATCGACTGCGTTCGGCAGATGGGCATACATAGACGCCCTATCTCTTCTTGCCTCTCCCCGCACGCGGAGCAGGAATCGCCGCGCTTTCGACATACCAGTATCCTATCAGTTTCCGTTCACCAGGTACGAAGCACAGTCGTCCCTGCAGCAATGGGTTCGGCACTTCTTCAGGTCTAGAAACCCCGACTCCCTAAGGCCACTTCGCAAGTTTAACTGGATAGTAACTAGCTCCGAAGACGAACGGCAGTATCTGCGTGGCTGGTAGTGGTAAGTAAGTAAGCGTGTCCGAGATGCATAGTATCATAGAGCTGGGAACACATCTACGGCAGATTGATTACCTTGTCACGCCATATGAGGCCGTGCTGGAGCTCCTCCTTCGAGCATTTTCCTCTGGGCAAAAAGGCAGCGGCAGCTGAGAGGCGTTTGTTTTGTTGTCACCCCATGGACAGCTGCTGGATACCTATTGCCATACCTAGTACATTGTATCGTGTATTCCTTCTTCCTTTTCATGCTCGGCATCCGGTCTTCTTTAAGTCCGAGGATAAGACCGCCAGGGGGGTTAGATCCATGCTCGAACGAGATACATGCAACAATAGCAATAAGCTCACATGGTGCCTGACAAGTTGAGAAGAGAAGCAAGACAAGTCTCTATTACCCAATCCTCTAACACTTGCCCTGTCGACCTGTTTTCACTCTCCTCATATGCCCACTACACTAAGTTTGTATACAACTTTGACTGAAAGGGGTTTGCTTTTCTTCCTAGACGAGTGAGTAACAGGGCAACCAAACGGATGGTATACTTCGAATAAAGCATGACAGTGAGCCTGGAAACTCTCTCGATTTGTATCTGTGAAACGTGGGCTTTCCCCTCGCTCCCCAAGCACGCACCAGAAGCAGCGTAACTCGCAATCACCCTATCCATACATATGTCCACTGCACATATTTGGGGGGTGGAGGGCGAGGGGCTACTGCCAATACCACTCACTGTAAGGCTGTCAAGGTGCTGCGTGGCCGGATCGAAAATCGTATGATGCAGAGCTACCCGTACTCGGTATGCTGGGTCCTTTTGTTCTCTGGGACCTGTCCCTTGCGCGACATGCCCACTAGGTGGATTTAAGGCCCCCTGCTTCCAGCGGGCTGATAGAGTTGCCCCTCGTTTCTGACTCTCTTGAGCCCCAGCTTGTTTACGAAAGGAATATCATGCGCCGTTGGGGAGAAAGAGGGGGGAAACATATCCAGCATGGCTGCTGCAGGGCACACATGTGGCGGAATCGCTGCTCGCTCCCGATATCGCTCGCGCGGGGTGGGGGGTTTTATTTTATTTTATTTTATATTTTATTTTATTTCTTTTAGTCAAATGGAGAGCCCCAAGCGGCGTGGTGTCCTCCGCAAGAACACGAGAACGCCATGCATGCGACGACCGAGACGCTCACCCTCCTCCTTGGGCAGCGAGTCCCCCGTTCCTGGCGACAGTTAGCCGCCCGGAACGCAGTGGAATTTGATTGTGGTTCTCTCCTGAGATGTCATCCGCGCAATGCTCCCCACCGTCTGTCTACCTGGGCCCTTTGGCTGCTCCTCTTCCTCCTGGCTTATCTTACCGCGGTTGACTAGCCTCCAATCGCCAATGCAAGCCCTTAGCGCACCTCCATTGCATAGGCTTCTTTGGCGGAACCTGCAGATGCCTGATGGGAAGTTGTAACGTAATCATTCGAGTCTGACAAAGGTGTATCAAAGGAGAAGAAAAAGAGAAGGGGTAAGTTGGGGATTGGGGGTTGGATTGATATGTGGAGGGCGTGGACACAGGTCTCATCGACAACACCGTATGTACGTAGTCAAGTGCATATTGTTCATCGTGTTTGGACGCTAATTAGATGGTAGTAATGACATACTCAACAAGAGCCGTCCATGGCTGGGTATCGATACCGCGAGTTCATCATCCAAGTCGTGAAAATTCGTGTGGGTGGTGCCATTGCGATCCAACCCATGGCTAGGTAAAAACCCCCCTTTCAGGCTGGCCCCAACACAGAGTTCAGTGGACAAGAGGGGCCACGATTGGCATCTCTTCGTCGTCGCTGTCCTCCGAGTTCTCCTCGTCGTTGAGCGCCATCTCAACAAAGTTCCTCACCCAAGCCGCATCGGCGGGATGGAGCGCATCGTCTAGTCTTCCCCTCATCCGGACGGGAATCCGCCTCCCCCCATTTCGAAAGTCACCCCCGGTTCCCCGTCCAATGGCCCCCCCTCTTCCGCCTCGTGCTGCTTGATCCGCCGCAGGCGGTGCGGGTGTAGCGAGGGGACGGCCAGCCCCTTGCCCGCGCCCTCGACCTCGGGGTTGTTGATCTCGGGGCGGTGCTTGGCCGCCGATGCGAAGAACTAGAGGTGCCTCGAGAGCCACCGCAACCTCGGCATTTTGTTGTTGTTGGTCGTCACCTTCAGGTCTCGCAGGACCGTCCTCATCGTCCACATTGACAACCTCTCTAACCCGGGGGACAGCGACGGCTTGATTCCTCCCACGCCGCCGGTTGTTCGCTCGCCCCCCTAAGAACCCGTAACCTACGTCATTGCCGTCACCATTCTCCAACTCCCAGAGCCGCATATAGCATCCTGTTCTGCTACCATCAGGCCGCTCGTTGTAGTGCTCGAAGGGGCTCGCCGGGGGAAGCCAGGCGGCGCAGAGGTAGCAAAAGTGCGTTTGACAGCGGAAGCAGATCATGTGGTTGCATCCACGGGTCTTCTGAGAGGGAACGCCGCACGTCGGGCAGGACGTGGTGTGGTGGGCAATGTAGTCGATAGATGCCTGCTCCTCGGGCGTGATCTCGTCCGAGTCGCGTCTGGGTATGCATAAGAAGAACTCGCCATGCCAGGACTGAAAGCAGCGGCTGCAAAAGGCAAAGCCGCAGTCCTCGCAAATGGCCAGGCGCTCCGACGGATCCTCGGACTTTTTCGTCTTCTTCCCTTTGTCGTCTTTCTCGTCCGACTTTTCCGCTTCTTCGTCGTCTGAAACCTCAACGAGTTCGAGACCCTCGGGCTTCTTGTGCTTCTTTGATCTCGCGGCCCCGTCGCACCACGAGCGTGGACAGTAGATGGTGTTCTTGTCCGACTCGAGTTCGGTCTTGTACTTGAGCGTTACGTATCGGGAGACAATTTCCTGGGAGAGGCCCATCTGCAAGAGCTCGCTGGGACTAAGAAAGGCTCTGACTCTGCGTCTCTTTCCCGATCCGGCCTCCGCCTGAGCTGCGGCGCGATCCTTGGCGCAGTTCGGGGTGAGACATCTAACGACGGCAAGGTCTCCTTCGGTGATGGCCGTTTTATAGAAATCTTGCAGACAAGCAGTGCAAAAGACGTGACCACATTCGAGCATCCTATGACATACGGCTCCCTTCTTGGGTTCTTTTCGAGTTTGGTTAGCAATGGTACACGTCAAACTGTCTTCCGATAAAGTCGAGTATGGAGAGCTTTACCTAGACAAACCCCACAATCAAAGGTCTCCCTCTCAAAAGTCTCGCGTCTGGCCCTGACATCATAGTCCAGGATGGAGATCATGTGTCGCGGGTCTACCCCAAGGGTTCCGTCATCGTTAATCAGACCGAAGACATTTTCAGCTGCCTGCTGAACATGGTCGATATAAGCAAAGGCAACCATATTGTGGCCCATCTCTTCCCACATGCGAGGTCCCTCCTCTTCCAACTTCTTTGTAGTCTCGAGCGGAAGCCACGGCGGTGTGGTCGAAATCGTGACTGATGGAGGTCGTTCGGCGGGGTATCCTTCCGGTAAAGAAAGGCGCAGGTTAACAGCAGGTAGATGTGCAAGCACCTGCGAGTCCATGGCACCGGGTGCTTCTTCATCCGAACCCGTCAGAGTCGCCGTAGTAAGTTCCGCTGTTCCAGAGGCCGCAGGATACGTGACGGTGATGGGGTTGGAGGGATGGACTGGTAGGTCCAGCGAGAATGATACGGCGGAAGGGTCATCGTGTTTCTTAATCTCGGGAAAGATGGCCTCGAGGGCAGCGAGCTCGGTAAAGCGCTCCTCAGCGCCATCGGAGTCGTCCATGGCCGTACGGAGACTTGGTAGAAAGCTCAGTGTGCATATCAGAAGGGAACGATGTCTGAATGGCGAAGTGCGCGGAGCGTGCCTCTTATAGCACAAGCGACGAAGAGGCTGCCTCCCTCGGTATCTTCTTCAGGCAGCGATAAAGAAAATAAATAAAAAAAATGGGAGGGGGGGAAATGCGGCCTAGTTGATGTAGAGGCAAGTTCCGGTGGGATTGGGGGCCAGAATGCTGGAAGCAGTTGTAAGGATCGCCAAAATAGGTTCAGATAGAAGATGAGTCGACCTTGAGTTGGCCTCAGTGGGGATGTTGCGGGAAGCCGGCGTGATTGTCAGGACTCAGCTGCCTAGGTATGGCAGTCGTAATGATTCCGGAGTACATACTGTAGTACAAAACTACCTACTTTGTGCAGTTGAGACGCCCCGCTACGGCGGTAAGTACGCCACGCCAGGTACCTACCTACCTACCTAGGTAGCCACTTCGTCCCTTATTCTCCGTACTTCTCACTCGCGAGCAACAAAGGCCGGAACTGTTACTATTTTGAGCCTCCCTCTCAAATTCACGCTTCTACCTTCTCCGATCTGGGAAACGACGACACACGAATCCGATTGAGCTGGCTCTTCGGGTTTGAATCTTTCACAGGAAGCTGTCATTTAGCCGTCCGTTTCGTTCGTTTTCCTGTGCATAGGACTTGGACCACAGTCCGTTGCTACGGGGTGGGCAACAGGCAAACACCTCTCCGAACTCCGAAACAATGGCGGACGACACGAGGCCCCTTGCATCCCTCTCCCTAACCCACGTTTACTATGTGAGTAGACCTCTGTTCCCCGCCCTTCTTTTCCTGCGCCTTGTCGAGTCGAGTTCCCTTCCTATAGGCCTCACTTCGCAAAACCCACTCAACTTCCCTGGCCCGCCAAGATCCCGAGACCACAGGAACTGAATAACTGAACTGACTGACACATGTCTTTCCCTCCCACCTAGGACCCCGAAGACCCGCTCTCCTTCCTCTGCGCCTGGCTGGCCCTCCTCCCCCAAGCACTCTGCGTCGTCTACGTCACGTTGATCTGGTCGACCCGTGAAGTCGAAGTAGCCCTGATGTTCCTAGGCCAGCTAGGCTGCGAAGCCGCCAACTTCGCCCTAAAGCGATTGATAAAGGAAGAGCGCCCCCGCCGCATCCATGGGAAAGGCTACGGCATGCCTTCCTCCCACGCCCAGTTTGTCTTCTTCTGGGCACTTTTCCTCGTCCTCTTCCTCTTCATCCGTCATAAACCACCGCACGACCCGGCCCGCGACGCCCGCTACCGCTCCCGCGCCCTGTCCCGCGCCGAACGCGTCGTAGGTTCCGTCATAGCCTTCACCGCGGCCGCCGCCGTCGGCTGGAGTCGTGTCTACCTGGGCTACCATACCGTCCGCCAGGTCCTCGTGGGGTGTGCTGCGGGCGTTTGCTGCGCCGTCGCCTGGTTCGCTGTCACCTCGTATATCCGTGACCAAGGGTTTCTGGACTGGGCTCTGCGTATTCCCTTGGTAGAATGGTTTCGCTTTCGCGATCTTCTGCTCGAGGAGGACTTGTGCCAGGCTGGCTGGGAGAAGTGGGAGGAGAAGCGCATCCAGGCGCGAAGCAGCAAGGCTCGTAAGGTAAAGTAGTCAAATATTTGTGGAAGCTCTGTTGTGAAGAAGTTTGAAGTCGACACCACATCGATCGGCGTCATCTTGAGACTCATGTCGTGCCCGCTTGTTTATCATTGTTCACTATTTCCCCAAGTTACCCATGTCGCGCGAGGCGGATTACCGAGAACTACGTGAAAGCAAGGACTCAAAGTTCACCACAATCTCAAGTCTTCGACCGAGTGTTGAGTAAGTAGAGTGTAGTTTATTGACTGCGCTGTAGGACAGTCGAATTTATACATATAGGAGTCGAAGTCAGCCAGCGATTCCACTCGCCCCATCTAAAGGACGGCGAACCCAGCGATGGCGTCTATTCCAAGTTTAGGTCGTTGTAAGAACAGGAGAAGGCTGGAGTGAAAAGGGACAAAAACCCCTCATAAACAGGAGCCGGACATGTCTCAGTCGCCTAGGTATCAAAAGGACTCGCCCAGGAAGCAACCAGAAAGAAAAAAAGAAAGGAAAAAAAGGAAAAAGGGAAAAAGGGAAAAAAAGAACTCCGCGATGCGGGAACGTCGTCCACGACGTAAGTAGCCAAGGGAGAAGAAAAAGGAAGAAGAAAAAAAGAGATCCTCCATCTCCAACTCCGTCCAAATAGTTTGGTGGATCTTGTATTAATCTCACCCCGTTCCCCGAATCCCGTCAAAATCATGTTCTATCCTTCCAAGTCCGACATGGTCCCGTGCACGCGCGGCGGGCCGCGGGACGACGTTCTTTTGAAGAAGCGCTGGTGTTTTTTGAAGGCCGTAGTCGCGTCAAGCGCACCTTCTTTTCAATCATATCATATCCATTCCGCTTTATGAAGCCCCTCGCAGTCGCAGTTGGGTTTGTAACACCTGGCCGGTGGTGGCGGCGGTGGTAGCGATTTCTGGACGTTAAAACCCACCCCCTGAGGACTTGTGATCACTCTCGACGGTTTGAGGGGACTCGGGTTGTATACTGCCGCCGTCAAGGTCAACTTCGGCTCATCCGGGACCCGCCCTTGTGAGCTGGGAGTCGTCGGCCGAGAGGCTATCGATTTGACAGAATCCCCTTTCGAAGAAAAGACCACTAGGGTGTCGTCGCCGTCGTCCCCATTTTCGCCCACGCCCAGAGGGCTTGGTCGCTTCGAGCCACCTATCTCCCTTTGTTTCGGACATCCAAGGTTATGTACCTCGCCGCTGTCGCGGTATATGGGAGAGTTGATGGGAGGTGCATCCTCCGCCTTGGAGAACCGGAGTCCGATCTGAACGGTGGCATGCGAACCCATGGAAGAATCACGTCTGTGGCGGAGCCCAGTATCAAGTACCAAGGGGGGAGGAGCAAGCAACTGGCCATCTTCGTCCTGCGGCTTTCGGCCGGATGAACTCGCATTCGGGGAATACGTGGTAGCAGGGAGTAGCGTAAAAGTTTTGTTCTCTCGTGGGAACAGTGAGTACGACGACTTTCGAATATGTTCCTTCAATGTTTGGAACGCCGAAGGTGGCTGCGTGGGTTCGGGAACCCTCAGCTGTGGCGTCCCCGCGTACAGTTCGTGGACTCGAAGGGGATTCGGGCCGTCGTAGGTCGGTGTGCCGGATGGGCTCTCAACTCGTTTCTCCTCCTGATCTCCCTTTCCATACCACGATGAGGCCAAGCCCGAACCCGCAGACCATCTCTGTCCCATTCCATTGTCGTCTCCGAAGCCATCGCCGTAACCGTCGGATTTGTGAACTCGAATGTCGGCTTTGAGCTTGTCTCTGGGCTCTCCATACTTGTCGCGAGGTCCGAAGGTAGTGAGGCAGCTCGACCGCAAAAATAAATGAAGACCGCCCGTCATAAGGCCCGAGAGGTTCGCGACGACGGATGCCATCATGGAAAAATTCAAGGGCTGGTTCCCTGACGTCCTCAAGTCCATAAAAATAAGGCTGTAGAAAAAGGGCAGAGAGAAACACTGCAGACGTGCGGTTAGCCAGGTGTTTCCGGAGACAGAGATGGGGAGGAGCTCCAACGTACAATAGAGATTACGGCAAAGGCCAGATAGTACACCATCCTAGAAGAGGCATCCCGTTCGACAGGATCATCAATATCACAACCGGCGTGTAGCCTCCAGAATATGACCCCGATACAGATGATGAGGGTCACGGCGATGATAATCATGACGATGAAGATGCCCTTTTTCCACCGCTGAACAAACCAGAAAAGAGAACCGAAGCAAAAGTTAGGAGGGTAGACAAAATGAGTGACGAGAAAAGAAGCGAGAAGCAGTGTGCCGATGATCGCAACGCAGCTAGCAGTTGTCCATTTGCCCTTGGGAGAAAAAGGCCGTCGTCGCAAGGCCCGAGATGTCACCTCCAAGCCGAGGACGAATTGGATATAGGGAACAATGAAGACAGCTACCGCCCCTCCCTGTCAGTATTGATTGAGATGATGAATCGCGCGAGATTTCTACCGGGAGGCGTCGAGAGACAAGACGTACCGGGTAGCATCATTTGTGATGTGAGGGCACACCCAATTTGAAATAAAGAGTCGAGGCCAGTCGACTGTGCAATGGCGAAGACCGTTCCTTGAATAACAATGCCGATAGACAATGCGAGCGGGAAGGTCTCGGTCGGGCCAACAAAGGTAAACCCCGATGTCCTGTCCCATTGTCAGCAAAGAGCTCTTACAGAATTCTCCTTTCCCCTGGTCTTCTGTTGTCGTATAGGTGGTGCGGCTTCTTATTCCACGCCCTCGTGGTAGCATACCGAAACTTGAACTTGGGATCGTCCCTCTTCTTGGTCACATAGCTGTCCCACAAGATACCCAAGATGGTGGCAAAGGCGGCCACGACATTGAAGATGGCGAGAATTATGGTCGAGGTTCGTATGGAGCGCGCGGCCTGGAATCTTAACTCGTTGAGGATGGCAGTCTGCGATGTTCCGTTCGCCTGGAAGGCGAATTCCTGGCCAGCACCGCCGCCACTGCCACCGCCCCCTACGCCGTTGCCGCCATTGCCAAAGTCAGAATCGAAAGAATGAGGGTGATCTCGCGCCCACAGACCGCCGTGGGGATCCGTCCAGCCCCAGGGGTTCATTTTTGCCAGGTAGCCAGCTATCGAAAGGGCAGTCGGAATCAAAAAGAGCGTGTGACGGGCCGTAGAGATGGCAGAATTAATGAATGGGGGAGACCATCCAGGCCATCGGCTACCGAGGAAGATCTGCCGTCTCTGAGAAGAAAGTAAGTAAAAGTCGTGAAAGCGTGAAAGGAAAGTTCAGAAGAAAGAAAGACAAAGGGCTGGCGGGGACGAAGAGCAAATGGAAAGGAGGAAAGCAGCCATGAGAAACACTGACAGTCGTAGATGGGATGGACAGGAAGATGGGGGGGGGAGGGTGTTCGAGGACACAAGGCTAGAGCCACAGGCAGAACTAGGTATGGTAGGGTTACCCGACACCTGGAGAGGGCATATCCGCAGGACAACCCCGGTGGGTAAAGGTGTGTGGAGGGCTGAGACGATCAGCTAGCGGGAACCCCGTATGCAAGACCTAATCACATTCGTAGCTACAGGGCTCTCTCGCACGCATTACCCATGTCATTGGATACCAGGTTGTAAAAATGAGTATCTTCGACATTGACATCAGGGGCTAAAGGAGGGCTGGAACCTGGGGACGATTAAACGATAGCCGGAGACCAATGCGAGAAGAGTGAATCGCGACTTGGCCCCGCCGGTTAAGGAGGACAAGACGTTTATGGGTTAGCTAGCGCAGGAGACGGGGCCAAGAAGATCGACTGGTGCCACTCGCTTATGGTGAGTCTTAGGCCAGCTGGCATGAAGAGTGGCTTCATCATTGACACCAACACAGGAGTGCTGAAGTACGTTGTACGAAGTGCTTCGTAGGGATCCAAGATGCGGCACCGGACGGGACACCAGGCAGTAAGACTTTTGGTGCAGATGTTCCCGCCATTGCCAAGACGAAGCTAGCAGACGTTCGAGCCGCGTCCGCGGCAGCTACCCCGGCCAAAACGAGGTAGAGCATGGACGTGATAATGGGTTGAGGCACTCATGTAACACACGAAGTTTCCAAGCTGCTTCGCGTCCAGGGCCTGAGAAACGTGAAGTTCGAATATGTCGAAAATGTCCGAGCTCGGGCCTCGGGAAGTCATGCACTAGACCGTATGTGGTTTAGTTTTGGGGTAACATGAGGTGCGGGTCAAACTTCTGGCTCGAGCCAAGGGGGCTCTAGACCCACTATAGCCATATCTACCGTACCTTACCTACCTTAAGCTACGAATAAGGTAGATAAGGTAATTACTTGGTTAAGGTACCCTACGCTGATGTCCTCGATTTTTCGAGTCGACATCTCCTGCTTTTGATGGGCAAGACGCCATCGCCATCTGACTCGAGAGCTTCAAGCATACTGCCTATGCTTCAAGGTCATTCATACATCGTATCCGGACTTCATGGTCCATCACGCAAACTCATCCGAAGTTCTTCAGCCCGCTCGGGCCAACGCGGAGTGCATATGGCGATGCCTACATGCGTAAAGACGGTCCAAGCGGCAGCGATATCTCTGATTCACTCTGACGTGAATTTCCCCCTACCCGTGCATAACTCGCCTTTCTTTAGTCCGACTTTATTATGGATAGGCTAAGCATCAAATTTTTTAGACTCCCTCCACACTTTCAACATACCTGCCTTCCTCACTAATAACGGCCTAACTGTTCTTCTGCCTGCCAAGAACCCCAGCACACTGGCTCTTCTGCTCCGTAGAATACGCCTTAATGCGTCGCTTCCCTCCTGCAGTCGAATTTTAGAGATTCTCGTCCACTTTATTAAGTCTTTTAATTGCCCGGCTATTAAGTCACTTTCCCCGGCCTCCCCCGGCCGAATTCCGTGGGACAGCATAGGTCCCGCTCTATCTCTCTGTCTCCGTAGACCCATTGCCACCGTCCCGGAGTGGCTGTCTATGCTGTATGGAACATCAAAGGCGATAATATCTTGGTAAGTCCACTGGAAGTGACGGACGACTTGTAGCAAAACTTTGCACCATTTTGCAAGCAACGGCTTTTCCCAACTCGTGCGTGCTACGTTACTGAGGAAGAGGATGATATCATGAAGTATGATGCTGTTGCGACTCGGAGGTAATGGGAGGAGTTATTCTCCGGTAGAGACACGGCATTTCTGTCAGATGTCTTGGAAACACACAGCGCACTCACTTTGCTCCACGGCAGCAGGTCGGTGTCATTACCTCCAATGGCCAACTGGGATTGGCTCGGGAGTCCCACCAAAAGCCGATTCTCTGGCACCTCGGGGCCCGGATCGACGGTCGCTTCCCATCAAACCCTGGGCCGGAGCCGGAGCCGACCGCTCAATCTTTCTTCCTGACTGGGAACAAAAAAAAAACAAAAAAAAAAAAGAGAGAGCAAGTGAAAGTTCCCTTGCAACAAACTGGCCGACATTCGGGGGACCAACGGTCAATTGTTAACAACAATGAACCAACGGCGGGCGATCGACAACAGGATCTTCGCTGGCATCCCACGGCCTGTTATCTCCTGCCGACGATGCCCCCGGTCAACTTGAAAGATTCTAACCCCTTTAGTAAGGTCCAAGAAGTACAATTTCGGTCAACACCACGAGAACGTCCAACTGCATTCGCCCCTCTTCTTCATCTTTCCGATCGGAGCTCCTGGGAAGGTGACCTGAATGGTGGAGCGATAGGATTCCCACGTCCAGGAGAAAATTCATGGGACAGGGGAAATGGGAATAAAAGACGTCGACATCCCCAATGTTCGAGATGCGGAGGGTTCTTCAATTATTGCGTCTCCCGCAGTTTCCACCTTTGTCTGTGGCTCAATTCGCCCAGGGGGGTTTTCTTCCAGTGCATTTAATTGCAGTCGCCATTGGCCTTCGAGATTGTCCTGTCTTCCTGTATACGGACGCCATCGCCATCGCCATCGCAGTTAATCGCAATGCACACATCTCAATTCGCCGGCGCTCTCGCAGTCGCCGGTCTGCTTGCAACACCAGCTCTGGCTTGGAATACGGATGGTAAGGCCAGGTTGCCCCTCAACTGTTCCCTGGATACGCATCTACAGGCGGAGGATGTCGTGTCAAACGAAATATGTGGGAGGAGAAACCGGATGTTGATGAAGCGAAACCCATAGTCCACCAACAGATAGGCTACGCGGCCGACAAGCTCCTTTCTGACCCCGCAAAGGCCATCATCGCTGAGATCCTCGAGCCCGAAGCCGATGGCAGCCTAGGCCGGATCGGCGCTTGGGCCGACGCCCACCGCGGCACACCTGAGGGCTCGCACACAGCGCCCTGGCACTTCATCAACCCGGGCGACCAGCCGCCCAGCTTCTGCAATGTATATTTCCACCGCGACTGCACCTCCGATGGATGCATTGTTAGCGCCATCGGCAATGAGACCCAGATCCTCAAGTCATGCATCCGGGACGTCAAGGAGGGCAGACTCGAAAGCGGCGCCAACGCCACGTGTGCGAACGCGGCCAAGTTCATCACCCATTTCATCATGGATATCGCCCAGCCCATGCACGTCACCGGCCAGGCGAGGGGCGGGAACGACATTCCCGTTCTGTTTGGAGGTGTCCAGACCAACCTACACTCCGTGAGTTTCCCAGTCTCCACAACGCTCTTCAGCATAACCCCTCTCTTGGAATCGTTTCTCCTAACCATGCTACCTTGACTACCCATAATGGACTAACCAATGCCATGCCTAGATCTGGGACGGCCGCATCGTCTACACTCTGGCAGGCCACGAGCCAGGAACGGGGTTTGGAAACGAAACCATCGATCCGTTCTTCGAGGCCATGGTTCACAAGATCCAGGAGGATTCCTACTTTGTCCCGACCAAGTCGTGGCTGTCCTGCGCCGACCCGTCCACGGCTCTTGACTGCCCGCTCGAGTGGGCCCGCGACGCGAACCAGTGGAACTGCGACTACGCCTTCTCGCAGACCGTAGGGAACGGGACCGACCTCCTCTACAGCGGCTACGCTGCCGGAGCCTGGCACATCGCCGAGGTCCAGATGGCCAAGGCGGTCCTGCGCATTGCCACGTGGTTCAATCGCCTTGCCGACTGTCAATTGAAGGAGAGGGACGTTATCATCAATCTTGTCCCGAGTTGGAGTGGTGGTCCCAATGGAGGTGCATGAGAAAGGGGGCTTCGCCTTCTTTATTGAAATCCGCCACAGTATGTCATGTCGATAGGATCATTAACGAGAAAAAGTAATGAGCCCCATGCGCAAACAAATATATACGATCACTTACATGGCACGGTCGGCTGGCATGAACCATAAGGTAGCCAACGTATGACATGTATAGTTCTAATGTGCAGGTCTCACAGTTAAGAGACTTGCTTTGACTTGAGGTGCATCACTTGAGGTGCATCTTTAACGAATTCCTAGCTGTGTAGGATTCCTCCGAGAGCATTGCAAAGATGTCCAGCCCATTTTCTTCGCCAGCTCGTGATGGTATCATAGATCATTAATGGCGTAAGACATTCGTCTCATCCGAACTCTTGAGCGCTGTGACCCCGAGCCGGCCGTAGGGTTGTCAAAAGGGGAGACAAGGCCAGCTTCGCACCCTGGCCGAGGACGGTATGTCCCGTCAACAGCGCATACCACGGCAATGCGACTCTTTCCCTCTCACAACGTCTTCTTTTCCGAGACTGAAGCCGCAGAAAATGCCTTGGAGATTTCCCCGAAGGCGACGTAGCTGACATACAGAGGGATCACGACCCACAGGCCGTTGAAGAAGACAAGGTACACCCAGAGGTACATGAAGTTGCTACCGTCCAAGTTGGAATTGCCCGTGAGCCATTCAGGGCAGAACGTCATGAAGCCTAGAGATGATCGAAGGGGACCAAGTTCAGGTTAGGAATGTCGGGCATTGGCAACAGGGTTGTGTGCGTCTCACCTCCGTACAACTCGGCCGTGGCAATTACGAGCAGCCAGATATTTACCCGAGGGTCCCGTTTGGCGATGAGATAGCAGATGTATACCGCCAAAGGACCGGCACCAAAAACGGTGAGAAGCTCAAGGCTGATGACCCCCTGGTACGTTTCACTCTGCGATTAGTGGGAACGTCTTTTTTCTTCTTTTCCTTCACGGACAAGCACGGCATATACGAGGTACACATACAACATCTGCGCCAGCCCACCTCTTGTCGGCCTTTGCATACACCATCCATAGCTTGGCAAAAGGGTTGTCGCCGCCAACCTGGGAGCCGTGGACACGATCGGAACGACCCAGGTAATTCGCGGGCGTCGGGTGGAGTGACGCAAGGTCGAGGGTAGTGGCGTCGGATATGGGTATGTAGGAGAAGAAGCAATGATAAAGAAAGCTGCCCTCTAGGAGAAAGTGGATGAGAGCATCAAAGGCGTGCCATACGAAGAGGGCCTTATAAGTGGTTGATGTAGAGGAGGGAACGACACAACGGGAGATGAGGACAGCGATAGCCAGAATTGCGACGGTGGATGCCAAGGACACGAGGGTGACCTTATCGAACAGGTCGGGATGTATTTGTGAGTCAATGTCCGCCATACTGAGGATGGGTGTGCTGGCTGCCGTTGCTGGTTCACTCATGCTTATCTCCGCCACCACGACGACTCGATGACAGACTCGAAGGCGGAAGACACCGAAGAATGCATACAAAAAAAGGAAGGGAAAGGAAAGAGACGCAAACAAGATGGAATTATGGAATTAAAGAAGAAAAGGAAAAGAAAAAGAAAAGTAGAAGAGAGAAAGAGAGAGAGGAGAAAAGCAACAGAAGCCAGTAAAGTAAGGGGTCGGTCGAGCGAGGGAAAAGAGCAAACAAAATTCACAAGCCCCCTTGTCCCCCTGTCGTGAGAATCAATTTCAGGGTCGGCATAACTGCTAAGGGTATGGCCCGTGCATCTGGAACCGTCGATCGTCTGCGGGACAGAAGGCTGAACTACCGGTGACCGGCGGCAACTGAAAGATTTAGGGGGCGGGAGGGGAATCAGCCACCTGAATAGTGGACATCGAATAGGGATTCTGGGCCTCTTATTCTGTAGAAGCCCACCCAAGGGGCGAATCGGGTAGCGGCCGCGAGAATTGCACCATATCAACACCATGGCCTGCTGCAGCAACTCCCGGTCAAGTGGGTAGATGCAGGTGAAGTGGGCTATTGCACAAGTGCACTGCTACCTTCCAATACCTAGCTTTACACTGCGTTATAGGGCGGTACCAAAGGTCAGTGAGATCCCATCACTTCACGCGAAGTAAGGTACCTTACGGTATGCCAAGTAAAATTGTACGGATACCTGCCCCCGAGAAATTTCGTACCAAGCCTGAGACAACAGTGCGGAGTACAGCAACCCAATCCCTCGAGAATATCTCTTTCCCTAGATACCTTACCGGCTAGCCTATTACTAAACTCGGAGCTTAATAGGGACTTAAGTTTAGCAGATTGCTTGATGCAAGCAAATGTATTCGGACATTTAAGGCATTGTTCGGGAGAATTGGTGTGCCTATTGGGGTGGGGGATCATCATTTTTCATGAGGAACAGGGAGGCTAAGGTGGAGAATTTCCCAGGGCGAGATACGTGTACCCTATTGTGCGCTAGTGTAATGTAAGCCGGGGAGCCCGGTCCGACAGCATTTCTGTTGATACTTGACAAGCTTGTGATCAAGAGATACCTAGGTCCAAACGCATCACGCTGGTTCGTCCAGTTGGGGACCGATTCAGAATCCCATTATTAAACAACTTCATCCCCATAATGTCCGCTACCTACCGCCTATCGTTGTTGAAACTATCATCAATCCCTCGAAAGCCTGCTACTGCCTCGCGAGGGGCACTTTGCACATTTTGACGGAGTTCAGCTGCGCTGTGTTATCATCATACGGAGACTGTCCCTCCCGACGTATAATACGTTATGTACGTACATAGACCGGAAATCGGCCCTCAGTTGGAGTGTGAAAATACGAGCACCATTTTTATAACTGGCCTTAGGTCTGCTGATACGGCGTGCTATATATTCTAGGCCTTTTCCTTTTTTTTTTTTTCTTATATAAAAACAGGTTCGCTGACGACATACTGTAAGAGGTATATAATAGGGCGAAACTGTCCTCTATTTCTCTGCCACGACGCGAGCGCTTGCGGTATCGTTGGGAAAATTGCTGTGAGCTGCTAAGACTTTTGGAAATATGCTTCATAGAACAGTCAATTGTCGAGAACTTGCCAAAAGCAGCTGCCAATTCTTGTTTTCGCTCGTTTCGCGCAGTCGGCCATGATGCATCACCGAGTTTTGTACATATGATACTCTGTACGCGATGAAGGCCTCTCATCGCCCGGCTTCATGCTGGGACGTGTTCGTGACGAGTGACGAATATGCCGCTCCAAGCCACAACTTCGCCGTTAGAACCGAGTACACGAAACGAATGGTTCGATTTCAACGGGCCCATGTTAAAGCGAAAGAAGTTATTAATTGTGCTGCATTGATTTGTTGCAGTTGGGTGAGATCCCATGCATGGAGGTGCAGCTATCTAAGAAAAAGACAATGACCATCACCCATCGCAGACGTCTGCCCGAAACTACCGCATGTGGCCCTTTCGTCAATTCATAATGCCCCGAAACGCCATCTGATACTCGGAATGGGTATTTTCAGTCGTCAGAATTGAGGTGCACTTAGTGCTTGGCAGCCTCCTTGTGGACATCGGCATGAGTCTCATGCTTGCTCTCGTCCATCTTGTCGCCAGCGGCATCCTTGGCAGCAGTGGCACTGAAGAGGTCATCTAGTTAGCAGGGCTGCGATTATTGTGTGCTTGAGGGAACGAGAGATGCCATACCGGCTGCTGAGGCTGGCGTTGTTGTCCTTGGCAACCTCCTTGTTGGCCTCCTTGGAGGTAGTGGCGCCGGCCTGCTGGACAGACTCGGAAACGTAGTTGGCGGCGTTCTTGATGGTCTCCATTGTGATGAGATTTGAAGTTGTGAGAGCTGTTGTACTTTGTGTGTTGTGGTGGAATTGAACGTTGTTTGTTTGGTTTGATGGTATCGAGGTGGTGATGATGGAGGAGAAGAAAAACGTCTGGTGTATGGCGAGGAAGAGAGGTTTATATAGAAGATATCGATGTCCTTCGATGTTTGACAATGCCTTCTAGATTACGCTTGAACTTAGCGTGGCTGCCTACCTACTTCGTCGTCATGGCTGGTGTTCCAATATCTCAGTGCCGGTTTGGGCAGGTCTGGTGCGTCAGCTGGTCGTAACTCAGACGAAGACGTCATAGACAGGTTTTGGAAGTCGCACTTCGCTCCACAGAGCGGAAGTGATGCCATCGCAGCTTCTGCCACAGTGACGAAGTCTCACTAGCCACACCTGTTACATCTTTCTGACGTCACGGCAAGCTGCTAAGGGAGAGAAAGGGTAATGGGGACACGACGTCACCACTATTAGCTACCTACCTTAATAAGGTAGGCAAGAGCTGCGTAGTACCGCGCCACATTAAATGCGGGAGGAAGTCTCGCGGTACCTACGAATATCTACCTTCAACGGAAAATATAAGCTTTGCGATGTTTTTGGGTATTGACGGATACAACATTCCCCTTAGGAGTTCCTAAAATGGTAACACCATTTGCCGAGACTGTTACTACCTTAGGGTCTTCCTTTCATTGCGTACCTGGGGTCCAAGGTACGCGGCAAGGTGGTACCTCACCACACGATACACGGCAATCACTACCGTAATTACTGCCGGGATCTGTACCTGATCCGTACCTTCCGCACTCTCATCACGCCTTTGACACGGACGCTGGACACATGTGCCTAAGGTAGGTACCTTCTAGTGCCGATGTTGTCATTTTCCCCTTATTGATGGTCCCTGCTCAGTGACGACATGATCCCGTCATTCCACCACATGATGCCGAGAGGACGCAGGCATTGGTTTTCGGGCAGTCAGGAACCATCGGTCTGGCCCTGGCCTCCATCAGCTTCTTGATCCCTTACCCACGCTCATTGCAGCATTCATTGGCCTGGCGTACGTTTCCCACTCTACACTACTCCATATCATCTGCTGCTCTCCACTAAAGCCAATGGGTAAAGAGTCTAACATGTGCTATAACTCTACCGGCTTTCCGTGTGCGGAATAACAGTGCTGCAAACTGATGTTCACATGCGTCCAAGGGCACTGGGGTGAAACCTATTGCGTGCGTTTTTGGATGATCGTCTCCGCCACCCCGACTCATGACCACAGTCCGGACGTCTTACCCAGGTCCCCAGGTCCCCAGGTCCTCCAGCATGGAACAGGCAGTGGGTGTCGTGGCACGCACGTGCAAGGTGTGAGCTTGGGAAGGTGACGATGAACCTAAAATAACACCGGTTCGACTCCGAACGGGTGCATGACGCTGCGCCCGGAAAGACGAGAGGGCACCGTAGGCCGGATCCGTAGATTGATCGTCCTCCCGGTCCGGGTGGCGATCAATAGGCCCGACCCGTCTTTATCCCGGCAGTCCCGATCAGCAGATGACACAAGTCTCCAGTGGATTGGAACGAGGAGTCGTCTGCTGCACTGGGCTGGTTACCCTTAAATGAAGAGTAAACACCTTTGGTTCATTTGAATCCAGCTGTTGTTTTCGTGACTTGTTCTTATCAAGGCATCGTAACGTATTGAGTTGAGCCGTCGATCCCGAGTAAATGGATCAAACATCACCGGTCTCGATGATATGGTTTTTTTAACGGGAGCTTCGTATTTATTACGGGGTACTTCGAGCAAGGTGATTGGTTCTTCTCGGCGTTCATTCGGCTTGTGGAGCGTTGTCACTGGATTAGGTAAGCCAGTTTATTCTAGTTTATTCTAGTTTACCTTATTCTAGTTGTAAAGTATTATTCTGCACTTTGTTGCACAAAAGGAGCCCGCAACCATGGCAAAAACTCAACTCCGAATGCCCCATATTCGACCTGATCGATACCAGGACTGCGCTATTTTCGCTCCGGAAACCGTTGAACTGGCGGATTGTCTTGTCTGACTGACTAGTACCCTGTCTCCCGGGTGTTGGTGACCTCTGGTGCGATCAGCGATCCCTGCAACCACTCGATGGTGACCGAAATCCAACATGCATGCGAATATCTCGACATGGCGCACCCGAGCAGTCATGGGAGTCATGGGAGACAACATAAATAACGTTGGTTTCCATGGCACGGCATAACCTTTATTGATCCTCGTAGCTTTCAAGTAAAAGGGGGGGGGGGGTTGGGCGGTTGACAGAAAGCGTGTGCCTTCGCCCTTGGATCGGGAGCTCCAGAGTCTCATGGGAAACCCGAACTTGACTATAATAATTTTGCATCGTCATTTCTTCAAATACCGACTCCATGCAACCATTTCAGCGGCCTCCTGACCGACACAGCCACGACAACCTGGTGATATCTCCTCGTAAACTGATTTGTTCCCGGCCCCCGGATCTTTCTCCGCCAGAACACATATGCATCTTACGGTATATTTTTCACGTCAAAAGAGAGTCGATCCCCAAAATCTGGTACCTTTTTCTTTGGTGGAGGGTCGGCTACATGCAATGCAGCCTGTCGACCTGCCTTGAAACACCCCGGAATTCCCCATCAGCACTCCCTCTTTGGGTTGGTTTGTTGAAGTTGCCATGGGCCTAATCTGTTGGGACATGGACCATGAAAGTGTATGCGGACCACTTTATTATTTCACTTGTTGCCTGTAGACGATTCGACATGTTATATTTTTTCGGGTTCTTCCTTGTTTTCTATGCAGAAAACGGGCGGAATGGATGCATCAAACGTGACTCCCCCGGTCTAGGGTGCAGAAGCTTTTATGTATATGCGCCGCCCTGTTTAATCCATCGAACTCCCACTCCGTCTCCACGAGAATAACAAGGATGAGGATGTGGTTCGACAATCAAACCCGTCATTCCAAATCTTGACATCAAATTTAGGCTGGCGTGGCTCTCCGCCATGTCGTCAGCTTGCATTTATCATAAGAGAGCCAAGGAGCAGGGCATTGTCAAGCGGGAGAAGGTTGATAAAGAGGCGACACGCTGGGTTCCCGAATGCAGGAGCTGGGGAGAAACTCGTCACTTGGTGTTCGTGATTGTATGTGACAGCTTTCGCACGTTGACAACCAACGCCCGAAGCCCAGTAGGACAGGAGCAGGAGCCCCAGATACCCTTCGAGGCGTCCAGAAACGTTAGCAGGCACGATGATGCTGCTGCTTCGTTATTTGATCACGTCGGCCGCCCTATTCGGGGGCCTCGGGCTTGCCGACACATGCTCCGAGGTCGAGGCTTTCACCAACATCGAAGTGTCTCGGCCCCCTTCGCTTTCGTACATTACCGAGCAAATGGATTACTGGTCCACTTCCTGCAGTGCTCTAAAGCCGTCCTGCATCATCTTCCCCCGGTCCGCCGACGAAGTGGCGGCGGTGGTGAGGATCCTCCGGGAGACGGACGAGGATTTTGCCGTCAAGTCAGGAGGGCACAACCCGAACAACTACTTCGCGAGCGTCCAGGGAGGGCCGCTCATCTCGACATCGAAGCTGGATCACGTCCTGCTCGACCGGCAGACGGGGATCGCCCGAGTCGGGCCGGGCCAACGCCTCGACAGCATAGCCGATGTCCTAGACGGCACGGGGTGGACGTTCGTCGGGGGTCGCATCGGCAACACGGGGGTCGGCGGTCTGATCCTCGGCGGCGGACTCTCCTACATGTCGGCGCAGTACGGCTGGTCCGCCTCGAGCGTCTACGAATTTGAAGTCGTGCTCGCCAACGGCACCATCGTCGCCGCTTCCGAGACGAACCACCCAGACCTGTTCAAGGCGCTCAAGGGAGGCGGTAACAACTTTGGGATCGTCACGACGTACGTCCTGCAGACGTACCGGCAGGGCGACGTCTGGGGCGGGAACCTCGCCTACCCCATCCGCAGCAAGTCGAAGGACGCGCAGCTCCTCCGGGCGGTGCGGGACTTCACCGAGTACAACGACGACGACAAGGCGGCGGTGATCGTGACGGCCGAGCGCGCCAACCTCAACCTGGTCGATTCCTGGATTGTTTTCCTGTTCTACGACGGGCCCCAACCGCCGGCGCACGTGTTCAAGAACTTCACCGATGCCGGGCCGTTGGTGAACACGTGCCGGACGCGCACGTACGCCGACCTCATCGGGAACAGCAACTGGGTCATCGTGCCCGGGTCCAACGTCCAGATGGCCACCGAGACGATCCCGCTGCCCCCGGCCGAGCATGGCGCCGACATGTTCGACGCGCTGCACAGTCACTGGCGGGAGGTCTCCAAGACGACGCTGGCGGTCCCAGGGATCGTGGCGTCGATTGCGTACCAGCCCATCCCCAGGGCCATCGCCCGCGAGGCCCGGGCGAGGGGCGACGACCTCATCAGCGCCGACGACGACGCGGACAGGCTCATCATCGAGATGAACTACAGCTTTATCCCGCCCAGCAAGTACGACGAGATGGCTGACACGTTGGAGGCGACGTACTCTGGGTTCAGAGAGAGGGTTCTTGAATGGCAGGAGGAGGGGAAGCTTCCCGATGTGTATCTTCCTTTGGCTATGAATTACGGGTTCTACCGCCAGGATTATTTTGGGAGGTTAAAGCCCGAAAATTCCAGGTTGGCGGCTGAGGTTGCTAGGTCGGTTGATCCGTATGGATTGTTCCGAAATCGGACGGGAGGCTGGAAGCCTTATTAAGAAGATGAAGACGAAGACGACCGATTTCTCCTCCCCGAGGGCCCCGAGGGTGTCTCAATGACTCGATGACCCCCCCATCGCCGCGCGTCGTTTGGGACATGGGTGTTGGGCGCCGGGGGGGTGGTGGGGGCGGGGCGGGGCCAGCACAACGAAGAACGTTCCATGGGAAAGATCGAGTTACGTTGCAGGTACGTGTACAACGGTATTCGGAGTTTGGAAATTTGGGGGGAAGGGGGGAAATACTCCGCTACTCACGATTGAACGCGGTGAGCCCGGAGTACGTGTATTGTGTGGTGTTGAGGATTAGAAAGACGTAATGATTCCCGGAAATGGCAATGAACAGCATCGGTGGCGACAAAGGAGGATGAGGTCTCTTAGTTTTTCGAATCCCACCACTCCGTCCTCAACCACTCAACCCATATTTTTCACCCGTTCTGCACACTTTTCTCAACACCATCTCCAGTGTTTCTTTATTATATGAATGGAGCAAAGAAAAAGCCAAAATCTGTGTTCGCTTCAAACCTGTTTGATACTGTAAGCATACACTACTTCGTAATTCTTTTACTTGCGGCCACGATAAAGCCAATTGACCATTGACATGAAACGAAAAGTCAACCCATCGCACTGAAGAACCACATTTCCAATTTCATATATTTATATATTTATATATTTATATATTTGTATATATTCACGAACATTTCTCCTCGTTCCTCCGTCTTCACTACACTTTATCCCAACTACCTTCGTCCTCATAAACACTCCTCACATGGCTCCTACACGTATTCTCATCCAAACAAAGACCCATCTAGTCCCAGGCGCCGATTACCACGACAAATGTAAAGGCCTGAAGAACGGCATTTGCCGGGCGGTTTGGCAACGCGACTTCGACAGCACACAAGACAGATGGCATTCCCACGGCGCCTACTTCGGCTACCACAACCGGCGATGCTTCTTCCTTCTCGATCACGGTGTCTCCAACAAAGTAGAGCAGGTACCTGTCCTATGGTACAGATGGACGGGAGATCAGTTGTACGTTTGTTGTTCTTGGGATGTCAATGATTTTTTTTTTCTCCTTCTCTTTCCTGCGTTACTGACCCAACCTGATCGTTACAGTGAGAAGATCCCATCATCACTACCAGCCGCCATAAGGACCGAACTGGACAAGTATCCGTTCACAGAGCAGCCATCGTCGCCACGGCGCGCAAAAATCGTCCTGTCGGAATGCACCAACGAATACCGGTTAGAACTCATCGCAGCCCGGCTCCGACACCTGCTGAAACCCACGCGCGGCGACATCGAGTTTCTGAGCCAGAATCCCGACCTGATCGATCAGCTGCGGGAAGCCGCGCCCCACTTCCAAGCCCAGATCGATGAGCTGGCCGGGACCCTGAGGGCCGCGGAGGCGGCCGCTAGGGCTACTGCCATGCCTGAAGTGGATATTCCCACCCCTCTTTCGGACTCGGGCATGACTGTCAGCAGTGTGGCGGCTGGGTGAGAAAATCTCTGAAAATTTCACGACACGAAAATGGGGAAACCAAAACAAAACAAGGAGTAAAGGGGAAAAGAAGCAAGAAGAAAAAAAATTCACGACTGCGAACTACAACAGATAATACCCTAGCGATCAATGCAGCGAGTATCGGCGTACATGATCTCGGGAAAGGGCTGGATTGGCTTGACTGTGGTCTCAGGTTGAAAGAGCGGTAAAATGGAATGGGGAAGGGGGTGAAAACGGATCTCGGAGCGAGGAATGTCTTCTTTTTTTTTGGGTGGTCCATGTTGTCTGGATGCAGTACCCGAGATCTGCGTCCTTCTCCTTTTTCAATTGGCGTTTTTGTTTTGGCCAAGTATAATACTTTCATATCATGTTAAAACGAGCGTGGGCATCTTATTGCAATATTATGATTCATGGACATCTACACGTGTACGAGTGTGGTTTAGACGTCTTTGATAGCAGTGGAATTAACTATACGGAGCAATTCATTACCTGGGACAAAACCGCAGAGATTCCCCTTTTTTGCCCCTTTTTGCCTGTCGGAAGCAGACCAGGTCGACGTCAAGTCAATCTCTTTGACTGCCACGGCTGTAGGACCTGTGACTGCTGTTATACAGTCTTTGTTGAGACGCAGCTTTCGTTGCCTAGAAGCCTCACAGACGCCTTGTCGTTTTGAGGCAGTAGAACCTCGGTTATTCCAAGACCTGCTATGATGTTGGTCTGAATCCATTAACAATGCAAGCTGATTGGAAACGACGAGGTCAGTGATTATTCGTTTCGGGATACCTGAAATGGTTGGACAGAGCTGCCTGTCTGTCAACCTGATGAGCAATTGCTCTCCCCCATTTTGCTTTCTTTTCTTTTTTCCTTTTCCCTTCTCTATAAGAAGTTTCCTTTGAATTCGTCCAAATCCAAGAATGTTCAGAAGCTGGAAATTAGGGAGCCCTCGGCACTTTTGCTCCTGGTTTCGAGTTCTGTTCATAACAAGGAAAGATGAATCACCATGCATATAACAAACAACCAAGACATTATAGACATGCTCCTTAACCCCCCCTTGGGTCTTCGCGCCTTCTACCACTTGCCGGGTCCCCCATACTCTACACGCAAATATTGATGGCGTCGGCCTCTTTGTGTTGATCTTCGTGCCGTAGCCCGCCGTTAATAACCTCCCTTGCAGTGCAAGTGCCGAGCAAGGGGTTCCCGCAGCTTCTTCTTATCACCACGTACACCGTTATCCTCTTTCTCCTGCTCTTCTCCTTTCGCGGCTTTAAGCCGTCCGTTTGTACTGACCTCTTACATCCGTAGGGCTGACAGATATTGAGCTCTAGTGGTCTCTGGGACCCGGCGCCAGGAGGGAAAGGAGAAACAGCCCCACGGTCCCTACCTATCTTTCAAAGCTGGATGTGAGAGCGGACGAACAAAGTGGGGGAGAGTATGAAAAGAGAGACGTAACAAAATGCCGTCTTTGTTTACAGTCCAATGTAGGGCGTCGCAGTTTTACAACTCAGTTAAGCCCAGCTTGTGAGAGCTAGGCAAGCCATTTATTTGGCATAGGAACGTCCCGGGGAGCGGTTATAGTCTTAACCTTCTCTTGTCACGTTGACATTATTCATTCCGTGATACGATTTCTTCTTCGGTCTCCGCCTCCCTTTTTTCCCACCCGGGGACATCCTCCCTTAGGGCTGTACGACCATGAACACTCAACGTACGAGACCCCCGCCCGATCAGCAGCCGCTTGGGCTAACCCAGTGGGCACAACCACTCTGCCAATGCAGGAATTTGCTTCCCAGTCGTCAATCCAACTGGACCCGACCTCCCTGCCTTATCGGGGCGATGCTGTTGAGGCCAGAAAGCAGGGGAAAGAACCCGCGTTGCACCGACAGTTCTCTTTCAACTGCTCAAGCTCGAGAAGGAGAAGAGACACGGCCTCCATCGTTATGCATCCAACGGCCGAAGCCCACATGGTATATTCAGAACGCTTGTATATGGAATAGAACGTCCACCTGACGAGGACTAAAGGACTTATGCAAGATGGGCACAGTACGAGGGAAGACCAATAAGAGAGCATAAGAAGGGGGTATTAAGTTGAAGTTGTCGTTAAGTCCTGAGACTCCGGACGAAGTAGCCCTCTCTTTTATGCTTATCCTGGACTCAAGTCCAAAGGATAGCTAAGAGTCTCTCGTAAATAAGCTCAACCCTCCAGATTATACAACCCGAGGCCTTCCGAACTAAGCTCGTATCCCCACCCGGTATCTAGATACGAAGGCATGGTCTTAAGCTAGAATTTTCTCTTAACAGAACTAAAAGAACAGCTTGGAAGATCTGTAGCTCGGTATAGGTAGTAGTCCAGACTCTGACACCACCCCTGCGTGATTGACGTGCCAGGTCCCTTGCATGGGGAAACCAAACGTCATGTTGCCTTTCATTGATATACCGTATGCTCTCTTGGAAGATATTCCGACCCTCCCTCTAGCTCTCTCTTCTCCTCCACCGGCGTATTGTCACCGTGTCAGATTGCGGCATATCACGGAACTGGACGTTGATGTGATGGGAAATCCACAAAAATAAAATATAAATATAGAAAATATCGGCCTATATATCGGTTTGTACCTCTGTCGTGCTTTGGAGATCCTGTTCATATTCTTATCTTATCAAGAAGATACTTCTTCTCTGGTCTCTCTCCATCTCCTCACCCCTTCCGTTCAGCTACCCCTGAACATCACCCCAGGAGCAACCTTGCAACACAAGTGCTCGGAACATAACTAGCCCTCCATGGCGACCGAAGAGAAGGGGCCCGCCATCGACCCAGTGGCTCCCGACCCAGTGGCTCCCGAAGCCATAGACGACAGCAAGACAGGCCAAGCTGTAGAGTCCATGGCGCCACGAGAAGAACTGCCCGAGGTCCTCCGGGATCTCTCCGACGACGAGCTGAAGGGCCTCGAATAGAAGCTCGTGAGGAAGGTTGACATGCGGCTTCTGCCCATGCTGACCCTCATGTATATTATGAATTATCTCGATAGGTCTGCGTGCACAAGCCATCACGTCCCTGTTGAACTCTGTGGTTACTGACAGAGTGCCAGAAACGTCATTGGCGCCGCGAGACTGGGGGGTTTAGAGAAGGATCTCAACTTAGGCCCCCACGAGTTCCAGATCTGCGTCTCTGTTCTATTTGTCGGTATGTTGACCTTCACCCGGAGAGACTGAGCCCGACTGACCCCGGTCACCAGGTTATATTGTGATGCAGGTACCCTCGAATATGCTCCTGAACAAGACAGGAAGGCCCGCCGCCCACCTTGCTCTCTGCATGGCCCTCTGGGTACGTATGGGATTCCACGCCCCCTTTGGCTATGCCAGATTTGCTCGTTCATCTCACGTTCCGACTGATCAAAATAATAATAATAATAATAATCCTAATATGGAAAGTCATAGGGTACCATGTGCGCCTGTGCGGGAGCTACACAGAACTTCGCCGGCCTTCTCGTCGCCCGCTTCCTCGTTGGTTTCGTCGAGGCTGCCTTCTATCCCGGCGCCCTCGTGACCTTGAGCGCATGGTACGTACGCAGCGAGCTTGGCGTCCGTACGGGGCTCTTCTATAGCGGTTCCATGCTTTCGGGGGCCTTCTTGGGTCTCCTCTCCGCCGGTATCACGGACGGCATGGACGGCGTCATGGGCCTGCTGGCGTGGCGATGGATCTTCATCATCGAGGGGTCCATTACCGTGACCATCGGTTTGGTAGCCTATTTCATCTTGCCCGACTTTCCACCCAACACCAAGTGGCTCTCGGACCAGGAGCGGGCGCTCGCCATGTGGCGCATGCAAGCCGATGCCGCCGGGGAGGAAGACTGGACGGGCTCTTCAAAACAACCACTGTTGGAGGGCCTCAAGATGGCCATGAGAGACCGCAAGAACTGGGTCCTCGTCGTCATCGCCTTTGGTGCCGCCAGCTCCATATCCATCACCATCTTTTTCCCCACCGTCGTGGCTACCATGGGCCGTGATCGCATCACTACCCTCCTTCTCACCTCCCCACCTTATCTCCTCGCTTGTGTCACCTGCACCGCCGTCGCCTGGAACGCTGACCGTGTGGGTGAGCGCCACTGGCATACTGTCGTCCCTCTGGCAGTTTCTCTCGCCGGTTTCATCATCTCGGCGGCCGCCGATGGCATTGGGCCCCGTTACTTTGGCGCCATGATCATGCTCCCAGGGATATACACCGGCTTCAACATGTCCATGATCTGGACCGCTAACACCATCCATCGTCCGGCCGCGAAGCGAGCTGCCGCTCTGGCCTTTAACAACGCTATCGCCACCATCTGCAGCATTTACGGATCCTTCCTGTACCCCGACGATGCGGGACCAAGGTTCGTCTTAGCCTTCAGCGTTAATGCCGCCACAACATTGCTGGCCATCGCTGCCAGCACTGTCCTTCACGTCCACCTGGGAAGGGAGAACCGGAAACTCGACGTGAAGCAACAGGAGGAAGAGGCGGCTGGCCAGACTCATGTTGCCGGGCAAGGGTTTAGATATGTCGTTTAAGTGGCGAGAAGGAAATAGTCCGGCATCCAGGGCTGGACAGACCTAGCGAGGGGGGCGCCAGCAGGAGTATGCCACGAGTTTGACAATTCTACATTTCGTCTGTCAAGGACTCGTACGTGAACGTATCCTGTGGCCTAACAGTGAATCGAGGTCGTGCTGGGATCGACTCTCGCGTTCCTTCGAGTGGGAATCGGACCCAACATCACAACTCGGCGACAGCACAGCAGGGGTAGTCAGCATGCTTTTTTGAGCAGAACGGCCCTATCAATGCCACTTATGAAAGCCCTTTTGTTTCCCCCTTGTATTCCACCCGAGCTTCGCGCGGATGCTGTTCACCCAATCTTCGCTTCTGCGGCCTTGGGATTGGACGGACGCAAAAGGGAAGCGGCTCGCGCTGATGGTGACGTAGTCCCCGGGCCGCAGCTCGATACGCTCGCGGCCATCAAAGCTTGCCCACGAGCTTGTCCGTGCTTGGTAGGGAACCCCCACCCGTAGGACTATAGTGTCCGGGAGGATGATGGGGCGGAAGGATAGGGTGTGCGCGCAAATGGACGTGACGAGCATGACCGGGTTCTCTGGGTGGCATAGCGAGCCTCCCGCAGCAAGATTGTAGGCAGTTGAGCCTGTAGGTGTAGAGACACAGACGCCGTCGGCCTGGATAGTGGTGAAGTGCTCATCGTCGCCAAAGATTTCGGTGTTCGACATCGCTGGGTTCCGTTAGAGGGGCTACTCAAATGAAGAAGAAGAAGAAAAAGGCAAATCATAACAGGACAAAGGGAGACAAAAGGAGACACGGGGCCCAGTGGTGATGGGTGACTTACTCGGATTTGGTCCCCGATCCACGACGATTTCGTTGAGAATCACGTAAGTGCCATCGGGCTTGTGAGTGTACTCGTCGTCTCTGTCTAGGCCGACAAGTTCCTCAACGAGGTCCCTTTGCATGTTCTCGTCGTCCTGAGAGCTTGAGCTGCTTTCGGCATCGACACTGCTCGGCCTTTTCTGGCTCCTCATTATGGCGCCCTCAAATCGCAAGCGCAGGCTCACGGTAACACCCTTTTCGAATGCGTTGGACAGGATAGGCTGATAGTCGGTGAAATCGAACTTGGTGAGGAACCCGAGACTGCCAAGGGAGAAACTGAGCACAGGGGGCACAATACGCTGGAACAGCCAGCTGGCATAGAGCACCGTCCCATCCCCGCCCAAGGTGATGACGAAGTCGAATGTGTGCGGCCTAGTGCGGCACATGCATTCGTCCCAGTACCGTAATCTCTTAGAGATGGCTTGCGCGGTATCCTTCTCATCGAGCTCCCCGGCTTTGGTATATTCCTGTTCTAGCTCCTGGACCAGGCCAGGGGCATTGAACCTCTTGCTGTCCCGAAACCTGTCTTCCAAGTAAACTACGTAGCGGACGTCGTGTTCGGGGCCCAGAAGCCACTTGGCCAGCTCCCTTGTATGACTGACTAGCTCCATGTCGTGGATCTTGGTCAAGATGAAGATGGACTTGACCCGAAACTTGATCCGCATGGTACTCAGTCTCCTGCTCAGTTCCCGGACACCCCATGCCATCTCGCTCAGCTGCCTCTTGGTCAGGAGCCGACTGTTAAGCTCTTCGTTTCCCGACTTGTCGCCCGGCTCCTGTCGCGGCTGTTCCACGTCGAGCTGCGACTCGGTTCGGCATATCTGCATCCGCCACTCCTTCTCATCTGCCTGGCCGATATCGCCTTCCTCCGGAGTCGCGGTACCGAGGGCCAGAATATCTGCGCGAGCATTACGACTCGGGCCCTTGCCATCGATTTGATTTTCGAGTCCCTGTTGACGTGATATGTCCTTCGCATCCTCCTGCTTATGGGGAAAGTGATAGGCCGGGTGCCCATAGAACAGGTGATTACCCGACTCGTTACCGGCACCGTCTACCGACCGATCAGCCATCCTCTGACTGTCTAGGAATTGGTGGACCATGCACTCGGTTTTTCGGCTAGGGGGAAGATGGGCGACGGCTTCAGATGATACGAGGGAGGCTTTGCGTCGATAAGGGCTGGTTGGGTCGAAGGAAACCTGCGTTCCATTTGCATCCAGTTAGCCGGGGAACAAAACAGACGGACTGGCATAGAAAATAGGGGGCAAAGCAAGTAAAATAAAAGCTCGGGACGAACCTCGACTGCCCGGGGATAGTCCCCATCACTTCCGCTTGTGTGCACGTCATCATCCAGATCTAGGAAGAGAGGGTGCTTTTCCTTTACATCCTTGGGCCCCATCTTGGCACAGCGACGGAGCACTTGGACTACGAAAACGCAGAAACAACAAGAGCTCAAAGACCGGCGCCGCCTTCGATTGCCAAGAAGAGACAAGACTTAGGCCTTCGTGTAGACCAGGGAAACGAAGACCTGCAGGATGGCGTGTTACTGATCAACCGATAGGAGATGGATAGTAATCGTATGTTGCACCAGAGACGTGAGGTAACGGTTTGATGTTGTCACTGATGGGTGAGAGACAGACCTTAACAAGCCACCGGGGAGAGAAGAGAAAGAGAGAGAAATGGGGGGGGTAGAGACAGAGAGAGACGACAGTGGGAGGGAAAGAACGGAATTCTAGGCGCCGACCTTTAAGGCACCCGCTCAAGGACTTATTCAGTTCCAAAGTAGCATGCTCGTTTTCTCTGGAGCGAGTGTTCTCTTGGCAAAGCATTGATGACAATGGGACCAGGATGAAATACGGAGCATACGGAGTACGTGGAAGGGAAAAGTCTCAGTAACGTTAACCGCTCATTCCTTCCACCCCACTATTCCCAAGTCCCAAGAGCGTGGGCTCCTCGCTCTATTTACCTTTAGTGGTGTCGTGTCAGTTTGTCCCGGATAAAATCCTTATCACCGGCTTATCGATACAGTGGCCCCGCTTCCCTACATCGGCATGTACCGGTACCTTACCCTCGTCCTTTTTGAGCCGTGGAGAATAATAAGGAAAATAATAATAAACGGTTGACTTCACTCCAACTTTGGCCGTAACACAATCCCTTCCTTAACGTTCTCATGAAACCACCTATTGCTGATCAATGGCACTCCGAATCCAGTAATATGCAGGAACAGCTCCTTGGAGTTGAAGCGTTCTATTTGACGTCTTAGGGTGAGACTTCGAATTATGATTGGTTGGTGAGCCCATCCAACACATGAGGTAACTCCGACCGTCCCGGATTTACCGTCCCAGGACCGAGATGACATTTCTCCTGCTCCCTGAGCTTATACTCAGTTATTACTCCGTAATCGCAGCCTTCCAACGTCTAGGGCCTGCCTCAGTGGTCAATTAGCTTCTTCTCCCACGCATACAGTACACCAGTGGTTCTCTAGCACTCAGGTCCGTTCCGGCGACGCCTCCAATCGATCCTTCATAGCTTGTAATAGCTTATAATAGCTCAAAAGGATCCTTGTCGTCTCCGTTCCAACTGTAAATTTCAAGATGGAATAGAACGGGTATAGAACCCCGTGATATCATACTTCGTGCTACGTACGACGTATAAGCGAGCAGCCCGTTATTGACCCACTTCTAAATATCTACCGGATATTCTGCAGAGGCCTCGTTCTCGACGATATACACCAGGTTGTGTCTGCCGGTTCAGCCTCAAGTTGATGTCCAGACCTGCTCCGCGAAGGCGAAGGCGAATACGAAGGCGAGAGCAAGGGCACTATGCCGATGGTTTCGTTGGTTGATTGGCAGTAGGTTGCTTTGCCAAGCGGCCTTGGAAATTTCATGAACATCATGATACTCGTGGAGCAGTTCCTGTCGTCTGACAGACAGTCATTTCGTCATTGTCATCGTCTGATTCTTTTTTTGTGGTCATAATTATAAGTAAGTGCTCAAATCTTTTATAGTGTTCCGGCTCTTCGCGGTGGCCAGCAGTAGACGACCAAGCGGGCTTGATAGGCGACGCTACTCGGTTCGCCCTTACTTGCTGTCTTACTACGAGAACGCTCTGAAACATGGAGGAGAAGCTCTATTTTAGCTGATCTCACGTTATTAGGTACTCACAGACCTAGAAGTTGCAACTATCAGAGGTCCCGCGACCTACTCGGCATCCAGGGATTCCGCACCACCTGCCACCTTAAAGGAAAAATGTACTTCGTCGTTCCTCCGTCCAGACTGTGACGTTGTCAATGGACCAGTACTGTTTATCCGCGTCCTGTCGCCTGATTATTGGCGGTAAAATCCCTGAAGCCAATGTATGAGTACTCCGTAGTTCGTGCTTGCATCCCCTTCTCCACTTTTGGTTGTACTTTCGTACTCTGTCTGGGCAATGGTAAGAGTTCAGAACCTGGAAGCTAATAAGGTACCTTACCTTAATATAGCCAACCAAGAGCTTCAACGCATCTTTGGAAGAAGCTTTGGACTCTGGACCTTGGAGACACGCGATACTGCACCCGGTCCTCAGTTCGACTCGCCGCTTTCATCTCTCGTTCCTTTGCTTACCTATGGCATGTCAGTTGCACCAGCTGATCTATCTCGCGGAAATACCTAATCCTTTATTGACGGCTCCAGACCTATCAACAGACTCTAATCCCCAGCACCCTTCAGCCCGATTCCATAGCCGCTCCCTTCCCGGCGCAGATACATATGTATGCAGTCCACGAGCTGGATTTCCAACAACCCTGAGGCGCCGGACGAGTCTCCCACCGAAACCGCCTGTCCCCCAGAAGCCGATCGCGCGCACCTCCAGACGATGAACCCATGGCTGTCGAGACCCGCCGACGAGGCACCCGAATCTGCCTCCGACCAGCCCGATACCGAGATGACAGACGCAGGCGAGGTTGCCGACGTCGGGCCTGAGCATGAGCAAGTTAGCGACGTCACGTTTCCCCCACCTCCTCCGCCACCCGTCTCATCGCGACGCCCACAACTCCAGGGAGATCAAGCAACCCCTCCCGTGGCCCCTGCCCCTCCAGCTCCCATGCCGCCACCGCCGCCTTCCAACCCTCAACAACCTACCGATTCTCTATCCTTAGTGCAACTACGGAGAATCGTGGCAGAATTCAATAAGGTCGAGCCCATTGCTTACGACTTCGTCTACGAGGACCTAGGCCCTCTCGAAGAAGAGATCGACGAGTGGTTCGTCTACCAACACGCCCAATGGGCCTGTCTGAATGCTGCCCAAGCTGCCTTCCAGTCGCAGTGGGAATTACACCAAGATCAGACTTCCTGGGACGGGGCAAGTGAATCCACAAGACAGAATTTCGTTCGAGAATGTCTGGAAGGAGCTCGCGGGGAAGACTCCGCCGAGCGCCTAGAGGCCTTCAAGCCGCTCATGTACTTGGTGCTTGGCAGATGGGCCACCACAGCCTCTCCCATCACAGCGAAGGGTCATGATAACGCCAAAACCAGATCTGCTGCCAGTCCTGGGCAGCTCAAGGCCATCAAGTCGGCTGTTTCCCTTCTCACATCCGCTGGCGCCGTGGAGGTCATATGGAAAACCATTCAAAACTGCTTTGAGTTCCTCTGGTTCGTCTCTGCTACGTTAGACGGCTGTACCGATTTCTATCTAACCACGGGCTGACACTTCTACAGGTCAGATGATGTACAACGCGCCCCAAACGACGTCGTCCAGGATGCCCAAGAGGAGCTTTATTACTTGGCGACGATATTATACATCATCATCCAGGTTGCACTGGATAGCAAAGAAGACATGGAGTCAACTCACGCTGAGCTCCGTACGGACACGCCCCGTCCATGGGAGGTTGATATTTTTACGCTGACGTGCCTTTTCCCCCAGTCCGATTGAACCCTGCATTGGTCAACTTCCTGTCGCTTGCTCTTGTCAAGGTCCGGTGGGATGAGGATAAACTTCTTCCCATGAACCAGGTATGGCCGGTGGAGATCCCTGCTACCCGTCTCAGCCTCGACCTAATGCCCATCCAAACAGATCTTGCTTCTGCTATGGAAGGCGATTCTTTTACAATTCGGCGGCACGAAGGAGATAGAAGAAACCAAAAACGCGTTGAGCGAAACAGGAAATGACCTGAAACCCAAGGACATCATTACTGCGTCCCCCCTGGACTACCACGTATTTCGCCAGGAACTCACCTCCAAATACCCTTCTTACGTCCCGCCTCAGCCCGTCATTCCTCTCGAGGCTGACAACTCGACTCTACTACCACCTCCCCCGAATCAACCTCCACGATCCTCCGCTGCTAACGGCATCATCCCTACACCCCCAAACATGCAAAGCGGCGGCGCTTCTATTCTTAACCAACCAGTGCACATTGCAACGCCTGCGCCTTCGCCTCCACCGTCCCCCGGTCTCGGGGGCAAAGGCGGTAAGAAACAAAACTATCAGACGAACCAGAATTTTCCTTTTCTGTATCCACCTCTCGATGCCACGAGCAATAGTGCCGGTGGTAAGGGCGGAGCTGGGCTCCAGGAGTCATTAGTCGGCCGTAAGTGGGAGGGGAGCGACATCCCCGCATCCATCCTTGAAGCGGGGGAGCTGTTCTCAAAGCGGGTTCGGATGAGCCGAGCCACGAGACAGATGTGGGATGCGCGTGAGAAGTTCCTCAAGTCCGAGCGAGGCTGGGGAGAAGAAACGTCGGACGATGAGGACGTCGAGAGCCTCGATCTTTCCAATATAGACCTCGAAAAGGATCTGGATCTGGATCTCCATGGGTTGACCCAGGAAGAGAGAGAGTTGATTCTAGAGGCCAGAGGTGGAAATCAGCATCATGGGAAGAGGAAGGACGACAAGCCGGACATGCACGGGCCAGACTACGGGCCGAATCCAGCTGGCATCAACGAAGATGTGAAGCGACGGTTACTTGCGGTGGAAAGCTTCTACGTACGTACGTTTAGTCTCTGGAATTTGGGTGCATCAGCTGACCGCCATAGCATGAATTGCTCCCTCAACTCCAATCCCTGGCCATCGTTCTTCTGCAGCCGACTTTCTGGACAATGTCGGTCCTAGATCAAACAATGAAATCCCAGCCGCATGCGGGAATGGCTGGGAGAGGCCCTAATGCAAATAGCGGACTCGGCATCACGAGACTGCCGCAGCTGCAAGACCCTTCGTCCGTCGGAGGCGGTCAACAGACGACCGCAACCGCAACAATGTCAGCTGAGGAGCTTGATGCAGCGAGGTCAAGGGAAATAATGACGAAAGCTTCTACAGGGACTCTGTTGCTCCTGTTGAAATGGCTGAAGCTATCACGTAAGAAACGACATTAGACGAATCGGTCAGTCACACACAAACTGACTTTCTGTTCCGTTTAGACGTTCTCAAGTTTGAGTATATGACGCAGCTCGTGCTGGACCATAACGGGTTAATCTTGATTCTCAAACTGTTTGCGCACCAAGACATTCAGCAGGTAGTCGACAGCAAGACGGACAGTCTGGAAAACAGGTATGTCCAGGACTGGAGACTCTCACCATGACAGACAAAAAGACCTGACCAGACAGCTTCTTCCACTTCTGCAACCTCCGGTCTGAGTCTAAGGAGGCGTCATCACGATCAGAGCCAAGTGACAATGTAGTTGCTGATGAAGACCGAGCCCGAGAGGAGGAAGAGGAGGAGAGCGAGGATGAAGCAGCTCCGCCCCCAATCAAGAGGAAAAGATCGCCGCCTGGGCCAGCTGTGCTCGATGTGCATGATGTCGAACCCAAGCCGCTGGAGGATCAAGCTCCTGCTGCTCGGCCTGAAGTCGACGAGTTAGGATACCCAGTCAACCCGCTCCCAGCGCAGCCGATTACGGATTTCTCGAGGAGGAACTTCTTCTCCCTTATCAACCATCTGCGCATCATGCAGAAGATCTGCAAGCGCAAGGCCTACCGGAGCCTGATGTTGGTTCAAATTAAGTCTTCCAACATTCTTCGCAAGTCGCTCAAGGTGCCGCAGCCCGAGCTGCGGCTCTACACCCTCAAGCTCTTCAAGAATCAGGTCCCTTACTGCGGGCGAAAGTGGCGCCAGAGCAACATGCGTGTCATCACGGCCGTGTATCTGCACGTCCGACCCGAACTGCGTGACGAGTGGCTGGCCGGCAGCGATGTCGACGCTGAGGTCGACTCGGCGCTCCCACTGGAGCAGGCGCTTCGCAGTCTGACGCACTGGTTTAATGTGCGCAACTATCCGGACAAGATGGTCAGCGACGACAACTTGTGGACGGCGTATCGGGAAGAGCAGGGCTTCTTCACGCGAGAACTTGAAAAACTGGGGATGAACTGGCAAGATTTCGGTGCGGACGGTAATGGTGCGTAGGCACTTTCGATCGCCTTGACCCTCCAAGTCATCCCTCCTCTCTTTTCACTTTGCCCCTCTTCTGGCGAATATTCTAACGTTTTTTGCTGCCTTGCTCAAGGAATCCTTCCAGGTTAATCACTAGGTAGCCTCGGCGAGGGCGAAGCCCCAGAGGTTTAACTTGGCAAGACGCCTGTGCCATCCCCCCACGTTGCCGGTGACACTTCATATATAGGCACTGCCCTGCCTGAAAATAGCGTGCAGTGGCTACGAAGTGCGTAGTGGCGCTTGGAACATTGCAATTGAATATCCGATTACAGCAGCGGTGATCGTCACCAGGACTCTGTGCATGGGTATTTGGGTTTGTCGTTTAGGGGGAGTGTAACGGTTATCACGAAGTGTGATTTGCTAAGCGACGAAGTCATTATTGAATGACGATTAATTATTACAAAGTGATATGAATATGAAGCATATGTATGCGTGTTGTTAACAGTAGTGTCTCATCCGGCCAGCGACTGAGGCATCAATTTACGTTGCTCGGCCTCTACCCGCCCTTCCAGCCAGCCACTGGGTATGTCTGACGTTACCACCTTAAATCTTTGCTCGTACTCCGTAAAGTCTCCTTTGTTCTGATGCTGCTGATTTCCCAAAGAGAAAGGGAGGCGCTTAGGCACGATCATACACACCGTCCTCGTATCGATACGACTGATAACCCTGCTGTGGGACGGTAGTGTCCCCCTGAGCCACCTGGCCGTGGGTTCCTTTTGCTGTGTTGGTGTAACCCGTGGTGTTCGTGTAGCCGGGGGGGTCATTGGTATAGCCGTCTCCATGTCCAGTACCAGTATCAGCGCCAGTGGCAGTGGCAGTGCCAACGCCCGCGCCAGCGCCGTTGGTGTGACCGTAACCCGATTCGCCATACTTGTTATAAATGCCGGCGTCGTGGGTCCCGACGGCGGTGGCCTCGGTGTTATAACTCTGGCGGACCTGGTCGGGGTGGGTGTGGGCGGGAAGCTGACTGTCATTGGCCAAGGCGGGATTCTCCTTGCGGCGGCGGCGCCAGCCGAAGAGGCCGGTCTTGCCTGAGCCCGAGGTATAGTTGTTGTTGGGGCCGGGGCCGAAGCGCTTCTCCTTCTTGCGGTGGCGGACGAGGAAGACTTCGACGACGGCGGAGAGAAGGAAGAAGATACTAGAGGGAGTAGTTGTGTGAGAAGCGGTCCTCTGTTTCTTTCTTTCCTTTCTACTTTTATTTTTCGCCATCTCTTCTGTTGGTGAAAGAAAAAAAAACTAAAAAAAAAAGAAAGAAAAAAAACTAAAAAAAAAAAGAAAGAAAAAAAACTTACATCGCTATAATGGAAACGGCGAGACAGGCCGTCTGCATGCGGCAAGCAGTCCGGAAGCTGGGCAGGCTGGTGAAGCCCGCAGTGTCGGCCCGGACGTCAGCTTCGGCCCTACCCCGGCCGTAGGGCGTATCGACATAGCCGTCGCAGGAGCCGGCGCCATATCGGTTCTCGACGGCCACGTAGATGAAGGCGCCGGCGAAGGCGATGTCGAGGACTATGGCGATGAACGAGGTGATTGGGAAGCCGGCAACACAGCAGAGAAGGATGAGGCTGATAAGGGTATAGAGCACGGCGGCGCCAGAGATGCCCTCGACGGCACGGATGTTGTTGTTGATGTTTAGGTTGTGGTTATGCAGGGTCGCGAGGAAATAGGAGAAGATGCCGAGAACTACGGCGGCGCAGCCGAACTGGACGCTGCGGATGGTCCACTGGAGGAACCTGAGAGCGAGGCCCTTTCTGAAGGCCATGATGGGCGACAGGATGCGGGAATGGCGAGAATCAATTGGACAATGTACTAAAGCTGTAAATGGACTGAGGGCTTAGAAGTTGTATACAGAGCAAATAAAGCAGGGGATCGATGGTCGGAAAATCCTGGGGAAATACGAAAAGGGCCTTTATAAAATATCTACAGCGCGTCGACCACCCGTCACAGAAGCCATGCGCCGGCTGCCGGCAGTTTGGGGAGGTATGAAACCGGGGGGGAGAAGGGGGGGAGGGGGGCTTCGAGCTAAAAGGTCCCCGTCGATCCACAGGACGCAAGGCTATTTGCTCTTCTTTTCCCTCTTCGGTAGCTCTAAAAGTGAAAACCGCATTGCTTTCTCGTAGTGAACTATGTTTATAGTCGGTTTGGCAGCAGATCGCGCGTTCGTATGAGTGGTCTCAGTGGTCCCACGAGTTGAGACGGTTGCGATGTGATGACGACAAGGAGGGTGTGGCTGATACTTGGGGCAGTGATGTCACTGTGGCCATTGTCGAGGAAAGAATAACCAACTGATTGGATAAACAAACGATGATGGGAGATCTGTGAAGAACTGCACGGCCATTGTCCAGCTGGAGCTTCTTGAAACGGAAAGGGAAATGTGGCTAAGTAAGTTCGATTAGCTTGGCTTTTCCCGACTCGTTTGTCCACCGACTGCCACAATACTCAGTAAATCGGTCAGTATTACGGAGTGGACGAGTTCGTAGCGGACTGCGACGAATCGTGACAGACGACGATTTTTCATGATGAATATTATGACTGGATCAGCTTCTCGGAGCCATCACCGTGACAGTGACAGTAATAGTAATAAATAGTATTGCAATTTTGTGTCGCGTGGGTGGGAATGAAGATCAAAGACGGCTTCTGACCCCTAACCCAAGTCCGGTGGTGGTGACTACTTCAAGTCGAAGGGCCGAGCTAGACGGTTGTTATGGTAGAAGCTGTTTTCAGACATCTTGATCACACATTTAAGAGTAAGGTAGTTTTGTAAGACGGGGTAACCACTTTGAGCTCAGATGAGAGTCCAGGCTTGATAGCCGTGGTAGATGTAATTATTAGCTTAATTTAGGTCCACAAGTAGTATACCTACTGACTATCCAATATCAAAGGACAAGGTGAGCGAGCCTTCTTCGATTTCGAGTTTGACATGAGTGATTCCAGCTCAGGAAGTGAATAAGAGTCAAGGCTCATATCCTGGAGGTATCACAAAGTAACAGAATCATTAGATACATGCATCCGTGCATTGCGTGTCGATGTACTCAGGACCTGTGTGCAAGTTCCGTAATTACTCCATACCTTACCCTCCTTCCTTTTCAAAAGGCGGTCGCACTACGGAATACGATCCTCCATGACCCTGCGTCGTATCACGTACATACCTTATGTACTCCTTCCCTCGTTTCCCTTCCCCACCGTCGAGATACCATCCATCTCCGTCTTTCATCAAAACAGACGTTGACGACTCGACAATGCCTTACGAGTTACTATGGTCGTTCGTCGGCCTGCCTCTACCCTCGTTTGTAGCGTTGCACCACCACTACACCAGAAACGGATGGGTCTCGCCTCAACGGCAACCGATCCATTAATAATGCCCATCATCCACAGTTCATACCGATATGCGAGGGGAGGAGAAAGGCAAGGTGAGTGCAAATTGAGGACTCCTGTCAATATCAATCACCTATTATTAGACAAGATCGTCAGTGTCATGCAGCCTGCAACCCGCCGTCCGCTCTCACGTCACAGCCGCACACCCTACCCTCTCTCTCTCTCTCTCTCTCTCTCTCTCTCTCCCTCTCGAGCGCATTGAGCAGGCAAAAAGGGGCCTTCTGACTCGACCATTTCGTGCGAAATCCACAAACCATGGCTTCCGTCAGTAGGCTTGGCCTTTTTTTATTCCTCTTTCTTCTTCTTCTTTCTTTCTTTCTTTTTCTTTTCTTTTCTTCTTTCTTACAACGTACTTTCTTTGACCTTCGAGCAGCAACAGATGAACCGATACAACTACAGCCTGTCAGCGTCCGCACCATATCCGCCGTGGCATTCAATAGTGCGACGACCGCGCCACCACCCGTCCATTCACCACTAGAACTAACAGTTGTCGGCTATTCCCTGACCAGCCAAAAGACAATCATCGCACAACGTCTTCTCGAAACCCGTTGGGCATGTTCCTATGCATGCATCCTCTTATGACCCGAGGGCTGTATGTACCGAGCTGATGCTCAGCAATCCAAGTTCCATTGGAATCCAGCACGACTTGCGCCCAAGCAAGTATCTAGCAGTATTGGCCAAGGGCGAGAAAATAAAATGACGCGCTCTGGGCATACGGATGAGGATGAACAGCCCCAGCCAGAAGCAATATGCAGGTCTTGGCCAGGGTCCAAACACCACCCCCCTGAGCAGCCCACCTGCGGCTGGATCCGATCCTGCCCTATGATTGCCTCCATAACCCTCCTCTCCATGCACGGCGACCCTCCGATATCCTTGCCGTTACGGAGTACGTTGTACTGGCATAAGAAATACGAAGCCCAAAGCTATTGGCAACCCACCTCCAGACAGTTGAGCTTCACGAGATAGGCGAAAGAATGAATGGCCCGTCATCTGGACAGTTCCCTGATTAGTGACCGAGTACATATGCGACCACGTTCGCCTATGCCAAGCTAATAACTAGTTTCTGAAGTCTAGCTCGCCCTATTAGACGCCTCTTGACCCGAGACTCTGGTATCTGTGCGGCCGAGCCGTTATTCGTGATGCTAGCGAGCGAGGGCCCCTGTCCCTTTTCGTGGTATTATTTCGCCTTTTACTTTTTATGGTATTTCACTTTGATCCTTTTTCCTCCCATCCCTTCGCCTCGTCTGTCCGGCTCTCATTAGTCCGGGGTTCCGGGTCCTCTTCGCTCGCCGTCCGTTCGGTTTTTTTTTCTCTTCGTGATATTCTTTTCGGCTTCGTCCATAGCCTGACCAGACGACCGACCCACTGTCACTCGCTCGCTTTTCTTAACGTTTTATTTGGCCTCTCGTTTAAATCGGCGAAGAGTCCGACCAGGCCGCGCAGATGAAGCTCAACGGGCTTTCATTGTTGGCCCTGCTGGGTGTGGTCGCCCAGACTGGCGCCGATCCGACATGGCCTTCGAGCATCGACGAGGTGGAGGAGATTATGTTCCAGATCGCGAGCACCCGATCCCGCAAGTTTGCCGACTCGGTGAACCCTTGCACGAGTCAAGCCTCCGGGCCCGGCCGCCACAGCGCCGCCGAGTGGCTTCGAACCGCCTTCCATGACATGTCGACAGCTCATGTCCCCCAAGGGTTGGGCGGCTTGGACGCGTCCTTGCAGTACGAACTCACCAACGGCGAGAACGCGGGCCCCGGCTTTGCTACCACGCTGACGTGGATGGCGCCGTACCTGTCGAGGAGAAGCCCCATGTCCGACCTCATCGCCCTGGGCGTCTACACCTCCGTCCGCGCCTGTGGTGGTCCTGCCGTGCCCATTCGCGCCGGCCGCATCGATGCCGCGCAAGCCGGCAGTCCAGGCGTCCCGCAACCTCAAAACGCCATTGGCATTTTCCGTAACCAGTTTGCGCGTATGGGATTCACACCCGAGGAGATGATCCAGTTGACAGCATGTGGCCATACCCTCGGCGGCGTCCATGCTTCCCAATTCCCGGATATTGTGCCTCCGGGCACGACGCCCAACGATCACGCCTCGTTCGACTCGAGCGTCGCCGTATTCGACGACAAGCTTGTCACCGAGTATCTGAACGGCACGACGCAGAATCCCCTCGTCGTGGGCCCCTCGCGCAGCATCAACAGGCACTCGGACTTCAAGGTCTTCAGCTCTGACGCCAACGCAACGATATCCGCCATGGCTGGCGCGTCCAACTTCGGTGATACATGTAGAACTGTTCTGCAGAAGATGATCGACACCGTGCCCCCAGGTGTCACCCTGAGTGAGCCCATCACCCCGTATCTGGTGAAGCCTGTCCAGCTACAGCTTACGCTTTCTCCGCAACTCGGTGGCTTGGACTTCACCGGACTCATCCGCGTTCGGACCACCGACATGCCTCTGTCCACCATCCAGGGCTTGACGATCAATTACAAAAACCGAAATGGAGGATCCGACTGCGGATCAGGACCTTGCAGCCTCCACCTCTCTGTTCAGGGCGTTGGCAGAGGGTTCGACGACACCTTTGCCTGGTTCCCCATCGCACAGCAGTTGCCCGTCTCCTCGGGCATCTCGTCCTTCACCGTCACCATTCGCAGGACAGACGGGTCCAGCCTCCTCGTGGACAACAACGGCAACGGCTATCCGTTGCAAGACGGCGTCTTCCTCCAGCGGTACCAAAGCTGTCTCCTGGCCACCTCCGGCACAACCACCCTGAGCGCAGCCATTCGAAACGACCGTGCGGACATACCCGTCAAAGCCGTCGTTTACTACAAGACCCCGCAGACGGGGAGCGTCGTGCCGGCCCTGAACAGCATGACGCTCGAGCTCACCAAGGGCCCCTGTGTCGGAAGCTACACTCTCTTCTCGGCAAGCACGACGATCCCGGGAGGCCGTAGCGTCGAGGCCGATTTCGACATCATCAGCGGAGAGGGCTCGTCGGCTCTTGTGGATTCTTTCAAAAAGGCCAACATCCTTGGGGGTGCGTGCCAGCCGTTCCCTGCGACAGGCTTATGCACTACTCCTACTCCCTCTCCCACATCGTCGTCGTCGCAGACCCCGGTCAGCACCGAATCGTCCGGTGTGTCGAGTGCTACCAGCGTTTCTTCCGAGCCGACCGTCAGCAGTGAATCGTCCATCGTGTCCCGCGATGTCAGCACTTCATCCGAGCTGGCCGTTTCCTCTGAGCTGCCCGTTTCCTCTGAGCTGCCCGTTTCCTCTGAGCTGCCCGTTTCCTCTGAGCTGCCCGTTTCCTCCGAGTCGCCCAGCTCCGAAGCGAGTTCCGCGCCACTGTCGAGTTCCATGGAATCCAGCATCCCCTCTTCGACGATCTCAAGTACCGTCCCGACCGTGTCGCTCCACCATAGAGAGTTCATAGGCGAGTACAGGCTCGTCTCCTGTTGGACTGAGGGTGACGGAGCTCGCGCGCTCAACGGCGCGAGCTTCGCCTACGACTCGATGACCTTGGAAAGCTGCATGGCCAACTGCGCCGGGTTTGACTATTGGGGCACCGAGTACGGGCGGGAATGCTACTGCGGCAACTCTCTTCACGGCTCCAGTTCGTCCGCGCCGCTTGGCGAATGCAATATGGTTTGCGGCGGAGACAGCACCCAATACTGTGGTGCTGGTAACAGGCTGGAGCTCTACTCCACAACAGCAATCCGTAGCAGCAGCACTAGCAGCACCAGCACCAGCACCAGCGCCAGCAGCGCCAGCAGCGCCAGCAGCACGAGCTCCGCTCCGACTCCCACCGAAACGCTGGCCCGTCTGCCGACAGTGTCCAACTATGTACACGTCGGTTGCCAGACTGAGGGTGTCGGAGTCCGGGCTCTTGGGGGGGCGGCGCTAGCTGACGATGACATGACGCTCGATATGTGTGCCGATTTCTGCTCGGACTTTGCTTACTTTGGCGCGGAATACGGCCGAGAGTGTACGTTTTGATGCCTAGCATTCATCCCTTTCCTTTTTACCCCGAACATTCGTTATGCGGAGGTTGCGGCTAACAATGTCATCTAATGAAGGCTACTGCGGCGACTCGGTTCATTCATCCAGCGAGCCAGCACCGTTAGAAGAGTGCGGAATGACGTGCGCAGGGAACCCATTCCAGTACTGTGGCGCTGGCAACCGACTCGAGCTTTACCGCGCGAACAACGCTCCATCCATCATCGTTCCCACACCCACAGAAATTTCGTCGTGGGCATCCGCCAGCAGCACACAAGAGCCGCCATCGTCGCTCACCATCACCACCTCCACCACCACCACTACAGAAGCAAGCCCGTCTCACCGGCCCACCGTCTCCCCCTACATACTTGTTGGCTGCCAGACAGAAGGCACCGGCGCGCGCGCGCTTGGCGGGCCCTCATACGCTTCTGGCACGGAGATGACGCTGGACGCCTGCGCCGAGTTCTGCGAAGGATACCGCTACTTCGGCACGCAATATAGCGCCGAGTGCTTCTGCGGGAACAGCCTGCACGACACTTCTCTCCCGGCCCCGCTCTCGGAGTGTCCCATGCTCTGCTCCGGCAACCCGTCCGAGTACTGCGGCGGACCAAACCGTCTCACGCTGTATCGCAACGACGACATGCCCTCCGAGGAACCCGATCCGGAACCGCGGCAGCCGCCTTTTGCGGGCGACTTTGTCTGGGTGGGATGCCGGACTGAGCCCGTTGCCGCGGGTGCGAGGGCGTTAAACGGGTCAGCAACGGCGTCGGATGACATGTCCAACGAGGCCTGCGCCGAGTTCTGTGACGGGTTTGCGTACTTTGGTACCGAGTACGGGCGGGAGTGCTTCTGCGGCGACGAGATTCACGAGGAATCCGACGAGGTGGACGAGGAGGAGTGCAGCATGACGTGCTCTGGGGCTGGGGATGAGTTCTGTGGCAACTCGAATAGGTTGTCGGTGTATGGGCGAGATGAGGATACGGACGCGGACACGGACATGGGATCATAGGCAAGGTTTGGAAGATGCTGACCGAGGCTTCTCGTTCTTTCTTTTTTCGGTTTATCCCATCCCCTACACTTTCTTTTTCATGATATTCTTTCCATTAACTCTGCTAATCCATATAACTTTTCTTTCCAATGTCTGCATAGTATTCAACTACAGATAGAGATACTTTTTCGAAAATGACCCCCTCGATTTCCCTCGAATCTTTATAGATGATATTGATTTGAATACCTGAATGTCGAGGGCTATGAAAATGAAGTACAGGGTGGAGGGATGGCCTGAGATATGTTTAGTAGTAACAGTCATTAGCTGTTCGTCAACTTTGCCTCCTCCCCCGTACTCCGTTAGCCAAAGCCAACCAGTTGCCGTCGTTAATAACTTTGACCTTGACTTTGCACTGAGGTACTCGGTCTCGTACTTCGTCCACGATATATACTTCGTACGTATGTTACCATATTACCATATTGCGGGTATCTTAATCCAATGTATCTTAGACCAATAGGTGACAAAACAAATACCTAATGAACCGACCTTTACCGGTTCAAGTCTGTTCAAAGCTGCTCAGCTCAGGTTTACTATTTAGGTCTTCCATCACGTAATTACGAAGTATTCTGTGATACTCCGCAGTTTCAGTACGATCGCGTTAGGGATACGGATATAACTACGGTGGGAAGCAGAGTCGAAGGCAAGACAAGACCTGGCCATAATGGAGCATATCATCCTAGTCGGGGCGTGCTACCTGGACACATTCTGAGGTAAAACCTCCTTAATTCCGTGCATTCCAGTTCCGTCCGGGAAGGATAAGATATCCATCCACATTATGGAGTTGCTCACTTAGTTTACTCTCGCCTCGTCGTCGGACTTGAGCGTCTCAGGTCAAAGTCTTCCTCGCCGACCGAGCTTTCCTTTTCCATCTGATCTCGCCGCTACCTGCCCGAGAGACGCCAGCGCAACATCCCAGGTTATAGAATCCTTCAGTCCGCAGCCTTCCGGGTCCGCAGATAACCGCGGCGACAACCTCTCGCCACCTCCCATCGACTTCAAGCACTGCTTATACCGAGAAGCCTACGCAGCGCGGCGACGGGGAGCCGGACGATAGTGAACCATAACGAGCTCCCCGAGATGACGTTGGAGGAGTTTGCGACAGTGGCCGAGCCCATGGCGCGGGGACGACGACAAGTTGGTCATGGCGGCAGCAGCATAGACGACGACGAGGACGAGGACGACGACAGCAGCAGCAGCAGCACCACCACCACCACCACCACCACCACCACAAGCGCCGGGGACAACTGGTGGTGGCACTTCCAAGGCCGCATACCGGACGTTACAGTCCAGTGCATGCGTGTGCTACGAAGTGTGTTCGGCGAGAACGTCCGCGTCAGCGTGGAGATAGAGAAACCTGGCCGGGCGGGGTTGCGGGAATTGGCCGCCGAGGCCGATGTCGTGTTCTACTCCAGGTCCTGGGCTGAGGTGAGTGACTCAAACCCCCTACCCCAAAACCTCCCTGATTGTCCTGGCTGGCTGGCTGCGCCTGCCTGTTGACTGAAACAATTTTTTTTTATTTTCGTTTTTCTTTTTTACCGCCATAAGGGATTGCGGGTACACCTCAGCCGAGGCCTGTCTAAGAGGGGAGAAGCTGTCGCGAGCGTGAGTCGTTTCCTGTCGAAAAGACAAAAACCCCTTAACGGTCTCCGACTGGGTGGCGAAGAAGGGGGGTGGTCAGCGGGCATTTGTCTTGACCCCCCCGTCTCCCCTGACTGCAGGCTACAGGGTTGCTTTCTCGGCATGTGAGGGTTTTTGAAGGGAGACAACGCGCTGACGGGGTGCTGCCGGGGCTGCATGCCTGTCTCTCCACGACGGGGCGTGCGTCCAATACGTGTACTGCCCGGCACAAAGTGGCTGCATCAAGATCGTCGAGTACAGTTGTATGTTGTAGGCTTTTCGCCCCCCTTTCCTTTTCCTTCTTAACTAGGCCTGTCCCATTCGTTGTCGCCTGACCATACATATCTCCTCAACAGTACACTTACCGTAGGCGCAGGAGACACGTTCATTGCAGGCGTCCTCTATGGTCTTATAGGCCATCCTGGCCGGTGGGAGGCCCGAGATGTGCTGCGATTCGCTGCCGATTTAGCCAACCCTCAAGGTCCAACGCCGAGGGGTTTCGTGGTCTCGCAAGAGACATGGAGGTCCGTAGCAATTAGCCTCCACAGGACTCAGCCCGAGGCGAGCGGATCGGGGGCCAAATAATTAACATGTCAGTATACTAATTATGGAGTGTTGGCCAGCCTCTCCCAAAAAAAGAAAAGAAAAGAAAAGAAAGAAAACCCCCCCTTTTTTTTCTTCTTTTTCTTTTCGTTCTTTTTTTCATATCCCCCCCCCCCCACCCCCCTTAAAAAGAAGCCTGGAACAAGCCAGGAAGGAAAAACGAGATAGCATGACAACAACCAGGTCCCGCAGCTACCTTAGACAAGGCCCTGCATAGAGGAGGGAGGGGTCCTGATGGGATTAGGTATGTACAGTGTACTTCGTACGTTGTATAAGGTACACGGACTGCCTGGGCGTGACCGAACCAACAAGGCGCCAGCCAAGGTACCTTTGGTAGCTTACCTAAGGCTTCTAACCTCTTTATCCCCTAATAACGCAGCGCTGGTGCTGACAGGGCCCGCATCCTACCCTTTGGCTTGTGCGTTGGAACTTTGTAAGGGTGAAGGGGGGGTGGATAGAAACCGGGGCGGTAAAGGCGACGGCACGACTCCACGAGTGGGAGGAAGAACTCGTTCAGGTCGACAAGTGGCTGGCCCATGGTCCAATCTTGATCAATCCTCATGCCATGGATCGGACGTGGAGGTGAATCCGTTGCATGACGAGGTCGGTTTCCAAGTCGGCGCATGCGCCACGTTGCCGGAACTACTTCGTACGAAGTAGGTACCTAGGAATTAGAGGAACACGGGGGATTGTGGTAATCATGGCATACATACCTTACCTTAAGATAAGGTAGTACATATAATCTATTGCCAACTAACCCCGGTCGCCCCAGGTCTGCCCAGAACAACGACATGTCTGACCGTTCTGAGCGAGATACTTCGTGCTGCATTAGCCGGCCAATGTGATGTTTTATGTTTGTCTGCCAATATGTATGCGGGAATGGGCCAAGTACGAAGTACGTTGTAAGAAGTACGGATGGGCGAGGCAAAGCGGGTTTAGGATGTCGGTGGGTACAGACGCATTTCAATTCCCTCCGGTCTCGACGATGGCATGCGACGTGTTCGAAGTAGACCGGGTCGGTCTTCCAGTCTCCGTCGCCGCTGTACGTTGCTGTCCGCACCTACTCCGTAATTTATGTACGTTGTACACTAAGACTTGGGCGGTGAATCGAAAACGGGAACCGGAAAGATATGCCCATGCTGAAGCTTCCAACTCTGAGCCATATTCGTTCGTCACGCCTGAAAAGAGCTTTCAACTCCACAGGTGGGACGTGAATACTTCAAAAACAGACGATCGCGCCCGCACATAATACCACCTTCTTCTGTTGAAGGGGTAATATGTACATTGTAATTCAGTACGAGTACCCTTACCACCGAAGAGAAGACTCCGTACGGAAGGATTTCGTCCAATCCGCGCTGCAAGCCATACATGCAACTTGCTGGGTGTCGTCAGACAAACGACGCTTGGTGGCAGGGGAAACGATCCTGGAGACGCAAGACGCAACGAGGCTTCGTGGCCTGCGAATCTGGACGAAAGGATGGATGGGACACATCCATCAGTCCATTCATCCATCACTCCGGGGAAATCACTGCGTCCCTGAGGAGCGGGGAGCTTCTTGCTTGGCAACTTCATTCATTCAGCGTCCTTCGCCAACTTTCGCCAAGAATCGTCCGCTACACGTAAAGAAAGTGGTGGCCCCTCCCGATCACACCTGAAGCCCTCAGGATGGTCGGGGTGTTCCCCTCCCCTGAGTAAAGCCATGTCGCGTCCACATGACGACATATCGGCGCAGCGTAGACAAGAAGGCCGCATAATTATCTAGTATCGGTATCATCCTCTATCGCTTTTCGTCCCTGGGCTTGTCGGTTGATCAGGGAACAAGAGATCTCCATATCTACAAAGTATACCTGTTCGATTGGCCCAGCAAGGAGCACTATTCGTAAATAACTGGTTGGTCGACGGGTCTCGGGCCCATGGCACCGGTTTTACCAAGGTTGCACCGAGTCGGCCGCGGAGGAGAGAGCAAACTCTCCATTTTCTTTTTCTTACTCTCTCCCTGCTATAGTGTGGTAGTACGTATACACAGTCACTTCAACTCCTCTCGCGGGGAACGCACGGAAGGCTAACCCATATGTATAATCATAATGTGCGGTCGGAGCACCCACCACCAACCAGCTGTGCCTTGTACGAATAGGTAGGTAGGACACAGAAGCCTTTCGATCCTGGTGGGCGTGTAGTCGTTACTTTTTCTGGGAGGGAGGGAAAGGTGTGTTCAGTTTGTGTCTCGTGACTGAACCGTATGTGAGGGGAATGAAGACACGATGATCCCTTGCCTCATGCCCCAGTTGTCGCACGACCGGGGGGGGAGAAAGAAAGAAAGAAAGAAAGAAAGAAAGAAAGGAAGAGGGATATCTAGCTAGTTGTTTCAGTCCCCTTCTCAAACGAATGGACAGGCGACTCACAAAGAATGACGTCTCAGGCCCGAATCTCTTAAGGGTCTGACCGCGTCGAATCGGCGAGTACATAATTGCTTCGTGAGGTCAGGTACTTGCTATTCGTAGAGTTCGGTTCCACCAAGATTCACTCCGTCTTACGATAACAAGACAGAGCGCTCCAGAAACGATATGCGACAACTTTGACATCTATTAGTATGTTCAAAAAGTTAAGAGGCGGCTTGGCACGCTCGAATTGCAAATTGGGGAACAATGAAGTGGGAAACGCGGAACTGCGGTTTGACAGACGAAATCATGTCAACAAACGGAAGCCACTTATTGCCTTCTTGGTCAGGATCTAGACTCGCTAATCGTACTAGGACGCCCGTGCTCTGTGCATGGCAAATGTTATAAGGCGACAAGAAGTTGATCATTGGAATTATTATTGGCCTATTACTGTTGGGCTGGTCGGGCGGATACCTACATAGGTACGTACCGGTATCTAAGGTAGTCGAGAATAGTACGTTGTAGTGTACATACGGATACGGATGAAGGGCGGATTACGAGGCGGGAGACTTGAATTTGGTACTTCTATGCATGGAAGTGCCTAACCAGAATTCTTGCATTAATTACCTACTGCAAAACCATAACCATCCACGGTGGACGATCAGTGGTCTCCAGTACACGTAGAGGCGTAACTTCACGTACTACGCAAGAGATTAGGGACTCTTATATCCGTTATCCGTATCAGGTCCTATAATAAGATTGTCGGACTTGTCTGACACGGACAATAAAAAGGGTACGGATAGAAAGAAAAGAAAAGAACAGAACAGGAAAGAAATAAAAAGAATAGAGGGAATGACCCCCCTCCCCTCCCTCCCCCGGGCCTATTTGCTGAGTCGTACCCAGAGAGGAGCCAAAAGAAGCAAGAATGCGCATTATTTACAACGTACACCTCTAGCACATTTCTCGGCATGTGCGTACAAAGGACTGGTCGTGCGTCAGGGGAAGGAGTTGACCAAATAATACATTGTATGTTAGGCACCTTACAACGGTAGAATGCATTTGTCGCAGGGGTAGAGCCCGCTATAAGGCACATACCGCTCGTAAAGCCGAGCATCCAATCGGACTAGGCACCACGGTCAGGACCTAAGACACGGTAAAGGTATGTAGTGACACTCTTCCCGAGTCGGAAACAAGAAGCACCTACATTGTAATTACCTTACATACCTATATACTTACCCATCACCTACGAACCTGGAGGGGAAACATATATACATACTTGGTACGAATAATATCAATACCTTGCCTTCACTAACCTGACTCACCTGCCCCTCCCCACCCAGGACTTGACAAGATACTGCCACCCTAATATAATTACTTCGTAGTCCGTTAGTATCCCTTTATTTCTTTGTTCAAGGGCCTAAACCCCAACCATCACCACAACCTATGATTACTAAGATAGGCTGGACTTGTCCTGATATATACGTTGTATGGTACCGAATGTATATATTTTGATAAAAACTGTCTTGCTCTTATCTATTATAGGTACGTGCCTTATATACCTTTCCTGTAATCAGTATATATCGGCAATATAAAGCGTATGGGGGAGCATTAGCGTCCATAACACATGACCGACTCTTACACAGGGCTATTCCGCCCAACTGACCAATGACCAAGCGGGTGTCAGCACCTAGCGCCCAAACAGCCTGTGTCTCAGGTGTCCGGTACGTGGGGCCTACTGTTGGCTTTCTTCCAGTCCTGGTAATCGCCCCTGTGCGCTCATTTACCCATTTTTTGCGAGCTGTGCATGGTCTTCCAGATACAGATTTCTGCTCCGTACTTCGTACTTGGTATGGAGGAAGTACGGAGCACATACTTAGGTGTGGCTCCCGATATTCATATACGTTGTAGACCTTACCTTACTGATGGACTAACTGTGTTCCGGCAAAATCCCCTCTCCGATCATGTGGCTGGATCGCCGACAGGATCAGGCTTGACCGCCTTGCGAAATCCTCCTGGTTAGCGACAGAAAGAGTGAGTGCATAAATATGCGATGAAAATACTCAGTACATAAGTCTGGGAATGTCGACGAAGGCGGTGCATTGCATCGGTGCCGGTGTGGTGGATGCGACGATACCTATCTGCTTCTCAAATTTTCATGTGTACCTAGGTATACAAGGTACACATGCATAATACCACCCAACCCGATGAAAACGCTGCGCGAGGCAGTCAGGGATCGGTTCCCTTATCGTGCAATGAACGTCGGATAGTGTACAACGTAGGTATGTATAAGTCCGAAAGAAAGCACTAGAGGCCGACCATGACGATGTGTACGTTGTATATGACCAAGTAATTATTCGTACGATGAAAGAATCAAGAGGCTATCTCCGAACTTCCCTATATTTCTCACCACCCGCGGTTCAGGATCTGCATTCGTACCCCGTGTACTTAGCAGCTCACTCGTCGTCAGCACCTCCTTTTGCCTCCTTACTCGATCACCTGTTCTTCGCCCCACCTTCACTACGTATTGGGTACACGGAGAAACAGTCGAGTATGTACTTCTCTTGCAGCCCGTTCCTTGTTTTATTCTATTTTTCTACACGTAAGGAACCTGCCGTTTGTACGGAGTATGGATCGATGCAGAATGCCCCTGTGCCAGTGTTAGACAGGGCAAGTTTGATAAAATCTACCCGGGTTTAGGGGGGTATAGGACAGAGCCCGATAACTGGTCAATCTGTCGACAGTCTTAGAACGTCATATCAACAGAAATTTCTCTGTCCTGGCTCTAGTCAGAGCAAAAGTCTCTGTTTAAGCTCTAACCTATAAACTCCCCTCCCGGGTAGGTATTCGTATAGCACCATCATATGTAAACCTACTTGGTATCCATAACGACGTATATCCAAGAAACATAAGGAAGACCTACAACGATATAGCAGTACATTACACCTATGTATCTAGTGTTGTTCGGCCGAGGCCCTATCAAGGAAAGGTTAATGCTTCGGATCACGAATTGGCACCTCGACATGCCTGCGAGGAAGGTCTAGACAAGGGCCGCTTACGTATAATGCATACCTGTACAATACTCTGAGCTCTTAAGAACGAAGACGAAGCCATGAAATGGAACGTATAGAGCTGCCTACCTTACCTACCTACCTAAGGTATAGACCGAGATGTATAAGCCCAACGATACATACTGAGTACGACGGACAAATGCAAAGGATAGGTTCTCCTAGGAATATATTGTACATAGATATCTTACCCCTTCGTATATACGTGCAACAACGGGGCGACCACCATGACTCACATACGAAAGTAGGTACCTATGTAATTACTGCTTATGGACTCGGTACGGAGTACAACGTACTAGTCGTTGGTCCCAAATCTGCTCCCCCGGGATTAGCGTGTTCCTTTCCATACATATGTACGATATCCAACGCTGAAAGTTCGCATGGTGGAGACTTGACCACTTCGAGTTGTGGGGGGGTACGTACAGTTCGCACTTCATCACTGACATTTTCGGTGGGTGGGTTCGAAACAGCCTCCTGGGGACCCTGATCCTTGTTTGGCCGCCGAGTCCCGATGAACCGTCCCATTCCAGTAGCTTGGTATTAAGACTGAGTAAATACGTTGTATAACGGTACTTAATTACACGCCCTTGCGACGGCCGAAATGTCCTTCCCAGGGTCCCCGTTCATCACAATCTCACACTCATGACATAGCCCCTTTATTATTGCTATGGGCTAGGTATGGACAAGATGAGTATAGAGAGAGAGGCTGATAGGAGTGAAAGACCTGTATGTGACGTGACTAAAGTCCTTAGACTACTAGCCTGCCTGACTTTCTTTAAAGCAGCACTCCATGGTCATGATTCTGTGCCGGAACAAGAGATCAAGGCGAAATGCAATGCTTATCCTTATTTTCCACACACGTCCCAAGCCTGTTGGCGGTGGTAACTTAGCGCCCAGGGTCTCGAGGTGGTCATCATTATCCCTACCCCTCTGGCGCCCTGAACCGCCCTACCTTTGCCACCATTTGGCCTATATTGAACTATGTACCTAGCTGATCTCCGCGGGTTCCATGGTAACACCACCCCTTGTCTGCGTACTAAACACCCCTGCAGTCAGATATGTATATTGTATGTACCTCTTCGCACATGGACAGGAGCACAGCAAAGGTAGGGCCTTCCACTTATTGTCGAGACCCACCCACACCGAATTCCATCCATGTTCTTTTCCTTTTCCAATTACCCGCCCATCCTTGAACAACTCACACCCTTGACTTGTCCAATCAAGGTAGCAACGGATTCAATACCGTGCCCACGATTCATTCCGTTAGGTCGCCCCACTCACCCCACCCACCCCACGCACTATCACAGCCGGTCCCACGCCCCGGAGGTAGTCCGTACAGGCCTGTGACACTGCGCCTGGAGCCAAGACTGCCCAAAAAGGCGGGAGCCCAGCAAGGGATCCTCATCGGCTCGAGTACATACCACATTTTACATCCGCAATGGGATCCCTCTTCGGGCCGTATGACGCACCAGGCAGACGAATTCACACCCACATCGACTAGATCACACACACCCTTTCCCGTACCCATGGGTGACCAGGCATGCGCAGAGATGCGCTACCGACAACGGGATATTGCTTCGTACGTCCCTGGCCCTGACCCTGCGTGGCCTGCGTAACCTGCAAGGACTCGTCAGGCGGATAATTAATTGCCTACAACGTACTCATTGACAATCCACATCGCCAATGTCCCCCCACAGCAAGTCATCGTACGAAATGCCCTCCGCTTGCCAGGTACATACGTATATACTTCGTACTTTTGTGTCCTCATTCTCCGCGTCCCCTCGAATGGACGAATACTTCGTACCTTATGCACAACGTACTTCGTATACATGCCAAACCACCCCGTTTCCTTACCTGGTATTATTGCCCTTATTCTTTCCCTTTGGCCCACCGTAGAAAGGGGAATGGGAACTCACTACTGGGAGCGTTTGGGAAAGAAGCTCTTGGCTTTTGATCGAGGCCCAGCCTCTCCACTCATTCCGATACAACGTACTTCGTACATACTGTACGACGTACCTCCTTGCCCACCTTCCTTCCACCTATCTGCCGACTGTCACCTTTATTGCCAGCGATACTAATATCTACTACCATCTTCTATCCATTACACCTTCTTTCTCAGACCGTTCCAAACCTGAGGTTCTTTGAGCATAAACGAATATCACTCTCGCCTGTCCCATCAACTCTGTTCATCGATAAGACAAAGATGATGCCCTCGACTTTCTTGGGAATTTCAAATCCCGACGCTTCCACATTTTCACAGCACGCAGGTGTCTCTATGGAGGATTTGTCCCGTCAAATGGCCCTCTCGCAAGCTTCGCGGAGGCTTTCAAGGGGGTCAAATGGGCAACAGCGTGCTGGAAGTGCCATGCGAGTTGTGAAACCCACGAGCGCCAACACCAGTCCGAGATCATCATCTCATATAGCATCGAGGAAACGGGCTCTCATGAACGACGCATCACTAGTAGCGCGACGAAGACAATGCGCTGTTAATCAAGCCATACTGCCGGCGTATAGGTCAGATATACCGAGCCATACTCGCTCCAGCCGTCCACTCAGCTGGCATCCCTCAACAGGCCAACAACCATGCTACGCTCATACGCCTGGCCTTCAGCAGGAACAGTATCTGACCCAGCGTCACTTTCCTGTTCCCGCTTTTCAAGACGACCACGACCTGGTTCCGGCATACCAACCTCAATACTCGCCGGTTCAAGCGGCCTACTCATGCAGCGCGTCACCAAGCTCGGCTTTCTCGCCCCTCTCTCTTCCCTTCGACGCCATTGACACGACACCTTACTTGCCAGCCGAGGGATGGAACCTCTCACAACAATCTCTCCCTCCTTACGTGTCACCCTTAAATGAAACAAGCTATCCAGAGCTGTTCCCTAGTCTCCCTGCATCGGCATTTGCGACGGATTCGTCAACACAACACGAGTGGGGCAGCTTCGCGTCTCGAGGATTCAACAGTACCTCTCCGCCGACACCGGAAAACCTGCCTCGGATGCAGCAGCCTCAGCCGGCCGTCACTACTGAGGAGTCTATCCCCTACCAGCCGCTCGATGAAGCTGAGGAGGAAGGCGAGATTCTCGTCGGAATGGGACTGTACGATGCTCCGGAGAAGTACGATGAGGACCCTCATCTCTACAACTCTCGGTCAGCCATGTCATCGCTTCTGGGGTCTTCCTACCGTTGCCGCGAGGGTACGGGCAAAGGTCTCAAACTAGAAGAGCCATGGCAGCCACCCGAGAGTGATGACGAAGACCAGGAGCAAGATGCCGACGGTGAGGATCAGGAAGAGGATATGAGCAATGCGGCATGATCGGAATGCAGGCCGCAGGCGGCCAAACTGGTGGCTGCCGACTGACACGATTCATGATCCCACAACCCGCCATCTATTACGCGTCACTTGTACTATACTAGCGGTGTTCATGCCACGATGAGCCCGATAACTCTGCTAGTTTTGCGCCTCTAATCTCTGTTTTTGGGTTTTCATTTTATTTTATTTTCGGTTTTGTATTTGGCGCCAGCAACAGGGAGCGTGGACAAAGGGCTCTGTGGAATATGGGAGGGGGTTCCAGCGAAACAATGATACCTTTTGGAAGGCATGTCTGGGTCAGGAGTTGAATAGGTTTACAGCTTTACAGGGTAGATGGGGCAACAGCCGGCAATGGCGGAAAACAAACGGCTTGGAAACTAGCATCTATATATATCATCACTAACGCTGGCCCACTTAGTTATAATAGATCATGCAACAGCTCACTACGTGGTTTATAGATGATTTTGCTCAACGGTTCGTCGTCTTCCATGGCTCAAGTAACAAAGAGATTATAGGTAAACTAATATTTAACTATAAGGCTAAGCTAAGGGTAGGTGTGGGGCAGAGTAGGGCAGATAGTTAAGCTGAGAGTTGCTATAGGGCGTGGTCTATGCTGGGTTATATAATAAGTGTATATGCCTGAAGTATCCGGTATTAACACGAGGGGTAAATAAGTGAGGGGTAATAAGTAGAGTAAGAGGTAGTGATAATAGACGAAGAGACGGAAAATAGGCCGGAAATAATTTAGAAACGATTTAGGAACGATTTAGGAACGATTTAGAAACGATTCGGGATAACTTCTTACACGGAATTAGATCCTAATAGTAAGATTTAGCCGCGAGAAGAGGTTAAAGACCTAGAAGAATAGGAAGACGACTCTTATAATCTTAGATTTATTTAAAAATAAGAATTAAAGACTATATCTTTATAGACTTTATCCGACTCGCCGAGCACCACAAGATATTATCCTAAGGAATTAAGTTAAATAAGTAAGTATTTACTAACTACTACTTTATATTACTTATTACTTACTAAGATTAAATTCTATCTAAGGAGGAAAATATCCTAATTTTAATTTCTACTACTACATATAGTAACGGAAGACTTACCCTAGGCTCTCGCGCTATATAGGTCGATAATATCCTATATACCGCTAGAATTCCTAAGATACCTTAAATATTACCTGCTAGAGTAGCCGTTATTATCCTAGTAGATATTTTAAATAATAAGAAGAAAAATTCTTTATAGAAAATCGTATAGTATACCTTTATTTAAGGTATTTTCTTAATTACTAACCTCTTTTAGATCTAGTACGAAATAGCTCGAAAATAACTAGGTTTTCGGGCTATTAGTGCTATACTTAGAGATATACTAGTTTTCCGCTATACTTATACCTATTAAGGCGGTAAAGCTTACTAATATCTTTTAGAATTAGACTTTTATTACGAAAGTATTATACTATAGCTGTTTAATTAAATTAGTGTAAGAAGATCCGAAGTTAAGGAGTTTACTATACAGAAAAAGGCTTTAGGGTAAGTAAAACGCGTTTAGATTAAGAAGTATAGGTACTAATATTATTTTAGGTAGGTATAGGCAGTAAAAGGAAGATTCAGTAAAAGGACTATTTATATAGACCGGGAAGAAACGTGTATTCTAGTCGTGGACTTTAGTATCTACTATATAAGTATAATATTTTCGGTATTTACGTTATCTCGAATTATTTCTAATTAATTATAGCACCTTACCGACTTTTAATAATATCGTATACGGTGCTAGTCTTAGTTACTAGGCGAAATAACGCGTTATTACTTTCTCGCGATTATTCCTTCGGTCTTTTACCCTTATATAGACCTTATTAGATAGACTTTTAATCTAATAGTGCACGGAATACTAGCGAATCCTGATAAGAACTACTACTTTTTTATAATAAACCGTAGAAAACGAAGGATATATAGTATATAATTCCCGAAATTATTTAGAAACGATTCAGGAATAATTCGGAAACGATTTGGAGACTATATTTCACTTATACTCTAACTCTCTTATATAGATAAGGTGTATATCGCGGGACCTAGAGAAATCTAACGGCGAAAATACAACGTCGAATTTCGATTTTTTATACTATACGATCTTAATATAATACCGTGGATTATTATAACCTTATATAGAATATACATCTACCCTCCCCTACCGCCTTTAAAAGCCCCTTTATTAGTTATTAATAGTATTACTCGAGTACTCCCGAAAATTAATAAACCGATAACTATACTAAACGCGTTCCTTAAGTCGAGTAAACTTAGGTAATTCGTGGCAGAATTTAAAGGTAAGACGATTATAGGTATTTATACTAGCCTTACGAATACCGATTACCTTCGGTATATTATTCGTAAGTAGCAGATTATCCTCTTTCCTTAAGGCGGTTAAGGTCTTACTTTAGCTTTAGAGTAGGTAAAAGAGGTAAACTAACGAATATATATAAGTATACTACCTTATTACCTATAGTTATAGAGAAGATTCTAATAGCCTATATTAGTATATCTAGCACTTATACTAATCACGATATAACTATATAGTAATCTGCTTTTTTAAGAAATAGGTAAAATAATAAAAGTTTTCTAATATAACTTCCTTTTTCGTTAATACTAACTATAAATATATCGGCGGTATAGAGTAAACAGAAATTATTTAGGTATAGTATAGTTAAAACTCGGAAAAAGGTATATACCCGAATCGTTCCTAAATCGTTTCTAAATCGTTTCTAATATATATTAGTGCTCCCTTTAGTAAGGTGCTATATAAACTCGGAGATAATAGAGATATATCTTTATATATTTTGGTAGGTCTTCCGGATCCTTAAGGATAAGTATAGTATCCTAATTTAGTAGAAATACCTTTATAGCACGGGTCTTCTTAGGGTGACTTTAGACTAGGCTTTATTAACGATTTAAGGCTTTAGAAAATACCTTTAGGAGAGGTACTAGCTTAAAAAGCCTTAGGAAACTTAGGTAACTTACTATATAAGACTTTATATAGTTTATTTTCGGCGTGGTATTAAAAGTATTTTAGGAGGTGACCTAGAATAAGGGGAAGGATTATACTACCAAATCCTTATAAGTTTACTAGAATACTAGACTCGGGAGAATTATAATAACCTATATAATAAGATTAGCCGTGAGTTTTTCCCCGAAATTATCTAGAAATAATTCGGACACGATTCCGGTATTATTCGGAAATAATTATAGAATAATTTAGCGATAATTAGGAAACGTTTTCGGCAGGGTAACTAAAACTAACCGACTTACTAAGGAGATTCCCTAATATTATAACTAGGCTATATATAAACGCTTTCTATATATCGTTATAGGATTTTACTAAGCTGCCTTAAGTATTCCCGCTAAAGATTAGGCATTAATTACCGATAATTTAAATATAGTTAAGGTTATATATTAAGCCTTATACTTATAGACTAAGCGAAATATCTATATCCTTAAAGTAATTCATAGGTAAGTTTAGCTTAAGTTATACCGAACCTACTTAATAAGTCTATTAGATATCGCAATTATAATTAGAATCTAATTTTAAGAGATTTTACGACGCGTTCTCTTTAAGTCCTAGGATTATAGCGGAATACTAGTATAAGAGGCCGGGTAGATAACTACTTAGGTCGTAAAAGTAAGCTTTAGTATTTTATTATATATAGTAGAGGAGTTACTAACCTTATAATATTCTAGAAAGAAAACTACGTAAGACTAATACCGAATAAGAGGAGGAATTTTGTGATCGGTCGCGAAGCCGTATAGTATTAAGTAGCCGATCGATTTTAAGATTACCGCTTAACCCTCCGGAAGATTTTAGCATATTCGATTAAAACGATATAGAGTCGGATTCTTAAAGTTCTCTAGCACGAAGTATAAGGAGTGTATTATTAAGCGGAGTCCTTTTAAGACGCTTACGAAGTTAACGCCTAAATCTACGTAATCTTTATTAGCAGGCTACCCTAGGTTAGATTTAAGCTTTATAAGCTTTATTATCTTTTAAGGAGAGGTCTCTTAATATAGAGGAGCGTAGACGTAAGATAGCTTAAAAAGATTATAAATTAGAGGCTGAAATTAAGAGGCGAAGGCTTAAAAATAAGCGGCGTTATACGCTTAAGCTAAAGCGGATCGAACTAGAAAAAGAGTTATTATTACGTTTAGAATAACTAAGTTCGATAGGTAAGAAGACTTTAGTTATCGGTATCGTTATTCGTATTATTATAGTGTATTCTTAAAAAAAAAAAAGCTATATCTTATAAAAAAACGCCTTTATAAACGTCTAATTATTATCGTGAAGTCCGAAATAGTAAAACCCCGATGTAATAGAAACGTTTCTAAAGCATTTCGTAAATAACTACTTACTCCTCGTTATTAGGAGTAGTATTACGGGCCCGCGAGACCCGATAATAACGGGGAGGGGGGCGGACGGCCTTAGGGAAATCTAGTAAAATAAATATTAGTCTATTAATTCTTATTTTATAAAGAGTAGTAAACTTACCCGAGACTATTTTACTATCCGCTATATTATTATAGCGATACTTAGCCTAGACTATATAAAGATAATCGTAATAAGGGGGGGGCAGCCTATAAAATAGATACTATTAGTAAAAGATACTAATAGAAAAATATAGTAGAATATACTACGACCGATAAAGTTCTACTCTATACACGCCTAGTAACGTTCCTCCGAGCTCTAGCCGAAAAGATCTATTTTTATATAAAGGATATCGGGCTAGTAAAATAGATATATTAGCACGCGTTTCTAAATAGGTTCGGAATCGTTTCTAAAATAGTCCTTATATTTCCTTTATTATTTCGCGGAATATTACGAAGATATATATCTTTAGCCACCGCTTTAGCCTTATAAGGAGTATTAAGCTAACCGTTAATACTAAGAGTAAGGTTTTATATCGATTAGTAATATTAAGCGGTACGGGTATTATTACGAGCGTTAAGGGAGCCCGAAGCACTTAGAGCGGCCTGTGTATAGTGTGTCTTATAGATATATCTCTTTAGTGCACTAATATCAGGTGCCTGCAGCAGTGGTCACAATGGGTCCCCAGTGTGAACCCAGAGGGGTCCAGGTGTGCCTAGTCCGAGACCCCTCGAGGCACAAACAAAGCAAGTCATCACACAGCAAACAGAATAGTCCCTCGAAGCAAACAAGGCAGCCCTCGAGGAAGCAAACAAGCAGCCCTTAAGGAGTAGAGCGTAGTCTTAAGGAGCGAGGGAGCCTCCCCCTTTAAAGGGGAGGCCAGCGATTAATCTGACTCTTTGGCTACACCCACGTTCTGACCCTATTATGATCCTATCGTGATCACACCTGGTTCCTTGCGTGACCCTACCTTTTCACTCTTTACGACTACCCATTTGACAACTAATCGAGGAAAATTTAGAGCGCTATATAGAATAAATCAGTTAAAGCCTTATCGCTATTTCGTGAATAGGAAGATACTTATATTAAAGTAGAGCTCACCGTCTTCTTCTATAAAGCGGTAGTATATCTCTCCCGCTACTAGGATAACCTTATTAGTCTTATAGAAGTATTAGTAAACTATAGTGTATTAGATTAACGAGTATACTTACACCGTCCGTCTTAAATTCTAGTAGATTTCTAAGATATTTATTACTATCTTCCCTATTTATATACTATTAGTATACCTCTGTATCTTTATAGTTAGAGGGTATTATCGCGAATTCTATAGGAGAAATTTTAAAGAGGGTTAGAAAGGTTTCTAAAACGTTTCCTAATCGTTCCCGAATCGTTCCCGAATCGTTCCCGAATCGTTTCTAACACGGTTAGAGACGTAAAATACTAAAGAATCGATCCTAATAAGAAACTATACCTAAAGATAACGAGGAAGATAAATAAATTAATATAGTTAATAAAAAAAGTATTAATAGAGGGTAATAGTAATAGTATAAAAACACTCTCTATGAAAATATAGAGTGGTGGTGAAAGGAAAGAGATACAATAACGTTAACGCTATGAAAAAGAGGGGAATAACACGTTAACGTGTTACGACGCGACTCGTAAAGACTAGAGAAACGTTTCCCCTATACCGTTATTCCGGTATTCTACTATTCCTCTATTCGACTAATTAAAGCTTAGCCCCACACCTACCCTTAGCTTAACTTTTCCTAGCCACCCCCCTACACCTACCCTTAGCTTAGCCTCGTGGTTGGATATCAGTTTATATGTAGTCTCGTAACAAAGCGCACTATTATTATAAGACAGCGCTTGTTTTCCTCCTCCTTTTTCGTACCTCGAATGAATGATATATATAAAGGGAAGGATTAGGGCGTCCGGATATTTTAATATCGAGCCCGTAAAAATAGAGTTATGATACTATATATTCCTTTACTTATAAACACTATAATAAAGCGAGACTATATTAAGTTCGGATATATATAGTTATATTTATTAATTAAACTGTCTTTATTACCGCCTCCTATAATAGAATAAATAACTCTGTTAATACGTACCTAGGTATTACGAAGTATAAGCCCGGAACTATAGCTTTACGTAGGAGCTATTAGATCTACGAATTATGGAATATATTATAGAAAAATTACTCGCTTAAGTACTTATTATACCTTGTTTTACCTTAGACCTAGTATATTTAATAAATATAACGATATTTACCTACTCCTACTAAGACCTCGCTTTAGTACTATAATATAGGCAGTTTGCAAGTAAAGGAATATATATCCATCATAACTCCACTTTTATGGGCTTGATATTAAAACGTCCCGGTGCCCTAATCCTTCCCTATATACAACGACAGAGTCTAGAGCCTTGTTCCTTGCTCGTTTCGAGGGTTATACCTAAGGTACGAAGTACATTGCGTATTCTCAGAGCAGATTAATCAATTCGAAGATGTTCCAAAGGGTGCTAAACGGGACCCTAAAAATAAGCGAGAAAGAGCCGCCAGGTGGCACCCCTGTCGTCCATGCGCATAAGAGGGACCACGACTCCACGGCCCCGTCGGGTGTGAAAGTATGTTGTATGAGCGAAAACTTACTTCGTAGTGCAGGAAATCTACCGCCTTCTATTGGCTGATAAGTTCCAGCGGGATGAACGGTTCTTGGCCCCGCCCCCGCCGTTCTCATGTGCAAGCTTGAATTTGAACCAGCCCTGTCGACTCGGGTAGGAGGACCACTATTAAGGTGGAGTAGGTGACAGTTTTACCTGTGACTTCAGAGTGGGGTTTAGCTAGTGCAGTCGACACGGTCGCGGCTGGACACTTGCAATGTGTGCGGTCGCCCATTCCTTCCTCGGTGCGCATTGACCATCAGGCCACCCTAGTTCACTGCAACCAGAAATTTTGTTAGTGCCCTCCTTCCTGGGCGAGAACAAGACGAACAACAGGACCACCATATCCGTCAAATCTCCATGTTACCATTTAGCCGTCCGTCCAACAGTCCAGCGGCCCAGCACCACCTCCCCTGTAAGCAAGCCAACAAACAAGCGTCCTCGTACTGAATACCGTATGTAAGTTTTTATACCCCGCAAAAGAGGGGCGGCGGGGGGAGACGTTCATGTTTTTTTTGTGACCTGTGACGAAAACGCCCACGCTCCCCGTAATCGCCCTTCGCTGAAGTTCGTGTCTCGAGAATTCGTCGGGTTTCTGGGGCTTTGCGGAATCTTTCTGTTAGCCCAGCCCAGGAAGAGCACGGGATCTAAATCCTTGTCACGACGGCAGGATCAGGGGGAAAGGGCTTCCACGTACAACGTACATAGGGACGCATCAACGGGCAAAACCCGTCCACCCACTTTGAATACTACCTCGGAGTCACGACGTTCTCGGTAGCCATACGCCTCTACGACCTGCGAACTTCTTGATATCCCGGCCGAGATTGGCGTACAGCCTCAGCGCCGCGCATGTGTTCGTTCTCATGGCCCACTGCCAAATTAATAGTCCCTGTTTTGACGTCTTCTTTCGTGTACGTACCTCCAGAGGATCCCCGAGCCGGCTTACAGAGTAGGTACTTCGTAGTTACGAATTCCATTATAAGGTAAGGTACTTCAAGACACACCATAATCCCCAACGCCACCGCCTTTCGCCGAAAGTCGCTGCCGGGGTTGGCCCCACACTCAAATAGGTACATTCTCGTACCCTCCACGTGGCAGTGCTTCGGCGAACCCACTACAGTGAGAAAAGCGCTTCACATGCCAACGAAGACGTCGACGGGGAGGCCGGCGAGAACGCCGTCTTCCGTGTCTGCTGTGCTGCCGACTTCGCAACAATCCGCTCGGCTCTGGATTTCTCTGGCTACGCCTCCAAGCCTAATCATCCCACATCAGAAACTTGGTCATATACGCGGCACGGCGGGACATTACGCACCGGGGCGGCCAGGACAAGGTTGAACGAGCAGTGGATCGCCAGTGCCTCTGAAGTTTAGGCGCTCGGCAGCACACTATCCTTGACACTGGTATTTTCACTCTGGGAATTTGCTACGAACTACGAAGTACATAACGTCGGTCAGAATTACGGAGAGCTCCACCGTGAACATGGGCGAGAACACAGTCACATGGAGTAGAACTATTCCTTCCAAGTATTGCCAGGAGTGCAAAGTACACTACGTCGACTTAAACAATGAGGTAGAGCTGCAGGCCTGTAAGATGGAATACGCTCTCTGGCACCGGGGGGTTAGCCCTAGTGTTGGTACTGTGGCTCAAGTGTTTCCACGGAGTTCAAAGGCCAGAAGCTTCTCCATGAAACAGCAACATGAAGTCATGTCAGCACCTATCGAATTATCTGATGGTCGTATTTTGTCATGCCCGGACGTTTTTAGAAAGGGTAAGGGTAAACACGACTCGCCCGGAAAACGGCGTTGCACTATTACGGCGATGACTTCAAGCTATTTTGATTCAAGTCAAGTCGGAGGTCATTCCATTTGGAAGAAACTAAATAAATATCCCCGTGGCCTTTCGCGTGGGCACGGACTTATTCGATTGGAAACCCTCCACGAAAAGAGGGGGGGGAAAACCCAGATGGCGCGTCCACGAAGCATTGGGATTTTACTAAGTGAAATGTCAACGTGAGAATCCAAGGGGGTTGGTTTGAAGTTACGGATTAGCAAGGTCAAGTCACGTGACCTTCATTTGAACGGCTGAGTGAAGATTCTCTTTCCACCTATTTACCGTGACGACTTGATGAATTCGACTTACGAATCATCTCGACACCCGGAGTTCCGATTGAGTCGTTTCAAGGCTTCTGCGGTCATATCTTTCTCTTCCAACGGCCGCGACCGCTTCGGGCCCACCGTGGTGGACATACTCTGGAATTTGGTCAGTTGTTGCTCAAACTGCTGCGGAGTGGTGTCTACTACGTGCACCCGTCACCGCCATATTTTCCCTGGACACGAGGAGAGAAAAAGGAGAAAAAAAAAGGATGGTCCAGTACATCTTGACTCCGTGGCGCGACCGTCGCGAGCTTCTTGACGTCAGGCGCCAGTTCTACGCGGCTGAAGTCTCGGCACTTTCAACTACCGATGCCGGCGACTCTGGCGTTCTCTCGACAACAACGGCGTCGTCGTCACTTCATGCCAGCGCAGACACCGTCGCGAATGCAGAAAAGCAACAGGCGAGGCACGATGCCGTGGCCCGTGTATCTATGTGGATGCAGCGCGGGGCGTGCCCTCACCTAGTCGAATCGACGGCGCTGCTGACCGCGGCCATTCTGAGCGATGCTGCATCTGGGAGTACAGGGACCTACGCTGCGCGAGCTGCGTATGCTGCAGCGTTTAGTCGGTATGTGATGAGACGCTTGTCCTTTTCTTCTTCTTCTTTTTTCCTTCTTTTTTCCCTTTTCCCCCTTCTACCCTCCCTCCGTTGCTCTGATTTCCTTTTCCCCGGGCTTCTCTCCCTTTTCCTTTTCAACATAACTCGTCACCTGTTCATTTTTGCCTCGATGCCTTTCTATGGACGCAGGGCCTCATTAGTGGTGTGGTTTGAGACTTGTCGCAGACTCCAAGCCTCCATGAACCAAGGTCATATAGACATCAAGGGCTGAAGGGGTACCCGCATTTAGTGACATGATCAAGCCGCCTGTGATAGAGGCATCGATCTGTGGTCAGCGTTTGCTGGTGTCTCAGCTCAGTGATCTTGGCGTCTCTTTGGACATCTCGATTTCTTGCTTCGCATCTCCTTGTCCAAACCCGCGTGGCTCAAGTTGTACGGGTGCCTCCCTTCCCAGGTTCATGTTATTAGCGCTCCATCATCGGCCTTTATCCCTCGTCCCGGAACCCTGAGGAAGCCCACTGACTTTGCCGCAAAAGATTTGTCACTGGCCTCCTAGATGGCCATCAAGACAAGCAGCGTAAGATGAGTATGTACGCAGTGGCCAAGACAATCGGTTTGCCCGCCACCTTCGTGGAACTGCGGCACCAGGCCACCCACGAGCAGCTGCCGTCGCTAGCCAAGCTGCGGTCCGCGTCACGTAGGGCGTTGGCGTGGATATGGGACTACTACTGGCGGCATCTGACGGAACGGCAGAACGACGGAGGGGCGGGCGGAGACGATGAGGGTTGCCGAACCGCCATTCTCAAGTACCTGGACGAGGGAGGTGAAGATCGGGGAGAACTGCGTGCAATGGTCAAGAAATGGGGTGATATTCGCGTGCTGGAGTCGCTAGAGGGTATCGCTGACGCGCCTCCCTCCAACGCCGTCCTGCTTAGCGCTCTTCGGTTGTCAAGAGAGCTACTACAGGGTGGCTTGATGGAGGAGTTGAGCCGGGCTATCAAGGACGCTGAGAAGGCGAAGCTGGAAATGCAGCGATTGCGACAGGAGTTCGACGATGCGTCCCGTTTGGAGACTGGGGAGAGAAAGGGCCGATCATTGTCGTCCTCGACAGTAATATGGGCTGAGAAGGACACAGGTTGGTCACGATATGAGGGAGTGTGGAGGCCGAAGCCAATTGGAATGGTATAGAGAATTATATCACCAATGAGAGATACCCTTGGGACGACCTACTCCGTAAGAGGTGAATGTGAATATTCCTTCATGTTGCTTCTCTCTACCGGGTATCCATTCTCTTACCCATGCGGCTTTTGAGGTTCTCATATTTTGATATCCACACAACGTATGAGTAAACTTTTGTGGTTTATGTATCACGTGCAATTCCTCATGGGTGGACTCTCCCAAGGTGGATGATCTCCCTCCGATTCTCTTACTATACCGTTGTACGCTGTACTTATGGATACGCTACGCCATGCATCTGGCCTCGACTTGCCTCACGGGATTTGTAATCGCGTCATCGTTTAAGGCCAACGGTTTGTATGTACCTTAATATAATTCAAAAACCACCCACTTCCCCGCCATCACGAATTTGCCGTTTGTCCCGCTTGGCTGCCCTCGCCTTTCATGTATAGGCTCCTGTTTCGACGACCATCTCTGACCCGAAACTTTGGCGCCATTACGGCCACGGTATGTTTATTGTGTTCGCGTTGCTCTGGCCGCCAGAGGTCGAGTTGGATCGAAAGGGTAACTAGACTACGGGGTATTAATTCAATGACAGTTCACGTCCACCAACGCCATGCATATCCAGTCGATTCCTATGTGTATGCAGCTCTTCGCCGTTTCTCACTTTGGCGTTGGCCTCGGAAAATTAACGAACCGGCTGACAAGTTGTGATATGCCGCAGGGGTGGGTAGTGGTAATAACTACGCCTACCTGGTACGAGACGAGAAGACCAAAGACGCCGTCATTATCGACCCTGCTAACCCCCCAGAGTATGCCCTGTCCCCCCTGCCCTCTGCCATCGACATTGTAGAAAACACCCTTACGTGTTGACGCCGTTTCTTGTGCCGAAGAGTTGCTCCCGTCCTCAAGAGTGCCATGGAGGCGGGCGAGATTAATCTGACAGCCATCGTGAACACACACCAGTTCGTACAGCCTTTACCTACGCCGTGTCTCTTCTCTGTTCTGTTCAGAACACCTCACTTACACGTCCACACAGCCATTGGGATCATGCAGGGGGAAACAATAACCTGGTAAGACACCTGCGGTTGGCCCCTCTGGCAACAAATGATTGTTTTACATGAACTGGGCACACATATCTTACACGACATAGCTCGCAGCCCTCAAACTGGACAAGTTGCCCATCATCGGGGGAAAGGACTGCCAGGGCGTCACTGAGGCACCCGCACACGGCTCCACCTTCAACATTGGCAGTATCTCTGTCAAGGCACTACACACGCCCTGTCACACCCAGGACAGCATCTGCTGGTTCATGCAAGACGGCGACGACAAGGTTGTCTTCACGGGAGACACCCTCTTCATCAGCGGTGAGTCCTCTTTTGTCCTTTCCTTTACCTTTCTGTTTGCACCGACGGTTTTCTGAACCGTATGGTGTGGAGATGTATGAGCTGATTGCACACGGAAAGTACCCGGTCTGTCTGTGACTGACGAGCGAGGTTTGGTCGCCTTCAGGATGTGGCAGGTTCTTCGAGGGTGATGCCGAAGAAATGCACAAGGCATTGAACGAAACGCTTGCATCCTTGCCTGACGATACGGTCGTCTACGTAAGTTTCGAACCGCTTCACAAGCACCCGAATAGCATGGCATGGGAGAACGAGAGCGCCGGGTCCAAGCTGTAGCCCCAGGATGCTGCTTAGATGCCGTGGGCAGTATTCGACTAACTCATGCGTCTTCTCTAGCCTGGACACGAGTACACCAAGTCTAATGTCAAGTTCACGGTATCGGTGCTGCAGAACGATGCCATCCGCAAGTTACAGGACTTCGCCGAGAACAACCGGGAGACACAAGGCAAATTCACTATCGGTGACGAGAAGGTATGAAAATTCGATAAGAGACGCATGGGGAGTATCCTTCAAAAGCGTGCCATTTTCATCTCAACCCCCTACTGACGAGTTTTGCACTACACCCGGTGAAACAGAAACACAACGTTTTCATGCGTGTTAATGTAAGTCATCAAACCGTCTTGTCCAATTGCTTCCGTGTGAGGGGGCTTGCGTGGTAATCCGCAACTGACGGACTGGTAGGACCCCAAAGTTCAAAAGGCGACGGGCGAGAGTGATCCCGTGTCGGTGATGGCCAAGCTGCGGGAAATGAAGAACAATCTCAAGTGAGTGAGATAGCAAGTGAGACTGAGCTACACCCGCACGTCCTCGCACAGGATCATCGCTTGTCTTGGGCTTGCAAACACGAACAAGCATGCAATTAATTAAATACGAGCTCAAAACCAAGGGGGTGTAAAATGAGCTTAAAGCTGACGGGATGGCTTCTTCCACTATGGCGTAGCCCTCCCCCGGAGGCTAAGATCTAGGATGTGTACCGTTGGTCAGTTCCGAGCGAGCGAGATAATGTGGGAGTGAGAACTAAGCAGTTGCTCGACTCAAAAGTGGGTTACAACATGGTGCCCATGGATTGAAAACAAAGTGCAAGACGGCAACTCGTGGGCCCAGTGTACGTGGTATGGAGGACCAGACAGACACACCCGGACTAGCTGTGTGCTACGTTGAATAAATACCAACACTTTGGCATCAAGATGCATGTGAAGAGAACGGAGACAAGGAAGAAATCTCGAGACCAAACTCCAGACACACAGCGAAACAAGAGTACACAAAAAGGCGAAGTCAAAATCATGTCCCGACAAGCACCACCACCCGACCACCGATAATCAAAGATAGGGTGGAACAGCCGAAAGAGCTCGCGGACTGCACGACGTAATGAAACGACAAATGCAGCGGTTTTTAATCTTGCTTCAGTGTCCACACTTGCGCGCTGTAGGTAACAGAGGCGGCAAGCTCTAGCTATTTGAAGAAGCATTGGAGGGAATCCTGGATTGCGTTCCAGGACGAATGGTGGTTACGGCCGTCTTGATTAACGTACGAATCCAGACCGAGGGCATTCGAAGTATTCGCCCAAGTAGTCATTCTCATACAAATACTGTAATATTGCAATGTAAGACCTTCTTCCCGAGTGCTTTGGCGTCAGTTGCTTTCTTTCGAGTGGTCAACTTTTGAGCATTGATCCACGGCGACAAACTCCCCGAGACAACTCGGGAGATAGTCAGCAGATAAAAGGCATGGCAGCAAAGAGATACCCAATAATAATAGGTATAAACTCTGCCGCGATTCCGGATTTCGTTGGGAGTTGGTGTGAGGATAGACAGGAAACTGAAAGAGAATTCAGGGGAAAAGAAGAGGGAAATTTTCGGCGGACATCATATGTATGCCTGGAACATACTGTACGAATAGTAAGCGAGATGCACGGCGTTCCAGTAAACACCCATGCACTTTGTAGTACAATTGCTCCGTGTTTGTACTGTATCGAAGATGCCTTAGTCACCGGACTCCTCATCACTTATCGGATCAATCAATCCCGAATCTACCTTAGGTAGGTAGGTACCTACACGCTCCTGCGTCTCGACACGATTGTGCTTCTACATGTAATTAATGTCTTCGGCATTGGCTTGCCTGCTCTCTCAGGCCAACAGGCGACATCCCAGTCCAACAGGCGACATCCCAGGCCAAGCAACTTGAAAAAGCAGAATCTTAAACACGACCATCACGTAACAGAAATCTTGACAGTCTTCAATAGCATCCGTCAGAACCGATCTCGATATGGTACGCAGTCCCTTGAGACTCGATCTCCGATACCCACCCCTCCGAACCTCGTCGTTTCCGACGCGTCGCATGCTAATGTCCTGTTCAACCAGCCTCCAAAACGCAGATCCGGGAAGAGCGCCTCTACATCAACAAACAAGACAACGACAGTGGCGAAGCGGCCCTCCGCGCTAGCGAAAGAGCACGGCCTAACAGGCCGCGAAGAAGCGGAGATCCACGAGGCCTTCACCCTCTTCGCGGAGCCGCAGCCCGGACACAAGCACGGCGTGATCCCGACCTCCGAAGTGCGCTCCGCCCTCATTGCCCTGGGCATCCCACCCTCGTCCCGCGCCGAGCAGGCCGAGTTCATCTCCATCCTCGACCCGGACGGCGAAGGCTACGCGCGCTACGAGGACTTCTTCGCCGTCTGCGCCCTGAAATACCACGCCCGCGTCGACGAGGACGAAGACGACGACGAGGCCTTCACGAGAGAGGTGGGGGAGGCCTTTGCGCTTTTCAGGGGCGGGCGAGGAACCGGTCGCGATTACGATGTCGGCGGGACGGATGACGATGGTGACGACGATGACGACTACGACGATATCACTGGCAGGGGCAGGGGCAAGGGCAAGGGCAAGGCGAGGGCCAGAGCAAGGGCATCCAGGGACGATGTCATCACCTTGGGCGACTTGAAGAGGGTCGCAGCCGTTCTGAAGGAGGATGTAAACGACGATGTCCTGCGTGACATGATCCTCGAGGCGAATGCCGGTGCTGGCGTGCAGGCTGGTGTGGCCAGGGAAGAGTTTGAGGATGTCATGCGCCGCGCCGGAGTCTGGAGGTGACCGGTTATCACGCTTTTTTCGCCTTTTCTTTCTTCATTTTGCTCCGTCTTGCTGCGCCCTGGTGTATCGCCACGGGGGAGCGGCGGAAGGGAAGTCCTGGTTGCTTTGCAGGGAGGGAAGTCCTGGAGTTCTGGATGATACGATACCCACGACGGATGGACATTACACTGGAGTATGGCGTCATGAAGATCTGGGGGGGGTTTTTTTTCTTCCTTTCTTCTTCTTTTGTTAGGCAACGTATCCAACGACGAAATGAATTGTGTCGTATCAAGTTAGCTAGCTGGCAACAGGCCTTCAACGGCCGAGCGAAACCTAGCACAGGACCACTTGCGGCCGTGCACCCCCATTTCCGTTGCCAACCAGATTCAGATTCCCTGTGCTCTCACGACAAGACCAGCCTAGCCCGATGTCTCCTCTAGACATAGGGCTTGTGACCACCCAGATGTTTATAATATGTTAATATGCCCAAACGCCCTTGGAAAATGCAACAAACCCGCCCTCCCCCGCCAAGGACTCTTCCGTCTTAAGCATAGATGCGCGCTTGTCCTTTCTAGGCGGGACCATCTGTCGGCTTATGTCTCTGCAGCTGCTGCGGCAACCTTTTCCTTCTCCCTTTCCTCCGCCCTCTTCTGCGAATCTAGAACGGCCTTGAGCTCCGGGGGCGGGTTAAACCCCGCATGATCTTGGTGGCGCTTGTAGAAGGCGTTCTCGGACTTGGGCCGCAGCTCGGCAGGCAACTTCTCCATGATGCAGTTCAGGATACCGTCGGTTGATTTCTTCTTGGACGAATCGCGATGCCAGACGGAGATGAGGTGCGAGTTGAAGCGGACGGAAAAGCCGACACCGCAGATCTGGTCGTCTGTGGTGTTTGATAGAGAATGTCAGTCAATCAGTCCGCCTATGCACCCTCGCGGGACCCATATGCTTAGCCGCGAGGAGAACGGGAGAAGGAAGGAGGACATACTATCGTCGAGGACGCTCTGCAACTCTTCGCCGATCGCTAGCAGCTGAACGTGATTCCAGACGTCGCGACCAATGGCCTTGGGGACTCGAAATGTCCAGGCACCGCCGTTGATGTTCCGGCGGTCTTCCCAGACGGGCCTAAAACCCTGCTTAAAGAGGTAGATGGACTCGCGGGTCTTGATCTGCTCAACGGGGGTGTTGTTGTTGTACTTCCAGAAATCCTGGACTGATTCGATCTGGGTGCCGAGCCGTTCCAATTCGACCTTGTAGTCCTCTTCACTTGTTTTCTGGTCTTTCGACTGCCTGTAAGGCAAAGGGGGGGAATGTCAGCATTCAGGCTTGAACACTTGGTACCCCCATGAAAGTCACAAGGAGGGGGGATTCGTAGGTCCTTGTAGGTACGGCGTGGGTGGCTATAACGGCGTCTCAAGAAACGCACTGGTTGCGAAAGGATCAACTCACTTGTCGAAATAGACATTCCAATAATGTTGAGTAGGAAGAGGCCGCATGGCCTTCAGGAAGTTGCGCTTTGCATCGTCGCGTTGTTCGGCCGGCGAGCCGACGCTCGAATTGGGATCGGAGCTCTGGGACAGGCCTGAGAGGTCCCTGGTGAACAAAGATGGCCTAGCAGCCATGGCGGGAGGGTCGGCCGGTTAGGTTGGCAATAGGGTCTCGGGTCTCGGGTTCGGGTTCGGGTTCGGGTTCAAGATCAACGGTCGAGAAGACACCGGCAAAACCTGCGAGGAAACGTTTTCTGGATGAAGGTGTAAGCTGATGGGGGAAGCTGGACAACGACGAGGATATCTCTAGGCCTTGCGCTTTGTCGCACCTTGGTTGGGATGATGATGTTGGTGGGATGTAAGGGGAGAAAGAAAACTAAGGTACCTTAGTAGATGCACAACGTACACAATGCACCCGTACAACTGTACTCTCAACCTAAAGTCGACCTGCAGCTTACAGATACCTTACTAGTCTACCTATAATAGACCATCTTCGTCCGCCTATGGTAGGTAGGTAAGGTACGTAGGTATATGTGCGACGATACGAGGGACGAGACTCAGCTTCCTTCACTGCGACAGGGGCCCCGCATAACAGTGAAGACCTGCCCCTGAAGGTGGGGGGTGTCCGACCCCTTATTCGAAGGGGACACGAGACCGAGTAGGAAGTATTCGTAGCATCCACAAGCATCCACAAGAGAGAGAGAAGAGGGGTGTGGAGGGGTTAGGAGGGGTTGGTTGGACATGGACGAAGCTTGGGGGAAGGGAAGCTGAACAGCGACCACTGCTTTGTCGCGGCGCTCGGTGCTCCTGCTTCCACTAACATGTACATATCTGGCTTAGGGTCATCACCTCTATTGCTCTATTGTCCAATCCCCAAGGGCCAGAGGACAAAGACAACGAGTGTACTCGTACAGTACGAAAAACATGATGATTATCATAATACATATATATATATATATATATATATTGAAGAAGAAGAAAAAATAGAAGGCGGCTATTTCTTTGCAGCATATTGCCCGTCAATTCCAATTCTATCGTCTTTCTCGATCAAATCGGACGAAAAAGGGGAGCTCGACAATCATCCGATCTTTCCAAGGGACAGCCCCTAACCCCAGATGAGTCCGCCACTGGCGCCCTTGCGCCCCGCCCCTTCCCCTGGAAGATCAGCCACCTCAGTGAGGTACAAGCATTGTCATTGGACCCCTTTAAAGACTTGGAGGAAGCTTGGCGGAAACCCAGGCATTGAGGGCCGTTTCATGTCAGATGTGAACGATTCGTTTCTGTACCCGTCCTCCCGTATCCTCAGCTTGAAACGCGACCAAAGAACAGGGACCGTGATGGGCGAAATGTTACCTACCTTACCGTAGATACCTTAGGTATGAATAAAAAGGTACAGTACCAACCTGGAAGTCAACGAGCTACGGTGTCCCATTTGAGAATGCTACCTGTAGTCACTCGGAAAACCACCCTTAACCTATCCGTATGTATGTCCATACAAAGTAAAACGACCATCCGGGCACAAATAGCTAGGAAGCTTCAATTTTAACCGGATACCTATATCCCTTACGTTGTTAATAATAGCAATCTCTTGTCGCCGCATAAGGTAGGAGGAGGCCGTCGTGGCTCATCCAAAATGAAAGTCCTAGTGTGTGTCCTTCGTACATCCTTATTCATGTGTCGTTCCAGCCAACAAGTTCCCAACTGCTCCTGTACAGACCAAATAAATAAATAAGAAAAAATAAGAAAAAGAAAGAAAAAACCCGAAAAAAAGAAACGAACTCCAGATAACACCGCGCTACTGAACCTTATACTCTGGCATCATGGCCTGTCCACTCTCATTATTTTTCTTCTTCTTTCGGACCCCGCCTTGCTCTCTTTTAGATGTTGAATCCCCCCCCCAAGGGTTGCCTCGTATCAGAATCGGTCGCCCACCTTCCCATGTCGTCTCCAATCTTTCTCCTAAACATTCCGAGGTCCTTGAGCAGGTCCTTCATGTAGTCCTCCATGTCATCGTCCCCTCCAGGGTCCGAAGCACATGCCGTGCTGTCCGAGTCTCCGTCATACGACGCCGTATCGTCCTCGTCCTCATTTCCCTCGCCGTTGCCACCTTCCATCTGGCACTTGTCGCCCGGCTCCGGGGACGTCACCTTCACCGGCGGGATCGGGTTTTTGAGGCTGTCCAGTGCCAGCTTGAGGTGCAGCCGGAGCGCTTCATTCTCCGTCTGCAGGCTCCGGATCTTGCCCTCTGCGACGAGGGTTCGCTCCTCCATCATGCGCTGCATGGCCGCCACGCTCTTCTGGTATTCCTCCAGCTTCTCCTCCTGGTCCTTGGTCGAGTCTTTCTCCCGCCGTCGCGATTCCGACACCGACAGCTGCAGCATGCGGATTTCGTCCGCCATGGCCTCGATCTGCGCGTCGCGCTGGGCCGCTGACACGTGGTCCTGGTTGACCACAGCACGCGTGCGGATTCTCTTGGCCTGGTCGGCGTAGCGGAGAGTCGACAGTGTCTCCTCGTAGTCGGAGGGGGCGATGCACGCGATCATGGCCGTCTTGCTGTTGCCACCCAGCGAGTCCTTGAGGAGCCACGTCAGGATCGAGTCGCGGTAGGGGACCACGTCCTTGTTGCGCTTGCGCGAGTTGTGTTTGGCGTCGGCTAGCGCTCCTATCACCCGCCCGAGCGTCGTGAGCGACTTGTTGATGTTGCTGCCCTCGCGAAGCCGCTGCCCCGTGGCCTCGGTGGCCTTGGCTCGTTCGCTTCCTGCGAGATCCACCAGCCGGATGCGCGAGCTGCGTTCCGTCGTCTCGTCCGTATCCATGTCGTGCTGGATCTGTTTGAGCATGATGGTGAACACCGCGTGGCTGCGGCTGCTTGTATCATTCATCTTGGTGCTTGCCGTGGTGCGCGAGGCGTCGCCCGCTTTCATGTACCGCAAGATCTCGTTGAGGTTACGGACGGGCACCTCGGTCAGATCCTTCACATAGGGTCCTTCGGTGGGCGACTCGCGAATTTTGAGGTAATAAGGTGGTTGGTTTGGCACGACGGGTACGAGCAGATCCCGCACATGTTCGTTGTATACCTCGAAGTACGAGACTCTGACATTGTACGAGATGTTGGGTGTCTCGTTCTGGGCAGCCTCGATGCGCTCGAAAAGGTCCTCACACGTGCGTGGGATGAGGCCCGGCTCTTCAGGCGTCCCCATCATGGTGTAGCTCTTGCCGGAACCGGTCTGGCCGTAGGCGAAGATGCACGTGTGGTAGCCCTCAAAGTTGTGATCGAGGAACTCCTCGCCGAGGCTGTTGTAGATATCCTCCTGAGTTGCATAGTGGTCGTCCTCCGCATTGTGACTCCAGAATGAGTTGTCGAACGTAAAGTTCTTCTCCTCAACCACCTTTCTTGATCTCGTCTTGGCGTTCGCAGGGTCAAGGTCGTCTGGTACGAGCAAAGTAGTCTGTTGGGTTATAGGGTCCATATGAATGAGGCATTGTGCACCGCGTTGGACTTCTGTACCATGGCCACCCGCCCGTCGTCAGCTTATCTTATCGTCTCTCGCAAATTTCCCTCCTATCCATAACATATCCATAACACGACTGTCACGACCCTGAAAAGGTTGACCGGGCAAGACTTACCCCTGGGCAGGAATGTCCGCACGCGAACGACCACTCGAACATTGCCTCCGCCATCCATCCTGAGGTGTGGTGGAAGTGCTCCATCGCGGGATCGCAGGGAAGGAGTCGAAGCGGAGGACCGGACGACCCGGAGTTCAGAAGGGGAGGCCGGGTTTGCGCTGGTGGGCATAAGTCGGGAGTCGAGAGCCATTTCCAACAGTGTCTCAGTGATGTCGTCGAGGACTTCACGGAGGCGTTGACGTTGGAATGCCCACATTCCCAATCCAAGCTCCCTTTCAACAAGGGTTATGTCGAGGACCCTGGTCGATGTTTACTTCCTTACCCAATCGGGAGCTGTTGGAGTGGTGGGTCGCCGTTGCCAGATCGACCAGAGAATGTGGAATGCGCTTGCCGAATCAGAGCCTGCGACAGTAGAAGTACCACGCAGCCGGCGCCAGCTGTTCGCAGGGGAAGGTAACAGGTCAATTGATCGCTTGGGAGAAAACAAGTGACTTCTCGTCGATGAGGGGGTTGCATACCTTAGGTACTTTGCTTCATTGATAATAAACAAATATTTGGCCACTTGTTTGTGAATTGAGAAAGAAGTAGGAAGTGCAACTTAGGTATTGAAGATATTCGTTGTTTCTCTACGGTTTCGCAGCGGTAGTGTAACAGGTACGTACCCAAATGTCCAGCTTCACTCTCACTTGCGAGGAAGAAACCAAGACAGCAGGCAATAATCTCACTTGCTTCACCTCAAATTTTGTCTCACGTGTTGTGCAACCCGTCCTCATTATCCGAAGGGATGCTGTGCAGGGAAGTAATCAGAACTATCTACCGCTCTGATGCCTTATGGCCGCTTCAGCCCCTTTCCCAAGAGCTCCTTGCCCAACTCCATCACCAGCATCTCTCCCGGAAACGACTTTCGTTTCGCGAGCACAGTATCCTCGGCGTCCATCGCTCTCAACAAGTCAGCCAGCTCCCCATCCAACGCCGTGCGGTGCACGAGATGTCCTAGCCCGAGAAGCATACCCTGGAGCGCTTCAGGCGACCCGTCTTCCTGTCCGATGGCCTCCAATACGGATGCGGCGAGTTCCACTTGATCACCCTCCGGTAAGTCTTCGACTGACCCTTCCCGTCGGGTCTTGCTGTTCGCCAAGGCTACGTTGAACATGAGGGATGCCGCTGCTACCCTGACGCTGCTGTGGCTGTCATCCAAGAAACTAGACGAGATCAACTGGATAATAGGGGTTCTGACGATGTCGTTTCGGAGTATCTCGTCGGCATACAGGGGAGACGAGAACAGGTTGCAGGCCATCTGCAATGTCACTAGACGCAGCGCGTAGGGACAGTCCTTGCTGCCATTGACCGTGTCGAGCAAGGAAATGACAGCCGCATGTCCCTTCTCCTCAGCATAGAAACCACTTATCCGTGGGTCGAGGAGGGCACATCGGAAGAGGTCAACTACCGCAAATGACCCCTCCGGGGGAGCCGAGGCGACAGCTTTCTGTAGCAAGGCGGCAAGCTGGTTCATATCGGGCAACACTGCCTCGGTCGGCCCTTGCTGTGCGTGCACCTGGACAAAGTGTTTGAGCGCCTGAACACCCGGCTCTTGTGCCATGTCTCCCATTTTCGCTAGAAGCTTCTGCATCGGCGGCACTCTTGAGAACAGAACTGGCTTGATGGTAGGGTTCGAGAAGCTCGGCAGGTTTAGCAGCTCGTGAGGATGCCGCGGCCATGCCATCTGAACTAGGAGCTGGACGTTGCCGCGAAGGGCGGCCGGATCTGCTCCACTCCATTGGTTCTCCTTTTCACCACGCAGAAAAGTTATGAACGTCGGCGTTGCCCGTATTGAGAACCGATTGCCTACATCCAGAGCATGGGAAACGTCGACCTTGATGAGGACAGCCTTGCCTGCTGTCTCGGCGGCTAGCTCTTCGTATAATGGATATAGTGCCCTGCATGGTGGGCAGGTCGCAGAGGTGAAAAAATATCACTGCAAAAGACCTCTTGGCAGGTTTGAGAGCTGCATCTAGCTCTCTTATGTTGCTGACTGTTCTCACAGTAGATGCCAGCTGTGGTTGAGAGGTTGACGTGCCGTTTGCTGTGACGGTACCGTTTTGCCGGATCCCGAGAATCGACCCGTTCTGCCTGGCGGCGCTAATGGTCTGGTTGAGTTGGGGCATGAGCATTCTGCCCATCGGAGAGTCCAAGACAGCTCGCGGCATATTGATGATATGGTCTGGTATTCCCCTCCCAATCAGAAACTTGGCCAACGAATCGGAGAAATTGTTGCAGTTGTGCGTCCACAAGTCATATCGCTGGTATGCGTGAGCTACGTGTTCATATTTGATGGTAAGACAAGATAATCAAGGGAGTGCGCCACGACATACCTCTGCTGTGAAGATGGGCCGCAGCGAGTCTAGATATTCCATAATGACGTCCATGGGCAGCTCTGTATCTCCGAGCGGTATTCTTTCCATTGGTTGTCCGAGATGAGAGGACCCAGGTGTAATGGCAATTATGCCGCCATCATACACGTACTCAAGTCCGTTCAGCAGAATCGAGGCGTGGTAGATCGCATCGAGCCGGAAACCAAGGAGCCCTTCAGACAGCTGTCGTGCGAGCCCCTGGGAGAGATCGTACACGAGCACTTGGACCTCCATGATGGGAGGGAGATATTCGCTAGCACTTCTAGCTCTTCGTCCCACGCAAGTGAGGTCTCAGGCACAGAGTGGTGATGTTCCTTAACACGCGGAGAGAGTCGGAGGAGATAAGCAAGTTGGGTATTACAATATAATAGGGCCCTGAGATCTAGTACAGTCCAGACAACAGCTCTATTTTCGTGTATGGAAGAGTACGGAACTGAAGCAAATAATACGAATACAGAAAGGTGTACCTGCTCTGTTTAGAATCCAAACCCATCGAGGCAGCAACTGACGACGACTTCCTGTGGCAACAACCGTCAGAATTGTGACAGCCAGGTGGCGGTACGTACTTCTACGAAACATATTGTGTTGCTACGACCTTCAATATAAATAGGTACCTTAGACTTTGTACCTACTAGGTAGGTACTTCAATTTTTAATCTTCGAAGTCTCGAAGGTACTTATCTCAGACACATACGTACTTGAATATAGGCGTCGATTACCTACCTTAGGCTGAAGGTTAAGTACTTTGTATGTGCTTTGTACCTCATATAAGGTACTGTACTTAAGTGATACCATGGCTGAAGTACGGATACGAAGTTACGATATCTGTGCGAAGTACATCTACTTCATCCACGCCTCGAACGGCTGTTTGATACCGTCTTTTGTCTACGACTTGAATATAAGGAGCCCCTTGATTTCTAGCGGGGCTACTAGCCCCCACCTTACTGGCCCATATGCCCAGATTGGGTTTGCCGCTTCCACGTTCCAGGGGCGCTGGACTTTTAGATCCGTGAACACTCGAAGGCTAACTCAATCGCTGTGTGTTCTTCCATCCTCACATTTACCTCCCTCGTGTTGTCCTTCGCCGTCTTCCTATCTGTTCGGACGACGCCATTCCTTCTTTTTGTTTCTCTTCTAAGACAGGCACCGTGCTTGGCTTTCGTCATAACTCGCTCGTTACCTATTTCTGCCGCTCTTCATCGAAGCTCTTCCCTCGAGTAATGCAATAAGGCTTCGTTTCGAGTTGCCGTCTTCTCCCTTGTTTCCCTGGACCCCGCGTCGGCGACGAGCAACCAATGCGAAGAACGTCTAGTACACTGCCGACCATCAGAAACGTCAGAGATCCATACGAAAAGCCAGGCCGATTCACGCCAGCCCGAAAGCCCAGCTTTCTAGCCGGACTAGCTGCTGTCATCATGTCGCAAACACAGAAGGCAAGATGGCTCAAGACCGGGGCTATTGTATGCCTCATCGTTCTTGGCATTCTATGGTTCTCCCCGAGGGGGGTTGATATCTATAATGGAGGTAAGATGATGGATGGGAGTGCACGATGTATATGCGAACTTGTAATTTGACATCTTACTGTCTAGTCTCGTCTGGATCTACTGGGGCCAGCTCCGATGGCCAGGTCCCCGCTGATTCCTCCTACGGCACCGACCGATGCACAAAATCCAGCTCCAGCTCGAAGCCGATTGTCCAGTACGTGTTGATGATCGACGCCGGGAGCACAGGCTCTCGCATTCATGTCTATAAATTCAACAACTGCGGTTCCACACCCGAGCTTGAGCATGAGGAATTCAAGATGACCGAAAAGTCCGTCGGTGGTCTTAGCAAGTATAAGGACGATCCCGAAGCGGCCGCGAGGACCCTTGATCCTCTCATGGAGGTCGCGATGCAGACCGTGCCTGACAAGCTCAAGGGCTGCACTCCGGTCGCAGTAAAAGCGACTGCTGGCCTGCGCCTCACCGGTCCTGCCGCCAGCGAGAAGATCCTGGAAACCGTTCGTCATCATCTCGAGACGAAGTATCCGTTCCCCGTCGTCTCCAAAGAGGAGAACGGCGTTGCCATCATGGACGGTTCAGACGAGGGCGTGTATGCGTGGATCACCACAAATTATCTCCTCGGCAAAATTGGCGGTCCTGACAAGAACCCCACTGCTGCTGTCTTCGACCTCGGTGGCGGTTCTACGCAAATCGTGTTCGAGCCTACGTTCAAGGGATTGGCCGATGAGAAATTGGCCGAGGGTGATCACAAATACGAGTTGTCCTTCGGAGATCAGAAATTCGAGCTTTACCAGCACTCACATCTTGGCTATGGTCTGATGGCGGCCCGGGATGCCCTTCACGCCGCTTTTCTGGACGAGCTTGTTGAGTCCAAGGGCTCTGACCGGGAGTGGGTTAAGAAACCGCTTGTACACCCCTGTATTGCCCCTGGATTCACGAAGGAGACTGAGGTCAAGCTGCCGGAAAGCCATCCCCTCGGAGGATCGGTCACCCTCAACTTGACTGGCCCGAGCCACGCGGCTCCCGCCCAGTGCCGTGCACTTGCCGAGAAGATCCTGCACAAGGATGCCGATTGCAATCTGGCCCCTTGTTCGTTCAATGGTGTCCATCAGCCCTCGCTGGCCAAGACCTTCATCCAAGAAGACGTCTACATCTTCTCCTTTTTCTACGACCGCACGAAGCCCCTTGGCATGCCTGACTCGTTCACTCTTCGCGAGATGCACGACCTTACGAATACTGTCTGCGGCGGTGAGGAATCGTGGGATCTATTTTCTAGCATTCCTGGAGCGCTTGAAGAGCTTCAGGATCGGCCGGATCATTGCCTTGACCTCAACTTTATGATGGCTCTTCTCCATACTGGTTATGAAATGCCCATTGATCGGGAGGTTAAGATTGCCAAGAAGATCAAGGGCAACGAACTTGGTTGGTGTCTAGGCGCCAGGTGAGTTGACGTGAACCGTTGTCTTATTCCGTATTGTACGCCATGCTAACTGCAGTCTAGTCTCCCTCTTCTGGCTCCCGGTTCGGGCTGGGAGTGCAAGATCAGCGAAATTTTTTGAAGATGCTTTTATTATTCCCATGAATGCGTGATTTTGGCGGTGTATACCAATAGGCGTTGCGTTCACAATACTATATACCATAGCCGCGTTCATCAGAGACGAACACTGATGACAGGAAGCGGACGCGGCTACAATTCACATGAGATGACTTGGACAAGGATACTGAAACAGATGTCGGAAAGGATGAATCGGTCATGGAGGAATTGGGAATATCCCGGTGACCTCAAGGGTTGGTGCATGATCCTATCTGAGCTGGGTCCTTCCCGGTTGCCCATGCTAGATATACTAAGTCGAACACGGTGTTTGACCGTATATAATTCACAAAGGCGTTGGTACCATTTCAAGCACATCATCCATCACCTCCTCAGGCCCTACACCGTCCAAGAGCGCCTTGACGGCTTCGACCTGGCTGCCCCATTGTATGCTCCTCTCTTCCTCCGGTCGGACGATCTGTATCCGGTGTAGATACGTTTTCTTCAGAGCAAGGGCAACCAGGGCGGGCGTAGCGTAGTTTAGGCCGTGCAGCGGTGCCAGTGCCTTGATTAGCTGCTCAAAATGCTTCGTGGCGGTGGGACTGACACCGCTCCGTACCGCCCGATGTATACGTAGAAACGAAATGATGTTCATCTGATACCGGAAGACGTCGACGTCGACCTGCACCTCCCGACTCAATTTCGCCAGGGTTGCAATGTCCTGCGTCGTACGTACACCAGTTAGTGAAGCTCTCTCGACGTAGGGAGTTATGGATGTCTTCGGGGGAGGGGATCATCACTCACGACATCGCTGAAGAGCGGATCATCGCTCACGGCCGGCTCTCCGCCGCAGGAGCTCTTCTTGACGACGCTCTCCATGCTGGCGGTCTCGGAACCCTCACCGGCGGTTCCACCTCCGTACTCCGCCTCGTCAAGGTTCGCGAAGCCGTCATTCGGGTCATGCCAGTGCGCAAGGTAGAAGAAGTCGTTCAGATGGGGCGTGACACGGGCAGCGCCTCCTGAGCGGGCGGCTAGGGCGGCGACGAACAGGAACTTCTTGGGCGCCTGCTGGACGGACGTGCGGGTGAAGATGCGGCGGGTGCGCAGGAGTTCGAGTGCCTGGATCTGGACGGCTTTGGGGGCTGCATTGAGATTCTTGGCGATGACGACGTTTGCGATGATGTTGGTAGTAGGGACAGTACTTGGACTGGGAGCCTGGAAGGAGGTGACGCGGGGCTGCGGCGTGAGGGTGTCGGAGCGGGAGGCGAAATATGACGATTCAGGGGTGTCAGCGTGGCGGGCCTGGAGAAAGGAGCTCGCCCGGGCGGTGGTCGGGACGAGGATGGAGGAGGTGAAATCATCTAGGGTAGTCTCCGGGTGACAGTGGACGACAGCACATCTTAGGCCGAATGTCTGGGTAGATATCTGTTTCCTCTCGTCAGAGTGTCGCCGAGAATATGTACTCCCATTTCTCTTGGGAACTCACGAGCTGTAGCTCTTCGATTAGATCGTCTAAGGCTTCCGGTGGCGTGCTGATGAGACAATGCTCTCGGCTCAAGAGACAGAGGAGCGCAGCAAGCTCAAGGTCACTAAGGCCATGGACCTTGGCGAGCAGATGATCATCCGCCATGAGGTTGCCGGACGGTGCAATCTGGGTCGAGGTCCATGGGCAGATGCTTTGCTAGCGGTGGTTTGATAAGAGGTCGTTTCGTTTGACCTCTGATCTTGACAAGTCCTCCATGAGACCGTGGACAGCATGTAAGGTAATTACGAAGTAATTACAGGTAAGATATCTTACCAGCCTCATCAGCACGTCTACCTTACCTAAGGTATGTACTTTGTACCTATTAATAAGGTGAGTTCATGTGGCGCGCACAGATCCAGTAAGTAACCTTGTTCGACCGAACGCAAAGTTGCAGCGTATGTTTTTACCACCTATATCACCCTATACACACTCATTTTACTTAGACCTTCTTTAACAAAACAATCACATTATAATTACATTTCAAGCCTTTATAAGATATCCGCCCTTCTTCTTTCTTCCTTTATCTTTTTTTAATACCCGAACATAAAGTGCGTATTTCAGACTGCTAATAGTTTTATCTACCTTACGGAGTAAGGTGTTAACCTTCGTTCAGGTGATAGCTTAAAGTTACCTCGTAACCAAGCACGGAAGGACAGCAAAGGATATAAGGGTGGCTAGTAGGCAGCCTGTGCACTAAGGCCACTGAGGACGGCAAGAAGGAATCCCGAGAAGTATAATTCGCAAAATCGAAAAAGAAACCCGGAAAACACCCCAACAACAACAACAGTACCACAAAGACAATGCTACATCCAAGTCCGACATCTGCCCGCACCCTAGGACCGACCGTCTGGATTTGAACATCGTGTAATGACGAAAGAAAGTGCGAGCCCGTGTTCCAATCATCCATCCATGCATGCGTCCATTATGAGGCTCTCTGCTTCTGTCGTGCAACAAGTCGCTTGCCAGCAAACCTGTGATCACCCCGCTAACAAGCACATCCATCACGGTCGTTTTCAATATGGATATTGATAGGGTCTTGGAAGTCGCCGCTGAATTCCTCTGATTCTTCTTGGGCTAATGCATTGCGCGCGATCACTATGTAGATATCTGTCAGCAACATGAGTCTGCGGACTAAAGAGGTGAACAGACGAACCTTCGAAGGCCTGCTCGACATTAATGGCTTCCTTCGCACTGGTCTCGAAATAGGGAATTCCGCCCTTGGACTGACAGAATGCCATTGCGCGCTTGGTAGAAATCTATACCAATAATATCCATCAGTCCATGTAACAAAGGCTTGGTTAGATGATTTTCCATGGTGATGGTGACGTACCACTCTCTTGCTTTCCTCAACATCGATCTTGTTTCCGAGGACAACCTGCAGGTAGAACAAGTCAGCAAGGCGGGCCCAGACACAGATACTGTGGTATACAGATCAAAGGCTACTCACAAAGGGGAAATTGTCAGGGTCTCGCGGGGAAGCCTGGATCAGGAACTCGTCCCTCCAACTATCCAGCGCGTCGAAGCTTTTAGAATTGTTGACATCGTACACGAGGACGCAGCAGTCAGCTCCCCGATAGAAAGCGACTCCCAAAGACTGAAAGCGTTCTTGTCCGGCCGTATCCCAGAGCTGCATCGTGACTTGTCGGTCGTCGACCAGGACTTCCCGCGTTAGGAAATCGGCGCCGATCGTCGCCTTGTAGCTTGCACTAAATTTCTTATTGACCTACGATGCCAACTCGTGTCAGTAAGCCTGTGCAGACGGTGAACGGGGTCGTGTGGATGATGTGCTGCTTCTGGTCGGATGGCATGCGGAGGAGCGTACATATTGGTTCATCAAACTTGTCTTTCCCACACCGCTATCGCCGAGGATAATGACTTTGAGGAGGACCTTCTTTCTGGACGACATGGTGTGCCACTGACGCAATCAACTATTCTTGGACGACAGCAGGGGCCGGGCGGCTTCAGGTCTGCTTGATTGCTGGAATGCAACTAATACTCCGCAAGGCGTATTGCACTTGGGTCTGTTTCGGACTGAGTATGTTGGGAAGATTTGTATTATCGAGCCTCGAGTTGCTTTGATGGTTCGGGATTCAAGGTTCAAGGTGGAGGGAGTTCACGGTTGTCCGGGTTGGTTAATGCTAGCAGAGCTCCAGAGACGACACTCAGGTTGGAAGCAGCCGACGGAGTAATAGTGGAGTAGTGCTTCAGCCACAAGTATCCGTATCTGTGCATGTAATTAATTACATGTTGACTGTAGGTACAACAAGTAAGGTAAGGTACCTACCTCGTTACTTACTCTGTACCTTGTGACACTCAATCCCATGATAACGGAATCACGGGGCTACAAATTTCCACGCTTCATTGATGTCATTAGACAATACGGAGTAGCTTCACTCGATCAACCTCATATTCGACGGTCCAGCAGCATACGATCTCACGAAGTAACTACCTTATTCTGTTTGTTTTGACCGGCCGTCCTGGATTTATACGACTACGTATTATACGTACCTTAGTCAAGACGCGGGCTCAGCATGCAACAGCCGCTATGTGTTACGGGCAGACCACCCGCTTGCTACCAAACGTGGACGTAACAGCACAGAACGCTAACACTGATCATAATCTTCAACCCTTGCTGCCTGCTATCTGCCCTCGCTGCCTATCCGCCGCCCAATCTCAAGCAACTCCGCGCCATTCTCCTGGCTTTCGTGGTTAATGAAGAGAAATGACACGACCACCACGGCCGCGCCGATCCAATACAACAAGGTCGAGTATTGTCCGTATTGAATCATCTCCCCGACCAACGACAGCGGTATCGTCAAAGACAGGCCCACCGTTACCAACAGTGGCGTCGTGAGGAGCATCGCATATGCCCACGCTATATCGCTTATGAACGACGCCATCGCGTTCACCATGATGATACCCCATATAGTCCCAGTGGGCGGCAATTGGAACTGCAAGGGGGGAGAGAGTCAGCAATGTCCTGAGATTTTGATTCTCCTTCTTTTGTTGTCGCCCGATGGGGGCCAGTGATCTTGAGATGCATAACTTACCCGCTCAAAGCCAGTCCAGTGGAAGATAAAGAAAAGTGGCCATAACAACAGCAGGTTAAACGTCCCCACCAACCCGAAGAACAACTGCATGTCCATCCTTTCCTCGCTGCCCACCTTGCGCTTCATCAGCGTTATGTACACTCCGTAAATGACTGCACTCAGCAATGCCATCGCATCGCCAAGGGCCAATTCTCCCGGCGTCTTGTGCGGGAACGAACCCCTATCTTCGTCGCGCGAACCAGAGAGGTCTAACGACGATATCAGGGCCACCCCAGCCAGCGAAGCCAGCACCCCGAACAGCTTGCGCCTTGTGAACTTCTCGATCCCCATAGCCGTACCCAGTAATAGCGTCCACACACTGCTTGTCGATGTCAAGATGGTCACGCTTGCCACGCTCGTGAACTGCAGGCATGCCGCCGAGAGGTAATTGGCCGTGAACCACAACAGACAGAACTCGAGGCTGAGAGTCGCCGTTTCCCGCAACGACAGTTTCCCGCCTCCCAAGCGGCCTCCTTGCTCCCTCCCGTATGTTTCTGTAGCCGTGGCTTCCGTGCCGCCACCGAGACCCTCGACACCGACCTCGTCATCGACGAGCAGTCGCTGCACTGCCGCCACGTCTTCGCCTCCGCGGGTGTGGGTGGTCGTCTGTCTGCCCAGAGAGGGCTGCTCGCGCCATGCTTGCGATAATACCCGCCGAGCCCCAGATACTCCGTGTCGCAAAAGAAACCGTACAGGCACCGGGATAAGTGCAATTGCAAAGATGGAGGTGTTGACGTAGACGACGAAGAAAGGCTTGTCGTATGTGCTGTCGGAGAATATATACTGGTCGAGGTGTCGCCGTTAGAACCGGCCACAACAGCAGGCAAACAAAGAGAAAAGAAGAAAAAAAAAAAAAAAAACCCCTACCGATCCCATGAAATTGGACAGTGTCCACAGAAACACCGTCAAAAGAAGGCAGCTAATCCCCAACGTCCGTCGCGCCATGCCTTTCAGCCTCAGGCTCTCGCGCCAGTCGGGGGATGGTGTGCTGAGCCTGTCGATGTCGCTGTGCATGTCGCTCGTGGGAGGCCGAGATGAATCGGATCGTCTTGGTTGATAGGCATGGTCACCGTTGCCAACGTGGTCGAAGCCGTTCACGACCGACGGTACCGGGTCGGTGGGAACCATGCCTATCTACAAGCTCCGAGCAGAGTGGCCGTCTAGTCTCCCCGGTCCTCTCAACCGAGACGCATCCGCCTTGGTCCAATAAGAATTGTGTGACAATTAGTGACCTTCGGGTCCGTGGGCGAGCTGCTGCGACACAGTTGTTCATGTCTGAAGGCATATCATACACCGTACGAAGGGATACTAATCACCGATGACAACGGGGCCCCCTGAATTGATTAGCACTTGCCTGAGTCATCAGCGAATTTCCAGTGCCAGTTATCTTATCTCTATACTCAGTACCTCAACCAAGGTACCTACCTAGAGATAAATAACTTCGTAATTATAATAAGTTCTTTTATTACTGTCGTTCCTGGCCATCAGTCTTTTCACCACCCCAGGTCGAACCCCTGTTCTGGACGGTTGCGCCGTGTTCCCTCGGTTGCGACTTCTTTACTTCCTCTGATGCTAAGATAGGTACCCTCGTGTGATCGACATCAAGGAAGTACGGAGAAACAATGAGTCAGTCCATCGCAGAGGAACCCTCCATCTCGAGTCGCTAGGGTAGTCGCCGTATTATCCAACCTTTGCCATGGATCCGCTTTGCAGACCGACCATACCTTATCATCTCAACCTTGAGGAAGTTCTTCTTTTCAACTAACATGACAACCTCACCTTACGACCTATATGACCATCACAAGTGTATATGCTACCTTATTTGGCCTACCACCTCGCGTAACTCGAATGACTTCGCTATCGCTTAACTCCTTTCATCGCCGTTTCTTTTCTCTCCTTTGCTCCCTTATGGGCCCCTGTCACGATTGTGCTCTACTCGAGTAAACGATAGAGGTATCCCCACAGCATGTCTCACGCAAGTGCTTTATCCAACGATGAGCGCCCCTTAGCCGAGTCCATCAACGCCGCAACTCGGGGAGTCCATGCGCAGCTCAACAGGCTCATCATGGCTCGTCTGCCCCTGGCTTTACCACCTCATGTTCAGGACCCCTCTATCTACCTATCCGGCCTCCTTCATATTACCCCAATATACAGCGCCTTTGAGTCTGCCTGGCAAACCCTATTACGGCCTCTCACCGCACCCGAACCATCTCTGCGCCCTGAGCCCGCCATCGACGAACGCACCCGCTCCCTTCTGAGCCGTCTCTATCTACCAGCCCTCATGCGCTCCGGCCAGCTGCGTGCCGATATCTATACCCTCACCGGTTGGGCCCCCCATCACATAGAAGAGCAACTTGCTGTGGTTTCTCAGAGCGGCCCCTTGGCCGAATTTACTCAACATATCTCTTCCACCATTCGTGAACGTCCTCACGTCCTTCTCGCTTACGCTCACACATTATTCATGGCTCTCTTCGCCGGCGGTCGCTTCATCCGCTCAATACTGGAATCTGTTCCCGGAGACACCTTCTGGTCCAGCCCCTGCTCGGACGCTCAGCTCGATGTGACTCCTACTATGAGCTACCCATCCCAATCACGACCTCCCGGGGCGATATTCAGCGCGACACATCAGGAGCGGGATGCTGACCTTCTCCCCCTCGCCTTTTTTCGCTTCTCTCCCCCTACCAACGGGGAGAATCTCAAAGGGGAGTTCAAGGAGCGGCTTGCCTCTGTAGAGTCTCTTCTCACTCCCAGCGAGCGCCACGACATCGTACAAGAAGCTATCTGCATTTTTGACAACATGCTCTCCCTTGTCGCTCACCTCGACTCATTGTGCGGGACCCCGGGGCTCGATGATGCCCCTGTGTCGGGAAAAAGGGGCTTTGATGGAACCAGTACTTCATCGACCTTGGATACTTCGAAGAGCTCAGAGAAGTTCTCTTGGGACCCCGTCATCCTTCCAGTCAGATCACTGTTGTTTTCCGGGCTAGGCCTGGTCCTGCCAGTGGTTATTCTCATTGTAACCTATTACGTCATGAGAGGCGCAGTTGATTAAGATCCTTTGGAAGGTAGCGAGGGAGAGAGAGCTGCCGGAGAAGTCGAATGTTGGGCTGTCGCAGGCATGGATGCACATGATACCCCTCGGTATTCCGAAATATATATTACTTTTCTGCCATAACCGCTCCACTGCAGACTCGTGGCCATTCCCAGAAATATTACATCCCAGACCATATCCAGTACTGGGAAACGCCCTGACTCCTTTCATAAAACATACATGGGTATAGTCTAAATGTCAGTCCCAGAACCAAAACAGGTTCGCCCTGCCTTCATCCGACAGCATATGAAGAAGAAGAAAAGGGGATCAACAACGATTGTCCCAAGAGCCGCAACCCACGGATTCATCTCCCTCAAAGCCGAGGGGAGTACGCCAAAAGGGAAAACAATGTCCAGAAGCGAAATCAAAGACAAATCCCGCTAATAAAGGGGAGTATCATCGTCATCTTCATCCCAGGAATCCCGTTCCATGTCATGATGGCGGCGCGTCTCAGCCCAGCCCGACCTCCATCGTGTGCCACCAAAGTCGCCAGCAAGGCGCAGTTCGCGGGCATCACGAGCCTGGTTGCCCGTGAGGTCGTCTTCGGCAGCCTCTTCTTGCCAATGTCGCGCCGTACAGTCGTCCGAGATGGTGACGAGCTTACCCTCGCTCGTCCAGCTGACGCCCGTCACTTCGCGGCTGTGGCCGTTGCCGAGTCGAGCGCCGTTGATGACGGTAGGGATGCCGGCGTAGCTCTCGCCTCGCCCTCCACTGGTCGAACGAGACACGGCTGCTCCGGCTGCACCTCCTTCCACCACGGCCTCACGGAAGTTCGTCTTGGAGTGGCCCTCGCCGTCCCACGTCTCGAGCATGTTGCTTTCGTCCGTCGGAAAGACAAAGGCGGCTCCGTCCCCGCTGCCGACTGCGAGTAGCTCGGGACCGTTGCCGATCAGGCGCGACCGTACCGAGCAGCGGATGTAGAAGGAGCTCACATTGAGGTTCGGGTGCCGGAAGCAGTACAAGGGGTCCAAGCCTTGTTTGGCACTGCCTGCTTTCTGCCGAGGCGGACGGGTCGAGAGCTCCGGTGCCTGGCCTAGGATGAGGTGGGACGTCGAGTACGCGTAAATGGCGCTGTCTTTGCACACAGCATATAGGCGCGAGCCGTCGGTACCGAGTGCCAGCGACGTGATGCCAAATGGACGCCACTTGTGGCTGCTGGGGACCGCCGTGATGGCCAAAGGGACGGCATCCGGCCGGTTGCGCGGAGTGATGTAACGTGTGTCCCACAGCTTGATGCCGGCGTTGGCCTCACAAGCCGAGAGCAGGAGGTGCTCCCGACCTGCTGGCATCCATTGCAGAGCTGTCACGGAAGCGCCCCTGGTACAGCCGTCGATGGTCCGCGCGTGGGCGCTGCCGAGCGTGTTGACTGGTCGGGCAACCAGGGCCGAACGAGACCGGTCCCGGTATTTGTAGGAAGAAGGCGTGCGCGTTGTGAAAGCCAACGCAGAACCTGAACTGCAGCGGACATCCCATAGCTGTATCTTGCCCTGGCGGTCTGATGTAGCGACGACGTTACCGTTGGCCTGACCAGGCTGAAAGGCGACACGCCGCATGGAATGTTCGTGGCCGCCGCCCAACTCAATGGCGACCGATTGAGACATGACATCAATGATTTTTCCATTATAGTCGCCGCACGCCGTGGCTAACCGGAGATCGTCATTCGAGAAGGACAGGTCCATGATGGCGTTGTTATGGGCTGGCATGAAAGCCTTGAGCTTCCGCGAGTTGGTCTGGAGGTCCCCGAGGCCGGAGGCCGGAGTGTTGTCGACGAGTCGGATGCACCCCTCCTCGTCCCCAATAGCGGTTATGGCCTCGCCTAGGAGAAATGTTAGCAACGCCGGAGAGGGAGAGAGGGAAAGAAGGAGGGGGGAGATGACAGAAACTATCAAAACGTACCGTGACAACTTTCCACACAGAAGGGGATTGTCGCATTATATCCGCCTCGTGCTTCAGAGTAGCACGTATACACATCTATTGGGCGAGTGAAAAACTTGGACGTCTGGGCACGTCCATCTGTACCCTGCATCAGCAACTGGGGGGTCATCTGGCTTCGGCATCATGTTAAACGTACCATGGGCTGGGTACTCGATATGTTGTCGTCCTGGACGAGGGGTTATGCCTTGTTCGCGGAGAAGCAGCTGAGCGCCGAAGCCTCGGTTTTCAAGCCGCAAGACGGGTTTTGGCATGAAGCCCGGGATTATCTATTCACATGTAAGCATACTCGACATTTCTCTTTGGGTAAGACCCGACGGCGTATCACCTTGTCTGAAGTGGGAACAACAGGCTGCTTGATAACAGGAGGCTGAGGTTTGACTTCCTTGTCTGCATAACGTTGTTGTCTGAAAAAATCGGCCTAATTTTGTCTGTCAACACCTCTACCGTCGAGATGGGAATAAGGACGATCTTTGCAGTCGACTTACCACAGTAGCAGCTGTTCTCGAGCAGTTAGAACTCTCCCACCAAACGTTGGATGAGACCAAATCCTTAGTCGTCCGTTCCTTCATGGGTGTTTGGCCATCTCTCTCTGAAACCATAGACTTTAAGCTGCGGGAAATCCGAGAATCAGGCGCTTCCGAATCAGATTCTTCCGACGGCCGTATTGCTCTTTCCGGGAACAGACAGCGGGTAGATTGTGAGCCCGAACGGATGTTGGAAGAGGGAAGGCGTAAGGGTGAGAGGGGAGGCAGAAAGTTTACTTCCGCCATCAAGTCTCCAGCGGGTATATTAAGTTGTTCCGAGTGCGAGCCATCGTACTCCTCCGCCCTTATTTCTTCGTCAGAGCGCTCAATCCCTGTCGACTCGAATCTCAAACGTCGTGTTGGTGTCGGTGATCTAAAGTCGTATGCATGGCGACGGGATTCAGTGGACGTTGAAGTGGCGTTTCGGTTTCGGCAGGGACTGGTGGAAGGGGCTCGGTCTTCGCGCCCTCTTTTCCGTTTCCTCGCTTGAGATGGAGGAGAAGCGGCATGGTCGCCTGTGAATGTCGTGGTGGGAACACACAGAGGTGATGATACAACCAAAGCAGCCTTGCTAGAGGCAGGCGGACTAGACTGTATATTGAGAATGGCATCGTTGGCGTCTCTCAGAATGCACCGTCCTCCAACTTCCGATCCCCTTTGGCTTTTGGGGGTGAAGAACCTGGCCAATTTCCTAGGGGTCAGGACGGGTTTTCGTCGCTCCCTCCGAGTACGCTTCGTCTGTGGTGAGCCGTCCCTCAACGGAGATGACGGGGCCAGCATCGTGACAGGGGACGACGGGGGCAATAGGCCATCACTTGGAGGAGGACTGGCCAAGCCGGTATGTCGTCCGCGACCAGCCATTTTGCCCGATGCACTCAAACCAATAACCAGTCAAGCGAGTAGTTAATGAAGAGCAAGTTGTGTGAGAAGCGTTGGAGAGTCGATGTTATGTGATTCTTCTGGGAAAACAGCGGTAAAGAATAATGAGTATCGATTCTCGTTAATGGGAGGGAGGAGTAATGTATCCGTACGGATACTCGGTTCGTAGTGCCCACACGCAGTCGTCGGGGAGACACGACCCTTTCCCAGCCAACACTTTACGCGATGAGAAGCGCGTGGAACGCGTCTCCCGGGACCCACACACCACGCCCTTTCTCGGTACGTGTAGTACCCTAGTACCCCTGCTCCTCATCATTAGGTGGATCCGGCACACCCCCGGAGACGGAGAGAAGCCTTTATCTCCACGTGATTCTTATCTATGCATGCCAAGATTTCGAAATTTCTGAATTTCTGTGACAAGAAAAGTAGCGGGGAGCAGATGTGTCTGCGCTCCCCATCAATCCCATTACTCGTCGCACCGCAACATCTCCTGCCCTTCCTTCCCCCCTTGGCCGTTGTCTTCGATAGCCTTTTCAAAATGGCTATTCAAAAGAAACACGGCAAGGGCCGTCTCGACAAATGGTATAAGCTCGCAAAAGAGAAAGGGTACCGAGCTCGAGCAGCCTTTAAGCTCATCCAGTTGAACAAGAAATATGGCTTCTTGGAGAAGAGCAAGGTCCTTCTGGATCTTTGCGCGGCACCAGGCGTAAGTACTTGAGCACTGCTGGTGTATCTCACAAATGTTAATGACTTCAGTACACCTTGCGCTAACATCTTCCCTCGTAGTCCTGGTGTCAGGTCGCTGCCGAAACCATGCCGATCAACAGTCTCATCATTGGCGTCGATCTCGCTCCCATTAAGCCCATTCCCAAGGTGATCACCTTCCAAAGCGATATCACCACGGATAAGTGCCGTGCGACAATCCGCCAGCATCTCAAGACATGGAAAGCAGACACCGTGCTCCACGATGGAGCTCCCAACGTGGGTACTGCCTGGAATCAGGATTCGTTCAATCAAGCCGAGCTGGTGCTGCAATCCATGAAACTCGCCACGGAATTTCTGGTTGAGGGCGGTACCTTTGTCACCAAGGTCTTCCGGTCCAAAGATTACAACCCCTTGTTGTGGGTTTTCAACCAACTCTTCACCAAGGTCGAAGCAACAAAACCTCCGTCGTCCCGAAACGTCTCGGCCGAAATCTTCGTCGTCTGCACGGGCTACAAGGCCCCGAAACGAATGGACCCCCGCTTCCTGGATCCACGTTCTGTCTTTGCCGAACTCAAGGGCCCGGCGCCCAACAACGAGGCCAAGGTCTATAAGCCCGAGGTGAAGAAGAGGAAGCGAGAAGGTTACGAGGAGGGAGACTACACGCAGTTCAAAGAGGTCCCAGCCAGCGAGTTCATCCAGACGACGGACCCGCTCGCCATTCTCGGCAACGTCAACAGACTTTCCTTCAAACAGCCACAGAACGGAGATGTCGCATTGGCCGCCATGGAGAGGCTCCCGGAGACAACGGACGAAATCCGGAAGTGTTGTGAGGACCTAAAAGTGCTCGGCAGGGGCGATTTCAAGCTGCTGCTCAGGTGGCGACTCAAAGTTCGGGAAATATTCGGCCTGGCGACCAAGGCAACTGCCGAGGAACCCGCAGCTGCGGATGAGGAGGTTGCTGAGGTCGAGCCGATGGACGAGGAACTGAGGATTCAGGAAGAGCTGCAATCTTTGAAGGAAAAGGAGGATGCCAAGAAGAAGCGGGAGCGGAGGAGAGAGAACGAAAAGAAGCAGAAAGAAATTGTCCGAATGCAGTTGAACATGACGGTCCCCATGGACATCGGCATGGAGCAGAGTGGGCCCATGGGGGAGGATGCCATGTTCTCTCTCAAGGCAGTCGACAAAGCTGGTGCCGCAGGGCGTCTAGCCCGTGGCAAGATGGCAATCCCCAAACAGACCGAGCCCAGCAGGGACAGCGGCCTCGGGTCCTCGGGCGAGACGGATAGCGAAAGCGATGAAGAAGCGGATCTTCTAGAACGGGAACTCGACAGCATGTACGAACAGTACAGGGAACGAAAGGCAGCGGCGGACGCCAAGTATCGCGCCAAACGGGCGCGAGAAGAACACAATGACGACGAATTTGAGGGCTTCTCGGCCGAGGAGGGCGGGAAGAGCGAGGATGAGATTGATCTGGAAGATGACAGTAGCGACGAGTCGGAAGACGAGGCGAGCGATGGCAAACCTTTGGTGACCGACCTTCAAGGCGCTGAGGAGGAAGGGCAGCTTTCCAGGAGAGCGAAGAACTTCTTCAGTCAGGACATCTTCAAGGATATTCCAGGGCTGGTGGAGGAGTCCGAGGAGGAGGAGGATGCTAAGGCTAAGGCGAAGAGCAAGACGAAACCCAACGGCGACGAAGAAGAAATCGATGATGCGGCAATCGATGCCATGATCGAAGCCGCCAGTGCCAATGCCAACAATGAAGCCAAGTCGAAGAAGACGGAGAAGAAAGAAACAGCTAAACAACAAGAAAAGAAGCAGGAGGGGGCAGATGAGGATGAGGAGGACGGTGGGTTCGAAGTCGTCAAGCGCAAGGACGATGACGACTGGGAAGACCATGACAAGCGCCGGCCAGACGGGACACTCGACATTGACATTATCACGGCGGAAGCGATGACGCTGGCACACCAGCTCGCGACAGGCCAGAAGACGTCCCACGAGGTGATCGACGAGGGCTTCAACCGCTACAGCTTCCGGGACCGCGACGGTCTGCCGGAGTGGTTCGTCGACGACGAGAGCAAGCACGACAGGCCCGTCAAACCCATCACCAAGGCGGCGGCGATGGCCATCAAGGAGAAACTTCGCGCCTACAACGCTCGGCCCATCAAGAAGGTTCGCGAGGCCAAGGCCCGCAAGAAGTTCAAGGCCGCCCAGCGCCTTGAGAAACTCAAAAAGAAGTCAGACATGCTCATCAACGAAGAGAGCATGACCGAGAAGGAGAAGGGTGAGGCCATCAGCAAGATGATGGCCAAGGCGACGAAGGTTACGCGCAGGCCCAAGCCCACGGTTGTTGTTGCTAAAGGTACTTTTTTTTCTTCTTCATCTTCTTAATATCTCTCCTTGCCTCTTTACGACTGTACCTTGATTGGATCTCGTGCTAACTTGCATCACAGGTGTCAACCGCGGTATTAAGGGACGGCCAAAGGGTGTCAAGGGCCGATACACTATTTTGGACCCGAGAATGAAGAAGGACCTGAGGGCACAGAAGAGGGTGACGAAGAAGCGAAAGAGATGAGCCCATATCGAAGTGTATGTATGTTGTTGCGGTATGATATGGGAGCGAGCTGCGAACCTGCACAACACACTTGCATATATGTATGATTCCATCTGGGCACACCAACATCAAACAAGCGGGACCACCCAGAGAGACGCGTGCACACGAGCCAACATTTCGCACATGCTTGTTTCTTGTGATTTCTGGCGTGCGTAGACCAGGGTCGATTGTGCTTCTGGCACGTACTGAAGATACTCGGAAGCCTGAGGAGGTCTCCTCCCTGCCCCAACGATCGAGCTGGAAAAGAATTCCACAATGCTGCGTATTAGCAGGAATCTAACGACTCCCCTCCCCCAGGGAAGTAAACGAGCTTTGAGGGAGGAGAGTAATTACCGTTGAAAAACATGATCGAGGCACAGTGTTGGAGTCGCCAAGCCGACGTTACATCTTACACCCCTCCTCCAAGTCTAGGTAGCTTGGCCATGGTTCTCCCTCTTTCCCTCTCTCAGCCGGACAAGCTACCAACTTTACCAACTTATGCATAGATCGGGAGATCTTCCCTTCCCTAATTAACCCTTTTGGAATCCGAGACAGATGCAGCCAACCGATTGGACGGATGCTTTCCATGGTGCTCAGGCCCTGCAGGTACCAGGTCATTAGGCACCACAGTATTAATCACTGGTTCGTCTCATGAATCCATGTTCCCCGGCAGTGCGCTTCTTCCCGTTACAGGACGCAAGATTTTGATTTGAAATGCCCCGATGCCTTTACACAAAGGCGTGGAAGAGCTCAACCCCAGTCCCGAACGAGAACCTCCCGTCTTCGCTGGTTTGTTTATAGGCCTCGTGCCGCAAAGTTTCGAGGTGTCCTAACATGACTAAATAATAATACTATGATTAAATTGCGAGAAATCCTCACTAGGTCTAGGCTTCCTGGATTCCACCAAGTATCCCTTGTGGCCTATCCATGCCTTGGGGCAAGGCAGGGATATACAGCTAGGAGGTATGAACTTCAAGAGCACGCAGAGATGAACAAACATGGCCACCGGCTTGGTTCCGGGCAGATCGGAAGGCGTAAGACGGAAAACGGAAAAACCACAGGGGTCAGGACATGGCACCAACGCTCACTCACAATCACAATCAAACCGTGGCAGAGCCTTGAACGGGATGGTGTGGCCCTGCGGAGTGGGAGAGAAGCTGGGTTGAACCAACCGCCCGGCTCGGAAACCAACGCCTCCTGACAATAATTCCAGTGAAGCTGGATGCCGGTAGAGATCGGCAAGACTGTCCAACGATTCTGCGACACAAGGCCGTGGTTCCAGAGGTGTGGTCTCATCCCACCGACCGGAGAACGAAGGCGAAGTCACAGCCCTGGTATTTGGGGATCTTGTGTCTCGGGAATGAGCCAAGGTGACGGGCGGGGAAGAAGGGGCCAGGTGCCATCGCGTCAGGGGATGTCCTCTCTGATGATCCAACTAAGGTAGCCGAGACAAGGTAAGACCTGAACCTTGTTAAGCTGAGAAAAACGGGCAGAGAAGATGGTACTCATGGTGATGGGATTCGGGGGCTTCTTGATTTGGTATGGAGGATTTTAACAGCGTCTTGAACCCCTTTTCTCCCCAGTGCCCCCGCCTTTCAAGGGGTTGGGGGAAATCGGGTCGCAATAATCCTAACATTAGGTATACGTCTCGACATAGGTCAGGTACATAATTACTCGGGTAGTGTATTTTATCTTCACCACAAAGTACCTACAGAAGAGAACATCCACGCCGTGTTATTACAAAAGTTTAAAATTCTGTCTTGGAAGCGCGTTCCATTATAGAGGCACGGAGACCCGTGAGACCGACTGCCTCTCCTAGCTGTCATTACAGCGTATCCACGACCTATAATAAAGTATATAAGGTAGGATATACCTTAGGTCTAAGTCAGGCGTGGTTAAAGAATAGATATATCTACGGAGTACTATATATATATGTGTGTGTGTGTTGTATCTGTCGAACCGAAGTCGTGTTCCGTGATAGTGGGTGGTGAACAACGGGTATGGGAAGAAAAACGGGTCCGGGATTCAAATAAATAGTTATTGAATTAACGGGAGCGTGCTTATAGGGGGCGTTAATTCAGGAAATGTATGATTGTATTGGGTATAAAAGAGAAAGAAAAAAGGGGGCGGGTGTACGTGTCCTAAATATATCTGCCACCTTCTAAGCGAGGATAGTAGGGCACCTCTAACTAATAGGAGAGCACTATACCGTGGCTTACGTGATAGAATATAACATACCCCCTAATTATTACGCCGTGATTAGCGGAACGATTACTTAGCCTAACCTTAACCTAGCCTTATTTTTAACCTTAAAATAGCCTTAAAGGGTCGTGTAATACCCTTAATATCGAGTTAAAAGGCAGGAATAAAAGCTATAAAATAATAAAAAAAATAATGATAATAGTAAATAATAAAGGAAAAGTGCTATTAATAGTAGTAGTAAATAGGTAATAGTAGGGCCTTCCGTAGATAAATTAAAGGCGTTATACCGGCGTTTTAGAGCTTTTGGATCTTCCCTCTTATAACCCTTATTCCGTTATTTTTGAGGATTTTAACGATTTTTAATCTAAATTTTCCGAATTTTTCTATTAACAGTAATAAAAATAATAATAATAGCGATATAGTGAGTATCGGAGCTTTATTTTTAGTGGCGCGTGCTAACTAGTAGTATTATTTAGGCTCCTCTTACCCTCTCGGCTATTACCCGTGCCGTGGTAGCTAAGAAAGCCTCGGCTAATAGTATAAAAAAGACTAAGGGTAAAGCCGGCACTAAGAAGGGTGCTTCTATAAGTTATTTCCGAGCGTTAGTCTACGATATCTCTACTCTATTCTAAGCTAACTCCTTAAAAGACTACTAAGGGCAGTAATAATAATAATAAGGATACCGAGGACGATTTTATTCCGGTTCTATTTAATCCTCCTTACCTAGAGTGCGTAAAGGGTATTTATTCTAGTAAATAGCGCTCGTTTAACTGCTATATTTCCGTTCCTAGCCGCTCTTATCGCTACTAAAAGTGTAAGGATGAAAACTATATATACCACCCTCTATAAGTTCTTACCCCCTATCTAAGGCGCTTTACGATCGTGATCGTATACTCTATTTTATATTAGCTCGAAGATATATACGCTATTAAGCTTTACGACCGCTAACCTATACTTATAGTTTTTCTGGTCTTATATCTTTAGTTAAAATTCTTTTTAACTATATTATAGTTCGTAAAATTAATAAGGACTCTAATAACGACGATAAAAAGGTGCGTTTATCGCTTTATTTCTAAATTAGAATACTCTAACTAACTATTTCGCGTAGTTCTTTACTAAACTTAAGTAAACGGTGAAGTTTATAATTAAGTTAATAGAGGATAACGATAACAAGAAGTTCTTTAAGGAGGAGGAGCTTAAGGGAGCTTCTAACTAAGGTCCTAGTACGCCGACTACTACCTCTACCTCTTAGCTTACGGGGGTTATAATAGATATTTTACGGGAAAACGGTTTTATTATTACTCCTCCGGCTAAAGGAAATAACGTAAATATTACGCAGGATAATACTTAGGATAGTATTAATAGAGCTTAGTGAATTATCTAGTATGCTCCTTTTTATATTTTAGGTTGTACTTTTAGGTTTTAGTATAGTGTTTTAGTATTATAATAATAAGATACCTTTTTTACTGAATTAATTATACCGCCGGTATACGGTACGCCTAAGGCGTAGGATTTTCGACCTTAACTACTTCTTTTTACCCCCTCTATACACTAATTATATTAAGATATACTTAGAAGTTCTCGAATTTTTATCGTGGAAGTGCTTTTATTAATCCGTCCGCTAGTATTAAATTCGTAGTAAGATATACGACTCTAAATAATCCTTTTACGTTCTTGTACCTTACCGAAAAGCGCTATATATCTATATAGCAAAGCCTAGTCTTAATCCTAAAGCTATCGTCGACTACTAGGCATATCGTTTATATATTATCGTAGTAAATATCCTAAGGAGATTCTGGATTAAAGCGTATTTCGACGAAAAGACGCTTTAAACCTATTATTTCCTTCGCCACTTACTCTAAAACGAGTAGCTTTACTTTAGTTATAGACGTTATTACCGTTACTTACCTTATTACTTTCTATATAACTAATCTACTAAATAGGCTAATAAGGTAACCCTATAAAGATCTTCGTGTATCTAAATCGTCTATAAAAAAGGCGTCGCTTACGATAACTATCGCCTATAAACTAATACTTAATCCGTACTAAATTAAGAGGTCCTTTATTATAAATAAATAGCGGATAGCTTAGTCTACCGCTTTATAGTACTCGGGAGAGGGGTTTCTAAGAAAGCGGGAGAGGATAGAGGCGGCGAATACTATATTCGGACGTATTATAACTACTATATAAAGCATTAATCCGACCTTTTTTTAATAAGATTTAATCTCTTAAGCGGTGGCTTTATCTTCTCTCTTCTAGTATTCTATAACGGGAATAGGGATTACTAGGTAGGTGTTTAGAGCGTTTAATTTAAACCTGGCTACGATCTTTTTAATATATAAATCGTAGGAGAGGAAAACCTTACGTTTAGGGCGATCTCGAGTAATCTTAATACCTAAAAACTAATCGGCTTTCCCTTTTTCCGATACCTTAAATCTTATTTTAATCCCTTCGATAATCCTAAGGCCGTTTATAGCACTATCTTTATAATATAATATAAGAATATCGTCTATAAAGAAAATAACGAATATGTCTTAAGCCTTAGTATAGAATAGGCACGGTTCTTCCTTACTAGCCTTTATCTCTAAGTCTATTAGGGTGGCCGTGAAGGTCTCGAACTATAGTCTAGGCGAGTCACGTAGTCTATATAGTGCTTTATCGAGCTCTAAGCACTTATTAGGCTACTTAAATCTATCAGAAAGTTCGTATATAACGGGCGTTCCTATTTTACTCCTTTAGGTGTTAACGAAGGCGTTAACGATATTAAGTTA